TCTCTGTTGTGCGTCAAGTTTTCTTTGATGTCTTCGTGAAATTTGAATCTACATTATATATATCGACTTACTGGTGTGCCAATATTGTAGCACTAGTTGATGATTGTGGCAATCTGCATGGAAATTGCAAACTTGTTTGCTTTTGTTTCGGTATAGGATCATTTTATAAAAATACATTTGGCATTTTGCTGCATAAAGAATTTGATCTCGGGACACTTGTTTACTCCTTTTTGGTAACAGTGAGTGATTAAAATATGGGGTCGGAGAGTCTTGTACCTTTGTATCTATAGAATTGATCATAACACTAGTGGGAGACGAGTGTGAGTGATTGTAAAAGTAGGGTATTGGCTGAGAACCGGGCCGAATCGGACTGGATCGGATGAACAATATCAATTCTGTTTTAGTTTTGGTTGAGAATTAGGCTAAACCGGAACTTGCTCAGACCCAGTATTACCCTTGTGAAAAATGCGGTAAGCCTAGCATTACTCTTGTGAAATATGAATTGTCAAGTTTTCTTAACGTATAATATTTGGTTTCCAAGGCCTGGAACTTGCAAGCTGCAGTCTTCACAAGTTAAGTGAATATTTCCTGGTCTCACACCTCCAACATTTATTGCTTTCACACACAAGCTAACAGTTTGTGTCCATAATTTCTACATGAAAGCTAATTAGTGACAATGACGGTCAAGTTGTTCTACATTGACTTAGATTTTTCTTTGGTGGGTGCAGTTGACTTGATGTGCATCCAAAGACTCGCAATGAAGGATATGTTCAGAAAGGCATTGGCTGAGAATCAAGGATAGCCATGTTTTTCAAGCTTATAATACTTATCTTGTTGACTTATCTTGAAAGGGAAATTGAAGGTCAGTAATGTATCTCTAGAAGGGAAAGTGAAAGCAGATTTTGAACTAGTTGAATAAGAATTTTCCACTTGTATGATTCTGATTTACTCTATATTTTTTTTCTTGTTAATTTGTGACAATGTGGGAGTAAATAATCCAGCTTCGAATCACAAGATGTCACGTGGACAAGAAGAATATCTCATAGGTCAATTAATTGAGCCCATTTATTTGGCAAATTAATTGATGCTATTATGGAGTCCGCTACATTGACGTATAGTCCATGACTTAATGCATTTATATCTGTGGTAAGACTTAAACTGAATTATGTATTGAAAGTTCATAGTCTTCGGTAGAGAATTGAAATTAATAGCCATGTTTTTCAAGCTTGTTATAGTCATACTAGTAAGCCTAGCAGCAGCTGAAGATCTCAATTTCACCTACAATGGTTTCCTGTCTGCTAATCTTAGCCTAGATGGCGTAGCCCAAGTCACATCCAATGGCCTTCTGAAGCTCACAAATGACTCTGGAAATGACAATGTACTCGGCCATGCCTTCTACCCCAACCCAGTAACCTTCAAGAACTCATCCAATGCTACCGCTTTCTCCTTCTCTACTACTTTTGTGTTCGCTATCAGATCCGAATTCGGACTGCGTTTGGGTGGCCAAGGAATTGCCTTTGTCATTGCTCCGACAAGAGGTCTCCCTGGAGGTTCTCTAATTCAGTACCTGGGCGTTTTCAATGAAACCAACAACGGCAACGCCAGCAACCATATTTTTGCTGTAGAGCTTGACCCCATACAGAACCCCGAGTTTGGCGACATCAACAACAACCATGTTGGGATTGATATAAATGGTTTGCGCTCAGTGAACTCAACTCCAGCGGGATATCATGCTCTAAACAATGGCGGTTTCCGAAACTTGACCCTCATCAGTGGTAAACCAATGCAAGTTTGGGTGGAGTATGATGGTATCCAGAAGCAAATCAATGTCACTTTGGGTCCAATCAATGTTGATAAACCCCATATTCCACTCTTATCTTTGAAGTATGACCTTTCCACGGTCCTTAATACGACCATGTATGTTGGCTTCTCCTCTACTGCTGGCGCAGTCTTCACATCTCATTATGTTCTAGGATGGAGCTTTGAGATGAATGGCCAGGCTCCAGAACTTGTTCTCTCACAACTTCCTAAGCTGCCCCGGATAGGACCTAAAAAAATATCTAATTTTTTGACCGTTGGTGTGCCTGTGACGTCTGTGAGTTTGGTTTTGCTAGCAATTTCAAGTTTAATTTATGCCATAAGAAGGAAGAAGAAGTTTGCAGAGCTGCTTGAAGATTGGGAGCTTGAGTATGGGCCTCAAAGGTTTAAATACGAAGAGTTATATATGGCAACAAAAGGGTTTAGGGAGAAGGAGCTTTTGGGAACCGGGGGATTTGGTAAGGTCTATAAAGGCATATTACCCTCCTCAAAAATTGAGATTGCTGTGAAGAGAGTCTCACATGAATCGCGACAGGGGATGAAGGAATTTGTTGCAGAAATTGCAAGTATTGGCAGGCTTCGCCATCGAAATTTAGTCTCACTCTTGGGCTATTGCAGAAGAAAAGGGGAGCTGCTCTTGGTCTATGACTACATGCCTAATGGAAGCTTGGACAGGTACCTCTATGACCGCCCTACGGTCACTCTCAATTGGAGCCAGAGGTTTAGAGTGATCACAGGTGTGGCTTCAGGGTTATTCTATCTTCATGAAGAATGGGAACAAGTTGTGATTCACAGAGATGTGAAGGCCAGCAATGTGTTACTCGACGGTGAATTGAATGCAAGGCTAGGAGATTTTGGCCTTGCAAGATTATATGACCATGGAACAGACCCTCAAACTACTCATATAGTTGGAACACTTGGGTATCTAGCTCCAGAGCATATAAGATCAGGCCGGGCCACAACGAGCACCGATGTGTTTGCTTTCGGGGCATTTTTGCTCGAAGTAGCTTGTGGAAGAAGGCCAATAGAGGCACAAGGTCCAGACCAGGATTTGATTTTGGTTGATTGGGTGTTTTCTTTTTGGAACAGAGGGGCCATTCTTGAGGCAAGAGATCAAAACTTGAGCTCTGAATTTGTAGCCGAGGAGGTGGAGTTGGTGTTGAAGCTTGGGCTGTTGTGCTCTCATTCAGAGCCTACAGCCAGGCCAAGCATGCGCCAGGTTGTGCAGTATTTGGAAGGTGACATTGCTTTGCCAGAGCTCTCTCTTCTTGGGTTCTCTTTAAATGGCTTGACTTTTGCTCACCATGAAGGTTTTGATGATTTTGCAATGCCATATTATTCTTCTCCGGGCAAGGGGTTTTCACATTCATCATATGCTGCAGAGTCCGCAGTCCTCTCTGGTGGTCGCTGATTCGACGCAATTATGATTGTCTAGCACACTAGAATGTTAACTCTACTTATTAGTTTTGTAACTTGTTATATAAAAATCAATACTGTAACAATCTGTATGTAAGTTGGGTGAGAATAAAATTCTGTAAAAAGTACTAATTCCATACACACAAACTCGTGCCAAGGGAGTGAATATTGAAGTGCACAACAATATCATGAAAAAGAAAAGGAAAAAACTTGCTTGTTTTATAAATTTCATGAATTTAATATGCAATCTGCATCGAAATTCCGAACTTGTTGCTTAAGGTAGCAGGCACTGGACAGTCTGGATCGCTCTTTGTTATACACAAAGACAACATATTTAATTAGTGTGAGAATGCAGGGTCAGCTCAGCTTCATTGTGTTTTGCTTTATTTTTTGTGGGTATACTCGATGATTTGATGCATAGGGTATTGGAAATGATGAAAGTCACAACTACAAGTGTTTGGATAGACAGAAAATGAGAGAATCAAAACAACTGAGGGAGAAAGTTCTAGAACTACGCTGATCTCAGATATTTCATTAATTAACAAAATGAATCCATTGGTCTATGAATACATTACAACTATACCAACTTGACTCATATTCTAACTTTGTGATGATTGAATTACTATTCTATGGCTCGGTTCCGGAGAATTGTACACCGAAAATGAAGCAAACGTGTGGTAGTCTGGCCTTATCCGAGCCATGGAATTGGTCCTACTACTAGTAAGAGACGATGGAGTGACTGCAAAAAGGAGCGAATGCCTCCTCGACTTGCTGTAAAAAGAAGAAGATTAGAAACTTTGGCCAAATATAGAATAAAATCAAATACAGAATGTAGATTAAGGAAGGAAACTTGTAGCAGAAGCTTCCTGAGTTCATAATATCATTGAGGAACTGCATTTGTCTACAACCACAACACACACAGTGATGAATAAACGAAAAAATGAGTGAATACTACACATATATCACATATTTCAATTGTGCTTGACAAAATTCATGCTTTTAAGACAAGAAAGTATTACCAGGGGAAGTTGGATTGAAAAGCATTCTAATATGAAATTGTTTCTTTGCATAAAGGAGGAATATATATTTAAAGGGAAAATATCAAACTTGCAAGTTATTTAATAAGGAACACCCACACAAGATAAATGCAACGGATCTCCAGAACTGTTAAGGAAAATCTAATACAACCTTATCCCAATCATTCCTAGTAATAAACTAGCAAAAGGTGCCCGCGCGATGCTGCGGGTTTTAAAATTGCGTGAAATGTGTATAAAGCGATGAAAATAGGCAGGGAACATCTCAACTACCCAATTGCCAAAACACTCAAAGGATTTACCAACATGTTCAAATATTGTAATCATCTAAACCTATCATTACAACAACAAATTAACACCAACCAATTGTCAATTGATGCCATTAGCTAATTCCTATGCTCTATTCACAAAACTTAAAACAATTAATTGAAATTTCAGCCTAGAAACTCACCCCTTGCTTAACAGAACTGAAAACACCAACCAAACTGCTCTATCCAAAGGAAAGAAAGACCACCTGCAAAATATCAAAAGAAAACATGATTTTTTTAAAAGAAGAAAAAGAAAAAACAGAAAAATCAGGGAAGAAATTAGCTTGAGTATTTTATGCATGCACAATCTTTTCATTAAACCAAAAAATTTGCTTGAGCAAAATCTGTATGGAAAGAAACCACAGGGAAAATGTATGTAATTGAGTTCCTTACCTCTCCAACATTAAATATAAATCTTTGCTTGTCAAAGAATAGCAACACTGAAGGAGATGTATCTTGCGTATCCATTCCAGTCCCTAGCAGCTGCAAAGAGTAGAAGCATGGCCAAATTATTAGCCCATGAAAAGGAAAAAAAACAATATAACCAAACTCTGCATTCTGAAATTAGGATATACAAACTTTTTTAGTTTTCAATAAGTCTCCATTCAATGCAATAATCAACAAAAATCCGCTTGGTAAATCAAACCCACAAACAAAAAAACCTATGAATTTTAACTTTTCTGAATTCTTTCTCGTCATCTCTAATGTCCACAAACAGAATTCCAATTTAGAAGTCAGATTTTCAAATCCCACATATTTCCTAAACCAATCTTCTTCAAGTCAACTATGCTAAAACATTGCAATCAGTTCCTAGAATCACACTCCCAAATTTTCTTTCCCCTACCAAAACAAAAATTATCAAATTCAAATCCCCAGTCCCATAAACCAGTATAAGAACGAATTTGAATTAAAACCCTGTAGTAAAAGAACGAACATGTCTTTAAACATAACTACCCAAATAGCAGCATATCCTGCTTACCAAAACAGAGCTATCCTAAACCCTGTAACAAAAGAACCAGCATATCCAAATACCGATTTTGAGGGTTTACCAACTAATTTTTAATAATCAAACAGAAAACCTTACCAAAAGCAATCATATAGTATTTTAATAACTAAATTGTTTCACCTGGTTTCATCAAAATAATAACACAATCAAATCAATTTCAGTATTTGGATAACATTTGCAAATCAATAACACAGATCCACTATGAGGAAAAATTAGGAATTTGGACTTTTAGGGCAGCAAATTAAAACAGGTCTTATAGTTTAATAAAATAAGATCCAAGATATTAGTAACAAAAAAAAAATGAAAAAGAAGAGCAACAAAAATTGAATGGAAAGATGAAGCAAAATTTACTTACAGATCAGTGAGAGAGAGAGACCGAAACATAGAAAAAGCTGGAGTTCAATCTTAAGAAGAAGACCAACGCTCGCCACTCCTATAAAGTCAAAGCCTCCAGATAACAATTGATAACAAACTTAGAACAATTGTGATAATTTATAATTAAATAGGTATGAGAGAATTAAGCCAAAACACTCAACCTTTAATAGCCTCAAATCAATGGGTGTTTATTCTATTGCTACAAATTTGGAAACTGGTAGGTGTTAGTGCAAACAAATGGGAAAATTTAGTGAAGACAATGGCTATTATTACAGAATTAAGGCCACAAAATCAACTGCACAAACCACAATTTAAATACGCCACATTCTACGAATGTGGTGGACAAAAGTATAATGTCATTGCCACAAATTATTAAATACCTATAACAGAATGAATCCAAAAGACCCAGCCTTTAATAGAATCAAACCAAATACCCATAACAGAATCAAACCATGTGCAAGTTTGTTGTACAAAAGAATAGATTATCTCTAGACACCTATGGTCAAAACTGATACATGTATTCCCAATTATAGGCTATGTTAATTTAATGGAGAAGCTATAAAACCAGAAATAACCTATAAACACCTATAGGTTATAGAACCCTAATCAACTTACTGATAGCATCAAGGGAAGCCAAGAGGACCTGTCCGGGAACTATGGCAAAGAATGCATTCCCTGCTTGGGATTTAACCAAACGTCCCATCACTGATCAAATCGTAATACCAACCCCATCAAGCATAGATTTGCCAAGCTTTGATGCCATTTTTGACAACTACTATCACTGAATTAGCAAAATAAAGTAGAAAGAACTGATAAGAAAAAATAAATTTAATGTGTTAAACTTATAACCATAAAAACTTAAAAAGAAATTCATATAGTCCTCAGGGGAACCTTTCAAATTGATTCAGTATGAAATCTAACATTAAAAAATCATAAAATAAACCTAACCTCCAACATAAAATACCCATTCATATGAGATTTCCTTCCCTGTTTCTACTTCATGTCACCTATATACCAAAGAAAAGATATCAAGAGAAATATCATTTTAAGGTATAAAAATAAACCATAACTATGAAGGAAGAAACACATTCATTGTCCACATCTCAATTCATTATAAGGTATAAAAATAAACCACAACTAATCCTAAAATTAAGGATTTAAAGTAACAAATTTACAATAAAGATTTTTTTTTAAAAGTTCAAACTTAAAATGGAACCAAGTGAAAGAAGAGAAAACTACCAAAGGCTATGGAGCATAAAGCATTTAAGTTTTTGAGAAGAATGTGCAGAGAAATCGGGTGTAAAAGAAGGTGTGGATATGCTGATAGGTTTTCATAATATTCCAGAGGATGCCTATGACGCAACCTCCTTCACATCTGCCACCAAAGCCAAACATCAAATACAAAATACGATTCAAATTATCGAAACAAAATTAGAAAAAGCGAAATAAATGTGATAAAAGAGTGACGCTTTGGGGTCAAAGGTGGAGCCCTTTGGCAACAAATTGGATTTTGCCAGGAGGAGAGTTGAGAAGGAACCACTTCCCCACCCCAAAAATACATTGACTACATTAGACACTAACAAATAATCAAAATGGGTACAAATTTATTAATTGGAAAAAAATAAAGTATAAACGGCAAAGAGAACAAACCTCATTAATGGCAAGCACTTGGCCATTGCTCTTCTTGACCTTCTTCAGCTTCCTCATAAAATACCTAATCCAAACAAATCAATCAACAATATTAAGTTTAACCAAAAATTCACCAATGAACATTTGGGAAGGCTAAGGATTATTCCAGAACTTGGACTTGGCGTGAACCTCATTTGTGGCCCAGAGCTTCATTTGGTAAATCTTGGGGTGCTCATTAGATGCCATAGGGAGCTTTCTCCCAACAACCTGGTACTGGTGGAACTGCAACACAAAAAACACCATTAATTGCAGCTTTACCATTTGACATGCCCTAAGAGAAATATATCACACAAAAACAAATACCAAATTAAATGGAACCTAAGAAACTGTGAAGATAATTTCTAGATATTTGTTCACCAAATTTCATACAACAATCCTCCACTTAAACTGACTGTTCACAACAATACTAAGAATTTGTAGGCATATTACATATGCAATATTTGGCTAATCCATTTCACCAGCAACCATATATTTAACTAAATAAACTATGTCGAAAACCAAATGGGTATTCTTCCAGAATAAAACCAACCTTCTTGAAGCATACCCATCTAAGTTATAAGAACCCCTTAGCATCCCAATACCCTAACATGGAAAAAAGAAGCATAATTTAGAATTCTGTAACAGAAATTGTCTCATTAAATTAAACAGAAATAAAAAACAGCGAATTTAAGGCTGAGATGTAATCGACTTATTGAAAGAAAAAAATTGAGGGTGAGAGAACAATTGACAAACCTCTTTGCTAGTCCAAATGCGGAACCCTACTTCGTTTTTTCTCGCAACACCTTCAAAGTCAGTCAACATTCTGTGCTGTTCTACAAAAGATATTTACGAACACAGAACGTCATAAAATACCTTTATTGTAAATTTGTTCAACACAAAAAATCCAGAACCAAAATATTTGACGAAATTCTATTAAAAGAAAAATAACTGAAATTAAAGAGAGGGAGAGAGAACATTGTATCCCTCAACTTCTGTACATATACACTGGCTCTGTCCCACAACATCAGCAAGGGCAATGGCAAGCCTTTATTCACGCACAAACAGTCACCTGCCATTACCAATTCAAAAGCCTGTTCAATCCCATCACAGGGGAGAAATACAATCAAAATTAATAAAAGGGAAAGAAATTGAAATACAGTGGAGGCGATTAAAAGATGCAAACCTTGTTTCTATTTCAAAGTCCACGAATAGATGTAAGTGCACCATTTTGTTGTAGTCCTGCAATACACAGAGTCATCAGCTTCACCCCAAGCAACTCCGCATGCCAATTCAAATCTACCATGAACCAATCCATAAGCCCAAACATAGAACCCAATTATATGATAAACCATCACACAAAAGGCTTAATTTTGGTCCAAAAGGGCAATTCGAGGATATGGTTCTTACTTGAAATGCTTTGTTGAGGTTGCAAAATCACCTTTTTCCTCATGCTCAAACCATTCAATAACCAAAAAACAATGAAAGGAAATTTTCATTGTAATGCTAAGCACATGTATGAAAGAACAAAGGCACCAACTTTTCAATCCAACATAATTATAGAACAAAGACTCAAACTTTTTCCTTTATGTCCTTGAGTTTCCACAGAAACCCAAGTGATTTCAATAAAAAGTACTAATGTTATTAAGTGGGTGACCTCAAATGCTCTTATAAGCATAATTATTGAACTCCTACCCACAAAACAACAGTAAAATGTTTAAAAAGATGACATTTTCTGTTTTTTTCTTGCATTTTCTAAGCAAACAAACAGAGAGTAAGTAGGTTTCTACATATTTTATACAGTGTAAAATCAGATTTTTTGTTTGAATGATCTTATATTGAACCAACCATCTCTACCTTCCAGCTAAGAGACTGGTCGATTAGTTCAGAATATCAGCTCCTAATCATATTTTCTTTTAGATGCAAACAGATATTAAGCTCCTAGGGTTCATTATCCACATGCTCAAATAGAGAGAGACAGAGAGATCTTGACTGCTTAATAATTTTTTGGGCAAGAATCAAAGGATTGAACAGCACGCTCAGAAACCCATCAGCAAGCCATTAATCCGTTAAAAAGTAAAGGGATGCAAACCTGAAGAGAAAAGATGGAAGAACTTGCAGATCGAAAATCTCTCAGACGAACGTTGCACAGAGGATGAAAGATGGTTGAACCAACGAATGAGCAGATGAGATGAGATGAAGACCAAACGAACGGCGAGATTCGCAAGGCGCTAGCCCAAATGGAAATCTACGGCCCCAAAGGAATCCCGAAGATCGAAGCCGTGCATTCCATGGCTGCCCCCAACCAGCCCAACCAAGCTGGTTCGAAGCGGACGATCGTTCTGTGGAAACGAAACAGTGGGGAGAGTTAGCATCCAAAGAGAGAAGGGCAAAAAAGGAACATAAGGAAAATTTCAGTAAAGGGCAAAATCGGCACTTCACTATTGCTAAGCTACAGTCTAGGAACAGTGAATTCCTGGATTCAGTTTTAGTATATATATAATTTAAGTTGCCTCACCTCAATGAAAGGCTTTGGATCTGGGTACTTGTGTTGCTTAGATAGGCTGAGTGTGCCCTCAGCAGCAGTACACCCATCACGAAGAGCAACAGCCTTGAAATTTTTCTTATCACTTTTAGAGAGTTCAGCAGTCGTGCCTAAGTCCAGGAAAATGACATGAGGCTTTGATTTGAAGAGTCGCTTCCGAGAAGACTTGCTCTGAGCCACCCGGACAGGGATATTTCCAGGATGCATGTCTGCATGAATAAAATTGTCCACCTAAAAGAAGAAATTCTGATAACTTTGAACATACTGAAAAATTGCAAAGACCAGAAATTCTGAACTTCTGAACTTTCACTAGTAATTAAACCCATCCTTCCATCTATCAGAGACCCTTTTCCAAGCAATCATTTCTCACAGCACTTGTTGCCAGAATGACCTGGAATAATTACTCCGGTAAACAGAGGAGGTCAAGGAGAGGACATTGGAGATATATGTCTTCACCTTCACTCCCCTCAGTAGTAGATAAAAAGAATTTTTCTTTAAAAGATATTCCTAGTTGAAACCATCTATTTTCTATTTGTATATGTATAATCTTGTACCGCAAGAGAAAAAAATACAATTAATACTAATTGATAATTTTATATGCATACCTATGACAACATTTACATGTGTCGTTAATTTTTCGAATAGGACTATCTGTTAACCAATCTAATAAGAATTTCTATCATTATGTGACAATTTCCAAATAATGCAAAGGATTCCAAAATTATAAAACACTGCTCAAAAGCCCAAGAATAATATCCATACTGAATTTGGTTTTATCTCAATAGCAAGGTGAAGATCATACATGAAATGAAATAAAACATGAAATATCACCACATAAGGTCCAAATATCATCACATAATACTAACAAGAACAGTAGAATCATTCTCAATACATTGTTAACTGCCCATTTAACCAAGGATGTTCATTTTTTTTTTTCAAAAAAAAAGACTAATGATATTTGTTTGCACTGTTAAGGGCCAGCTTCTCAATTTCTCTTACAGGTTGCCTTTTTGATCCAAAGATGAAGTCTTTCTCTCAACCTTCAGCAGACTCTGTCACCCTCTTAATCTGCCATCACAACTTTGTGCACTTAGCCTTCGAAACACTTAACGTACACCAAGTATAGAAATTATTGAACAAAACCGATATCTATCAAAAGAACCTATGACAATCGCCAATACCAACGAAGAAATTGAAAGTTTTCTAAGACAGAGGCAAAAGGAACATGAACACAGAGAAGAATCTCAGCTCAGCCAAAGGCATCCTGCCTTATAATATAGATGGTGAGACAAAACATGCTTTACGTTACACAATCTAGTCTTTAGCCACCTAATAATACCTCAGCACTAATCTTAGCCATAATCTGTTTCAAAGGCCAACATGCTATCCTTACAGACAGAAGCAACAAATTTTTAAAAATGACAATCAACATCACCTCTAGCAGGCAAGGTACTTTGCAATAACGAACTCCTTTCATGTCTGCACCTATTTCTAAGTTCTAACTCGGAAAATTTGTCACTATTCCATTGAGCATATAGTTCTAGTTTCATGAACACTCCTACAAGCAGTCCACTACACAAACTGGTTCACATTATCATTTTGATAATGAGATATGGCAACAGGAGAGACGTCGTATAACAAAATAGTTCAAATCACATAACCCAAATTTGGTCCACAACTAGCAACTCAAGTTCAAACCCAAAATCTAAAGACCCCAAAATTTTGAACTAAAAGTGCAACCAAGAAGAGAAAATTGTAGCCCCAAGACAAATTTTGATTTTCTCCCTACCATTTCTTAACAAGATCCAGTAGTAATTTTACAGAAAGAAATCACCTGAAGAACAAAGAACATACAGGGTCGAGAGCATTGGGCTCAAAGCCATAATCAGCAGCCAAAGAGTAAAAGTACAGACTTTGCCACTTATTCAAATCTGAACTTGAGTGTGAAGGTCTTTTAAGAGTGATTATATATAGTTATTTTTGCCCGTCTATATATTGAGAGGAAAACAAATCTGAACTTGTCTTAACCACTTGAGCTACAAGCCTTTTGAATATATATATTGTTTCTCACATTACTTATTTCCCCAAATCACAATTTGGCACATTTGTAAAAATAATTTTATCAACAACACAAAGAAAAATATTTGCACACCTATGAATTTGGCAGGAAAATAGGAGGCAAATTCCCACCATAAAAGCTTGAAATACTTGGCCAAATAATTGGTAAGCAGAACAATGGCCATGTTGCATTACTTTCCAAAATGCCTATAGACCATTTACTATTCAAAACCAGATATTAAGAATCTGAAAAGGAAAATGCAGGGGCTGTATATCTCAGTAGCATACTAGCAAATCATGTTAATGAATCACAAAACTGCAACTCAATTAGTTTAATCAGCTAGTTTCCCCCCACCATTCATGGGTAAAGAAAAATCTCATGTACCTGTAATGCATCATGTATGCTGCTGCCACTTCAAGAGAGATTAGTGAAAGATTGGCTGGGTTCTCGATCATCAGTTTAGCTACCAGATATCCTGAGATGCTCCAGGTCTGGTACTTCCACGCTTGCTTCCCGATATATCTCCCTGCCTTGCTGTCATAGTATTCTGGCCACCAGTCTTTTGAGAGCCACTGCTCCACCTGTTCAATTGCTCTCTTAGCAGTCTGAGGCCTCCCCATCTTGATTCATGCTGCAGTAAGCAACCACAGCAGTGCTACAAGACAGATGCAACAACGTTAACCAATTGTTTTAGAACAAACACATAAGTCAGAATTCTGTGAACAAGCATCAAAATATCATGAATAGCACAACCATTTGGCACGCTTTCCCAAATTACATTCAGAAATGTATCCCACAACATTTATATACCAGAAGATTTCGATTGGAAAAGTGGTTACCATCAGCAAATAAAGATGTTTAAAATAAAAGATATTATGTCAGGTAAGTAGTACTTGTAGCCTAGTTTACTAAATAAAAACAATAACTAGCCTACTCATATAAAGTGGGTACTAATGTTCATGAAATGTAATTGAAAGGTCTCAGTCAAATTGAACTAGCACTAGGATTCAAGTAGAAAAATAGAACTGCAAATTGTAAGATCAAGCAAATAGACACAGGGGACATTATCTTAAAGATATAAATCAACGGAAACTAACAAAACCAGCCTTGAGCCACCGATATTTAAGCAAAAACCTTTATACTTTAATGGTGAAAATGACTACTAGAGGTGCTAAAATGAATAACATAGCACGTAACAGAGACAAATCAAAACAAGACATGAACAAAAAGAACAGAAAAGATAAAGAGCTAATGCAAATAGCACATTGTGATAACACCATCTCCATGAGACTTACTTGGCCAAGAGCCACCATTGTGATAACTCCATGAAACTTCTCTGGGTCATCTGTTGTTGTTCGGAAATATTCTTTACAAGTTAAATCCTTGAACACACTCACGCATATGGCTAATATTACAGAATAAATGGCCTAGGCGGGATAGGCTGGGGCTAGGCGGGCTAGGCAGTCTAGGCAGGCGCTAGCGCCTAGAAAAAAAAAGAAGCCATTTTAGAATCTCCAAGGTCAGGGACGAGATGACGATGGTGCTATGAGCGAGAGAGAGGTAGACGAGGATTGAAGAATAGAGGTCGCCGGTTATGTCTGAGCGAGAGAGGGGGGCTAGAAGACGGTCGTGTTCGAATGAATTCAAGGAGATATATTATGTATAGTGGAATCTTAGCTATAGAGTATAGCCGCGCAGCGTTACTATTTGATATTCTATTTACATAGTATAGCCGGGCGGCTATTCTCTATTTATATAGCGAATAGCCAGGCGGCTCCACTGTTAGATATTCTATTTATAGCGGCTATACGTTTTAACATATTCTATTTCTTTATCCGTCTGAGAGTCTAGTCCAACCAAATTCTCTCTCTCTCTCTCTCTCTCTCTCTCTCTCTCAAATTCCAAGAAAATGGCGAAAGGTGAACGCAGGGTGTTGTTGGTATTGGGGGACTACGTGGAAGACTTCGAGGCGATAGTTCCATTTCAAGCACTGCAGGCATATGGAGTGTCCGTTGATGCCGTCTGTCCTGGCAAGAAAGCTGGTGATATCTGCCGCACAGCCATTCATCAACTTTCTCCTGCTCACCGGGTTCACCCACCTCTGCTTCTTTTGCCTTTTCCTTTTTCTATCTTTAATGAAAATCGTTTTCTTTAGCCTCATTACATCACTTGAGCACTGTCAATTGGTCTTTTCCATGCTCCGTAATTAAGCACACTCAATTAGATTGAAGATTGAATGCTTACTTCACTTGAATTTGTAAACCCAAAACAATAAATTTGTCTCAAAGATTGAAGTGCTTACAATTCTCACATATGGGATTATGTTGCTCCCTCTAAAATTTGGAATCTGTTGGGACTGGAAATTAGTTTGTCAAGTTTACGAACGAACATCACGCTTTCAAGTTTAGTTTTTTGCATCAGTCAATCGTTGGTAGCCTTAATTATAGACAAAATGAATAAGTTTTATTGTTGATTAGAGCCACTCTATTAGATTGACAAATAGCAATCCGTAGGTTATAGTTCTAGGTTGTGTGCACAGCGAGACTAAAGTAAGCTCAAACAAGAACACATGTTAGGAGTTTTGTTATTCATTTTGAGCTAGAGAACCAACCTGTATTGAGCTTGAGTTCTGGGGACAAGACAGCGTGAACAAATTCTTGGCTCCAACGTCACTGCGTACCCCGTGTTCAATAGACAAAATTGCATTAGTGCCCTCGTCTCTAAGTGAAAATAATCTGACAATGGGCTACCTAGGTTTGTTGAATCGTGATCTGTGTTTAATTTACAAATCTTCAAATGCTGCATGTCTTTCTGGTCCCCCTTTGTTTTAATATGTTTTTGGGTTTTCTCTATTTTTTTTTCTTTGGTTGCAGACTTATTCTGAATCACGTGGTCACAATTTCGCACTCAATGGAACATTTGATGACATTGAATTTAACAAATATGATGGATTAATAATACCAGGAGGACAGGCACCTGAATATCTTCCTTTGGATGCGTCGGTTTTAAAATTGGTGAGAAAGTTTTCTGACTCCTGAAAGCCACCTGCTTCAGTTTGCCATGGGCAAGTTGTCCTAGCAGCTGCAGGCTCGGTTAAAGGTAGGAAGTGTACGGCCTTCCCAGCTGTCAGACCTGTACTTGTTGCTGCAGGTGCTTATTGGGTGGAACCCGAGACCTTGTTGGCGTGTGTTGTTGATGGTAATATAATTACTGGGGCTACATATGAAGGCCATCCTGAGTTAATATAAGTGGTTCAGATAGGAGGATCCTGTTTCTCTGTGGGGTAAGTTTTATTTTCCTTTGTAGTGCAATGAGAAATATGAAATTGTGATGCCGATCAATATTGAGTATATATAGTATCGAGATACTTCTGAAAGAGAGTGAAAATAGGCTTTACCAGATTTGCCTCAATTCTGGTTTGATAAGGTTCCATCATTCATTCCTATGTGTTTTTTCAATGTTTTGGTGGTATGATTCATTGGTCTGCCTACCTGGGTCCGTTGCCCATTGGAATACTTGTTTGTCAGGTCATTTGTGTGAGTTGTGAACTTGTGAAAGTAAATCCAAACATGCATACTGGTCATTTTTCAAGTTGTTTGAATTATGGATTCTGAACATGATACATAGACAAGTACATCCTTTATGAATTAAAAGACTTATTTAATTTTCCGGAAAGTTGACTACTGAAGAATTTCAATTTCCCCCTTCCCCCAAAACTGAATACCTTCAATACCCAAGCCAATTAGGTCTCCAAATTCGAAATGGTACTACTGCCCTAGACCCATAAATTAGTTGCTGTCAGATTTCATAAGAACCTATTTTCTTGAAACCAGTTGTTTGTTTTCCCCTTAAAACCAAATCCTTTGAAGCATACCTAAACTTCTCTACCTACAATGCAAAAAGTTATACAACTTGACAAACCTTAAAGCCCACCACGTTTTGTAAGCTGGTTATTTAACAGTGATAGGATGGTCCATAAATCAAGATTGGCTACTGGGGTCACCTTGGAGACTCTGCATCATCAGTCGACCACAAAGCAACTCTACATATACAAATCTGTCATTACCTATACATAGGTAATATAATCTACGGATGAGTGAATAAATATGTATTTATTTCCTCTAGTTGGCATTCATTAACTAAACCAACAGCCAGATTTACAATTCGTTTTTATTTGTATTTGCTTTTTCATATTAGTTGTATTGAATCTTCAGACTTCACTAGTTTAGCGGCCAAAGACAGTGAAAAAGTCAACTAACAGGTCTATGCTCCCTTCAGCAAACAGAATTTTGTGGCTTTTTTACATGGACTAGGAGTTTCACCTTATTTTTGGTGATTGCCATTGATGACGTCAAGAAGACTGATCCATAATTACATGGATGAGTTTATTCTTTGGAATGGATGATGAACTTCATAGATCAAGTAAGAGGAGAGAAATTTGATAGGTAAGGAGAGAATATAATAGATCACTAGAACATGTAATTTTGTCACACGTTCGCATGAGTATGGATTAATCTGGTGTGAAAAATAGGAGGAGCTGTAATGCATTAGCACTGACAAGACCTTCTTATGAAGCCATTAGCCCTTCAATCGTGTAGGATAGGGACTTTGCCCAGTCAGCTTTGAGAAGCAGTGTTTGCATCACATTGTACCTGGGATCAAGTTTCCGCTGCCATCCCTGCAAAACATATTTGTAAAGGATATATGTTTTTCTGAGACAATTAAATTAAGCTCTGCAGACCCATGGGTTTACGTATAGGCGCCTATATAAGAGTGTGGAGATGATCCTAAATCACTCTCTCTCATCCAACTAAGGCTTAGGCTGACAATTTTGAAAATGCTGCTCAGTCTGGGACTTTACTTTTGCAGCAAGCCGTACTTGAATTAGTTTTTCGCTTGCATTAGCCTCCCGTACGTACCTTTCTTTGAACTGAATTGCAAAGGTCATGAAAATAGCTCCTCAGTTAGAACACCCACCTACAGACATCAATTACCATATTAGAGCATGCATGATCTACCAATAAGGGCGATATATGAATATGAGTGTGGTATTAATATTCCGTTGCAGTTGGACAAATCAGTCAGAAGTTTTGGGGCAGTATAAGAGATCAAGGAGAGGTAACTTATATGGCAGAATAGCAGCAAAGGTTCTCCAAAATCTTCTGCGACTGGCTTTCGGGAATCCAGTTCATTTCGGAGAATGGAGTACAGGACTACATATTACTTTCAGATTTCTTACAATATGCTGAAAACAATTTTTGACATATCCTTTTATATATATGTATATATTGTTTAGATTTAGAATAGTAAACGTAGACGTTCTAGAATGAAACATACATGAATTTACAATTGATAGTTTGGGTGTGGAAGTGCAGTTCAGGATGCCTCTTTTATTGTTCTAATACATATTGAAAAGACCAAGGCAAAGAGGAAATCTGTTTTAGCCCTCAGGAACTTTCAAGTTAAAAGCCAGAATAATCCTTTTGCATTGTTGCTTTCTTACTCCATACTTGGTAAAATAGATCGAACACCAAAATCTTCTCTCATCCAGTTTAAGACTCCATAAGTTTCTTCATCCATAAAGTTCATATTAGTTTCCCAAAACTATTTCTAACAAAATGCTGCAGAAAGTACCCGGGATCAAGTTTCCGCAGCCATCCCCGCAAAACATAATTGTATAAGATCAGTTATTAATGACCACACCAATGATAATATAAATTGGAGCAAATTGCTTCTCAGATTTGTATAAGATCAGTTATTGTCTATTTCGGCTACTCATGGTAAACCTATTATAATAAAAAAAGCATATTTGTTTTTCTAAGACAATTAATTTAAATTTATAAAGAGAAGAGAAAAGAGTAAAGGATACAGGAGAAATTCATATATTGCAAAGATTACATAAATTCATAAGAGAATTTGCATGCTTCAGCTGCAGTAGATAAAGGAAAAAGAAATTACCTCAATAACCAAAGTGGTTACCATGAAAGTACAGACATTGACTCTATGACGCCTAACTTTCTCGGGTAACTGCTGCATACACTCAGCATGATGGACCAGATTACCTTCTGGAGTACCCCAGAAAGCGAATGCCTCCTCGACTTGCTGTAAAAAGAAGAAGATTAGAAACTTTGGCCAAATATAGAATAAAATCAAATACAGAATGTAGATTAAGGAGGGAAACTTGTAGCAGAAGCTTCCTTAGTTCATAATATCATTGAGGAACTGCATTTGTCTACAACCACAACACACAGTGATGAACATAAACGAAAAAAGGAGTGAATACTACACATATATCACATATTTCAATTGTGCTTGACAAAATTCATGCTTTGAGACAAGAAAGTATTACGTGGGGAAGGTGGATTGAAAAGCATTCTAATATGAAATTCTTTCTTTGCGTAATCTTAGCATAAAAGAGGAATATATACTTAAAGGGCAAATATCAAACTTGCAAGTCATTTAATAAGGAACACCCACACAAGATAAATGCAACGGATCTCCAGAACTGTTAAGGAAAATCTAACAAGATAAAACCTTTGAAGGTGAATTAGGGTTCAAGAGAGTTGAGTTTCATAAACAAACATAAAATTACTAATGACTTTCCAAGTTCCTATTGAAAAATCAAATCATACAACCTCATCCCAATCATTCCTAGTAATAAATTTAAGTTGCCCCAAGATTTTACCTCAATGAAAGCTTTTGGATCTGGGCACTTGTGTTGCTTAGATAGTTTGAGTGTGCACTCAGCAAAAGTACGCCCATCACGAAGAAGAGCAACAACCTTGGAAAATTCCACTAAATTTACTCTTATCACTTTTATAGAGTTCAGCAGTCATGCCTAAATCAAGGAAAATGACATGAGACTTTGATTTGAAGAGTAGCTTCCGAGAAGACTTGCTCTGAGCCACCTGGACAGGGGTATTTCCAGGATGCATGTCTGCATGAATAAAGTTGTTGAAAGAAGAAATTCTGATAACTTAGAACATACTGAAAAGTAGCAAACACCAGAACTTCTGAACTCTCACTAATAATTAAACCACAAGAAATCAAGGAGAATCAAATCTCTCTCTCTCTCTCTCTCTCTCTCTCTCTCTCTCTCTCCCCTTGATTTCTTGATTTAATCCGATCATGCCCTTGAAGATCATTGACACATTCCTCTTGTTCATAAGTTTCCACCAAAACAGCAGGATGCACAAGTGGATACAAAGGCTTGGGGAAAGAGACATCCTTCCATCTATCGGAGAGCCTTTTCCAAGCAATCATGTCTCACTGCACTTGTTGCTGGAATGAACTAGAATAATTACTCCAGTAAAAACTGTTGGCGGTATTGTACAATGAGAATGTATTTCCTCTAGCAGAAAACGTATATATAGTCCCTGAGGAACTCTAGTTTTCCAATGTGGGACTAATTTCAACTCAAGCTCCATTCTTGTGAGTCAAGCATTTGCCAAACTTCCAATGGATGCAGCCTTCTAATGTATGTACTTATGAACTCTATCAGTTCTTATCCAATTTGAGATTTTTGTTTCCCTCTTCTGGCGCTGTTTCACTCTCCATTCACTCTCCATTATTCCCAAACTACCCCTACCTCGACTCCTTCCTTTTTCCTCTTTTCCTTTCTCCTTACCCAACCTAACCCTAATTTTTTTTTTAAACAACTACAATTGCAGAACCTGTCCAGTTCTTGATTGAATCACACATCACACGCATATTTAAAGAAATAGTATAGCCGCGCAGCGTAAATTATGTCTTGAAAATTTATGAGCTAATTTATGCAACTGTTGTTTTGAGACGTGAGAGCAGTTTCTGGTTTATGTATGTAGATTGGTTTTGCTATGAAGAAGCTGTTTAGCGATGGGGCTGTGAAGCGTGAGGAATTATGGATCACCTCCAAACTCTGCTTAAGTTTTGTAGTCTTCAATTTATCATCTCTGGTTTGTTTGAAACCAACTTTACCATCAAATGCTAAGTTGAAATCAGAATCTTTCCCTTGATAAAAAGAAAACAAATTGAAACACAAACTTAAGAATGTGGAGGAGAAAATAATGAAGAAATGTGCCAATTTTGCTAACGTTCTCTCTTTTCTTTTTTTTTCTTTTTTTTTTTTTTTTTGTGTGCTATTCTCAAAAGGTATTTATAGGAGCTGGCTCCCTCCCATTAGGCAAAATAAATGCCCTAAAAAGGTTGGGTCTTAGAATCGTTTTAAAATCGTTTTAGGCAAAATAAATTACCAAAACGATTTTTTAGAATCGTTTTTTTTTTTTGATCAATTCTGATTTTAGGATATATTTAGAATCGTTTTTTTTTTTGACTAAATGTATCTGCAAAGACTTGCAATGAAGGATATGTTAGAGTTTGCAAAGGCCTTGGCAGAGAATCAAGAATAGCCTTGTTCTTCAGGCTTGTAATATTCATACTAGTAATCTTAGCAGCAGCTGAAGATCTCAGTTTCACCTACAATGGTTTCCGCTCTGATAACCTTAGCCTAGATGGCATAGCAAGAGTCACACCCAAGGGTCTTTTGAGGCTTACAAACGACACTAAACAGAATCAGGGTCATGCCTTCTATGATAGAAGCGGATCCAAGAATTTTCCTTGCAGGGGTCAATGTCTAATGGCATAGTTTTCTCTTTCTCTACCACTTTTGTCTGCGCTATTAGATCAGAATATATAGACCTGGGTGGCCACGGCATGGCTTTCATTGTTGTTCCAACAAGAGGCCTTCCCGGAGCTCTTCCAAGCCAGTACCTTGGCCTTTTCAGTGAGACCAACAACGGCAATGCCAACAATCATGTTTTTGCTGTAGAGCTCGACACCATCCAGAGCAAAGAGTTTAATGACATCAATGATGACCATGTTGGGATCGATATAAAAGTTTGATCTCGGATAAATCTTCTCCAGCAAGATATTTTGCTTCAAATAACAGTTTGCCTCTCAGCGGTTAGGCAATACTATTTTTAAATAATCAAAACCGTAGGCTATACTATTTTTATTATATAAAAAATCCGAATATAGCTCGCCGGCTATACTATTTATAAAAAAAATAAAAAAAGAACCGCCTGGCCCCTAGCGCCCATTTTGCCACGTTTCAAATATAGTACTCGCCCGGCGCTAGCGCTGTTTCACCACGTGTCAAAAAAGAACGACCACGCAGCTATACTATTTTGGTTATGAAAAAAATCCGAGTATAGCCGCCCGGCTAACTAGTTTTGAAAAAATACCCACCTGACGCTAGCGCCATTTAGCCATTGTAAAAATAGTACAGCCGATCGGCTATACTATTTTTATAATTAAACAAATTCGCGTATAGCCGCACGGCTGTACTATTTATTATTAAAAAAAACTCGCCTGGGACCTAGCCGCTCAGCTATACTATTTGTAAATAATAAAAAAAGATGACCCACCTGACGCCTAGGGCCCGCTTCTCCACGTGTCAAAAACAGTATAGCCAGGTTGCTATACTATTTTTTTATAATAAAAAAACGTAGTATAGCCGAGCGGCTATATGCTTTAAGTATATTATATTTAATAGGAGTGTAGCCACACGGCTATACGATTTATTTAAAAATTTAAAAAAATGTGCCTCCTAGTTGCATTAGTTTACAGATATGCTTTATATATAGATTAATTTGCTAATTTTGACATCTCCGAAGCAGATATTGAAGATAGAGAAATTTCACGGTAAATCAACTTGAGAGTTCAATTTTTCTTTTTCTTTTTGTGTGGGAATTTTTTCCTTTGGACAACCTCATTCTCTCAAGTACTACTAAATTCTATTACTGCATACATTATTTGTTGTAGAGAATTGTATACTGAGTTGGAGTGTTTTTTGTAATTGCTTCACATTTCAAACAACACTTTTTAATGTGTTACCATTGTGTATTTTATAATGTATCCGTGAGTTCATGTCCTTTTTTTTGGGTTGTTTCATTTGCATTTAACGGACTATTTCAATTCTCATACACTTTCAAACATATTAATATATATTCCATTTTCAGAAATTTCATTAAGTAATTCTCATGCAAACCACATGCTCCAAAATACAAAAAGAATTCATCACAAACTATTTCTTCCAGAGTTTACAAACTTTAGCTGTCAATGATTGGCATAAAGTTAGCCAAAAACAAAAGTTCTATGCAGTTTAAATTACCCACAAAAAATTCTCGAGGTCTATGCTGGTGACCCTAATCATAGAAATTCTGCTCACTCACCACGCACTTCATCAAAGGATTAGTACCTAATAAAAAATACAATTCAAAGGGAAGACAGTGACGTCTGATCTAAAACAAAGAGAGAAACAAAATTGGCAACGAATTTTGATCAAATTAATTGCAGACACACGACAATGACAACGAAACTGAAAACACAGAGAATCGGGTTTTCCATTGGATTATTCTTCTTTGTCGGCCTCACTTGTCGTAGAACCTATAATTCGGAGCACTACGATCCAACAGTTCACACCAACTACAAACACAATACAGCCCAATTGCCTACTCCATGACAAGCTTGTTCATGGCCGGCCCCATATCAAAAATTCTCTTCCACTTTTGCCCTTTTTAGCAACTCCAAAATCAATCTTTTAATGGGCCTTCTTTCCCTTCTTATGCAACGTGTAATGACGTGATTCATTGGCTTTCCATTTTCCCATACGTTTTGGTTCCGCTTTATAATAACTGACCCAATTAACTTGCTCGAAAGTTCACACACGCAATCGCAGCAAAGTGGGAACTTTTCAGAAAACAAAAATGGCAAAAGCGATTCGGTTCTTTGAGTTGAACACTGGGGCCAAGATCCCGTCCCTCGGTTTGGGCACGTGGCAGGCTGAGCCCGGCGTCGTTGCCGCCGCCGTCACCGCCGCCATTAAGGTCTCTCTTGTTTCTTATTTTAATTGGAAATGCAATTACAAAAATGTCAAGTTTGATTTTGATAAGTCGTTCAACTGTTCATCTGTGCGAAATGCAGGTCGGGTACCGGCATATTGATTGTGCTCAAGCGTATGGCAATGAAAAGGAGGTATTCAATTTCAAATTCAACTCTTATTCATTGATTTTTCGCCATTTCTCTGCTTAATTATTTGCTTTAAATTAATTTTCTAAATTTGTAAATTCTATTATATTTTATGATTTATGCGTCCCAATGTAACAGTGACCAATTTGCTGGATTTCATAGATTGGGTTTGCTCTGAAGAAGCTTTATGATGATGGTGTGGTGAAGCGTGAGGACCTATGGATCACTTCAAAACTCTGGTTTGTTTCAGTATAACTCTCTTGATTCTTTTCTATATCTAATTGAAAATTTGAAAAGGTTGAATTTGAAATTACCTTTATGTGCACTGTACAGGTGCAATAATCATGAACCAGAAGATGTGCCAAAAGCACTAGATAGTACCCTGCAAGACTTACAACTCGACTATCTCGATCTCTATCTAGTACGTAAACCAAACCACACTCAATTACTGTTTGTTTGTTAATATCTAGAGACACATAAAAAGGGTAATCTTTTGTTTCTACGAATTTAGACCACGCATTCAAATGAGAATTTAACTGATCAATTGTTTATTTTGACAACTTAACATGTCAAACTTTATGAGAAAATAACATATTCTTAAGCAAAACTGTAATGATATGTCCCAAAAAAATAATGAGGTCACCTTTTCAGATTGATGGTTTAGTTTTCATAATGTGACTTTGTACTTTGGACTTTGTTTATATCTGGAAATAAGAAACGGCAACCTTGCAAGCAAGTCTCACTAGCTTTATGAAGTTATACAAATCATTGTTTATTTGCCGCTGAATATTTTGTAAATTTTGTGTAGATCCACTGGCCTGTCAAGATGAAGAAGGGTTCAACTGGCTTTAAGACTGAAAACCTTGCCCAACCTGACATAGCCAGTACTTGGAAAGCAATGGAGGCACTTTATGATTCTCGCAAGGCCAGGGCCATAGGGGTTAGCAATTTTTCTACAAAGAAGCTTGGAGACCTATTAACAGTGGCACGAGTGCCTCCGGCTGTTAATCAAGTGGAATTGCACCCTCAATGGCAGCAGCCAAAACTAAAAGAATTCTGCAAATCCAAGGGAGTTCACTTAACCGTGAGTATGCTTATATGAAGTAAAATATTCTTCTTCTGATTTACCAAAAGCACCAACTGCAGATTACTGGTATAATTAATATTGGAATGTGTTTCTTGTTTCAGGGGTATTCACCATTGGGATCTCCAGGCACAAGCAGCATTAAGGGTGATGTGCTTAAGAATCCGATTCTTACATCGGTGGCAGAGAAGCTGGACAAGACTCCTGCACAAGTGGCTATCCGGTGGGGGCTCCAGTCAGGTCACAGTGTACTGCCTAAGAGCACAAAGGAGGCAAGGATCAAGGAGAACTTTGATGTTTTTGATTGGTCTATACCTGAAGATTTGTTTGCAAAGTTTGCTGAAGCAAAGCAGGCAAGTAACATTTTTTCTTCTTATTTCTTCTTTGTTATATATGTCTTTCTGTTCCTGAATTCCATTCATCTGTTGTCTTGTGGTGATTTGACTTTGCTAAAGAATTCTGTTTTTATTTACAGGAGAGGCTGCTTAAAGGTACCGGATTCGTCCACGAGACTTCCGAAGGTTACAAAACCATCGAGGAACTTTGGGACGGTGAATTGTGAGCATAACCTGGATGAGCTGATGTTAGAAACATTTGGCTTTTCTATATGCCTTTCTTTAGCTTGTATGTTTGGTTGTAGCTTGATTTTCATTAAGCTTGATGGAAGAATGGTGGAATTCAGAAGTTTGTTTGTTTTTTTTTTTTTTTTTTTATTTTTGATACATTCAGCTTTAATGACATATAAAATCCTGTGTTGCTTCAGCGTATTGGACTCTGTCATGAAATTATGAATCTTTATGGAGGTTTTTCTTTGTTCGTCCGGTTAATCTGCCTTTTGCTTTGATGCACTTACTAGACCAGAGTTAAGTGTACTTCTATTCAAATCGCAAATTTCATTTGATAAATTTTAAAAATACAATCAACACGTCTCTACATGACAGTAACAAATTCAAATTCAAATAGGCAACAAAACTAACAAGTCAAAATTTAAAACACATCCGCACATAATAGTAAACAAATGTCCCAAACCAACAAAGATGACCAAAATCTACTTGACATCCTTTAAATGTAAGATGGAACTAACTTATAAATTTCAAAAGGAGAATTTTTGGAGCATCATTTAAAAAAAATATAAAGTACTAATTATTCAGTAACCCAAAATAATAATAAAAAAAGAAAGAGGGAACGCTCGTGTGCTTCTTCTTCCTCCTCTGTATGAAGTTATATTTTCTTTCTTTCATTATAAAAATAATTTGCTAAGGAAAGAAAAGAAAGTGTGTCTGCGTTTGAGAAAAGCAGCTGAATTGCTGTCTTGAGAAAGAAAGCCCGGATTGGAAACTATCTCCACCCGCGATTTATTTAAGCCAAACGATCCCACTTTCGCCTTTCGTGCTCAACTGAAAAGCAGCTCAGGTCAGCTTGCACAAGTAGCAATTCCAAAATCGCAGCAAGCAGAGCCAGAGTGAGAGAAAAATGGCGAACGCAATTCAGTTTTTTGAGCTGAACACCGGCGCCAAGATGCCTTCCGTTGGGTTAGGCACATATCGCGCCGATACTCATCTCATCGGCGACGTCCTCTCCGCTGCCATTAAGGTTACTGTTTTCTCAGTTTTGATCCATCAGTTTTAATTATTAATCAGGATTATATGTAAAATTATGCGTACTTAATAGTTTTTTGTAGGTAGTTTAAGCCTGGTAGTTTAATTTGAGTCGTTCCCGTGTTGTCTGTGTTTTTGTGTGCAGGTTGGATATCGCCAAATCGATTGTGCTCAAATGTATGGCAATGAGAAGGAGGTAAGATAAGAATTCAAGAATTCATATATGTTTTTTTTTGTTTTGTTTTGTGGGGGTGGTTTGGTTTCCGATGAAAATTACTTCTTGAAAATTTATGCGCTAATTTCTGCTGGAAACTGTTGTTTTGGGACATGAGAGCAGTTTCTGGTTTATGTATGTAGATTGGTTTTGCTCTGAAGAAGCTGTTTAGCGATAGGGCGGTGAAGCGTGAGGACTTATGGATCACCTCCAAACTCTGGTTTGTTTGAAACTCTGCTTTAAGTTTTGTAGTCTTCAATTTATAATCTCAAAATTCCAACTTTACCATCAAATGCTAAGTTGAAATCAGAATTATCTGCAGGTGTACTGATCATGAACCAGATGATGTGCCAAAGGCATTTGATAAAACTTTGGAGGATTTGCAGCTTGACTATCTGGATCTCTATCTTGTAAGTGCACAAGTTTAAGATTTACCCTTATAGTAAATGTACCTTGAAGATGTCACCTAGAAATGTATGTTTGAGTGCTCTTAATCTTTATTGTAGGTAAAATGAAATTAATTAATCACATGCTTTGGACTGACTAACCAAAACAAATTTTTGAAGAGACATCAACTTTCGGAGTCTCACTAGCACATTTATTTTGTTCTGATGTATGCATAAAGTAATATTGCAATTGCTTATTTGTTATTGAATTTCATAAAAATCTTGGTAGATCCACTGGCCAGTGAGCATGAAAAAGGGGTCAGTTGGCTCTGATCCTCAAAACCTTACCCAACCTAATATACCCAGTACATGGAAAGCAATGGAGGCACTCTTTCACTCTGGCAAGGCCAGGGCTATTGGAGTCAGCAACTTCTCTTCAAAGAAGCTTGGAGATCTGTTAGAGGTGGCACGAATACCTCCGGCTGTTAATCAAGTGGAATTGCACCCTCACTGGCAGCAACCGAAGCTGCACACTTTCTGTAAATCTAAGGGAGTCCAGTTATCTGTGAGTATGCGGAGACAAAGTCTTTTATTGTTACACATGACTTCTGTGAATAATATGGGAACAGAATAGGCTAGATTTTCATTTTTGTGGTTCCTGAACCTCAGCATTGGCTAATTAGTGATGTATTTTTGTGATGAATAATCTTATTACAGGGCTATTGTCCATTGGCAAGGAATAAGGTCCTTAAGAATTCTATTGTGAACTTGGTGGCAGAAAAACTGGGCAAGACTCCTGCCCAAGTGACTCTTCGATGGGGGTTACAAATGGGTCACAGTGTAGTGCCTAAAAGCACGAATCAGGCAAGGATACAGGAAAACTTTGATCTTTTTGATTGGTCTATACCCGACGACTTGTTTGCCAAATTCTCTGAAATTAAGCAGGCAAGTGCCTTTTCCTTTCTTCCCCCTTCTTTTCATTCTTTCTTTGTTCTAGTTTCGGTTCGTGCTTGTCAAGAGGGCTTTAGTTTCTTTTGGACGGTTGAATTTAACTTTCTTTGTAATTGATGGTGCAGGAGAAGCTTGTTCCAGGAACTGGTTTTGTACATGAGACTTTGGGTGCGTACAAGACCCTTCAAGAACTGTGGGATGGCGAGTTGTGAGCAGAACCTAAGTCCTGTTTCAATGGTTTATAACTTTATACCTAATGTGCTAGTGCAACCGCACCAAAACTAGAATTGTATGAAAGATTGATTCTGCCATTAAAATCTAATTGATGAGTATATAGTGATGTGAGAGGTGGAATTGTTGCATGTTCAATCTCCTTCACCTGCTTATATTCATTCTTGTTTTTAGATCAAGATATAAGAATCAATTTCTGATGCTTTCCTCCTTATTTCTAAAGCAATTTTTTATTAAAATTAAAAACACACCGAGTCTAGCCGGGTGGCTATACGCATTTAATATAAATCTACACAAACCAGGCCAAATTGTTTAAGTTCAATTCTAAAATATACGCAGTAGCTGGATTTGATATGTTGTGAAATTGAAGTTAAAATGCAATCGTAGAGAAAAGGCTGCACTCAGATGGCCCTTTGTGTCAATCAGGAGGATAGGCTTTGACAATTCATTAGTTTCTTCAGATATTTTGAATCAGTATATATAGATGAGCTTGATTTCTTCAACCTCCCTCAATACAAAGCTGAATGACTGTTGTGATGGCGGATGAGTTTTCTTGAGATATAATGAATGAAACCAATAGAATCAATAGACCAAAGTTTACATGATCCGAAGTAATAGAACAGAAATCCCAATCCACAAACCAAAATGAAACCCCAAAAGCTCAATGTCGCTAGAGGACCAAAGTTGGAAAAGTTTGTGCTATTTCTTTCCAAGTAAGACATTGGTAAGAGCAGTATTTGACTCCGATGATGCCTTCACCAACTTCAAACCCTACAAGAGAGAGAAATATACATGTAAGACATTTAGCTCTCTAAATAGATCAACAAGCCACTGATAAGAGTTAGAGAAATATATAGGACATGAAACCTCCTTAACTTGAAGTGCATCAATCGCCTTCACATTGAACTTTTGAAGTACTGCAACACTTGATTCGGTGGTCATTGGCTTCACTTCCAAATTATGCATTATCATGTAAATAACACCACCCTTGACATAGCCTGCCTTAATATTGCTGGAGGTTGCTCTAGTAGGAGCAGATGGAGAAACATAAGACACCGGGGTGGAAATGTTACATGATCTGCACTGTGGACAAGGGATTCCATAGCTCTCAGGAATACGGTTACGGCACCCCACACAAATGTAGAACAATTTAGAAAGATTCTAGTCATTGTTGGTCGGCAATGGCAATTGAAGCATATTGGCCGCAGAAATTGTTGTTTTGGGTTTGAACAGGGTGTCCTTAAGATTGAGTGGCAAGTAGGAGTTGACACTAAGGCTTTCGGCACTCTGGTAAAGGTTGCCTAAGCAACCAACCATACCATCAGTTGAGAGGAGCCTAGTAACAGTTGCAACATGCAAAGACAGAAAACTGAAAAGGAAATCAACAACTTCCTTGCTTGCTTCAGCAAACAGAACTTTGTGGCTTTTTGGGGTCAATCAGAAGCTTCAAAATCACGCTAGCGCTGTTGGTGGCAGCCATTGAGGGGATATTACGGACAGACCTTCACCAAAAAAGTATCCTAATGAACTCAAAATTATTCAAAAATGGTAATGGTGAACGGATCAAGAAGGTGGAGGGTCACCTTGGACTCTGCATCATCAGTCGACCACAAAGCAACTCTACATATGCAAATCTGTCCTTACCTATACACATAGGGAATATAATCTACAGATGAGTGAATAAATATGTATTTATTTCCACTAAAAAACTGCAATCTTAAATAGGTTCGAAAAATGGGCCTAGGCGGCGCCTAGGCGCTAGGCAGGAGGACACCGCCGCCATTTCACCCTAATCCTTAAGGGTAGGCGCCAGGGAGTTCGGCGGCGCTTGGGCGACCGCCTAGGCGGCTCTAGGCGGCCCTAGGCAGCCCTAGGCGGCTCTAGGCGGCTCTAGGCGGCCCTGGGCGGGCGTTTTGCCGTTGATGTGTGGACGAAGGTCGGTTGAAGCGCTCAGGATCCGCTGCTTGTTAGGAAGAAAGACGGAGAGAGAGAGAGAGAGAGAGAGAGAGAGAGAGAGAGAGAGACAAAAAGGAAGGAGAAGGCGACGCTGGGAAGAAGAAGATATCTGACCTAATTTTTAATATAACTAACGGGTTGGGTTTTGTAAAATGACCTTAAACATTGTATTAAAATGGGCCTATTTTTTTGTGTCAATCAGAAGCTTCAAACTCACGCTAGCGCTGTTGGTGGTAGCCATTGAGGGGATATTGAGGACAGAGAAGAAGGAGCATGTGCTTAAGCATTTAAAGACCTACTTTATAAGCTTCACAAAAGAAGTATCCTAAATTCAAAATTATTCAAAAATGGCAATGGTGAATGGATCAAGAAGGTGGAGGGTCACCTCGGAGACTCTGCATCATCAGTCGACCACAAAGCAACTCTACATATACAAATCTGCCATTACCTATACATAGGTAATATAATCTGCGGATGAGTGAATAAATATGTATTTCTTTCCTCTAGTTGGCATTCATTAACTAAACCAACAACCAGATTTACAATTCGCTTTGATTTGTATTTGCTTTTTCATATTAGTTGTATTGTATCTTCAGACTTCACTAGTTTAGAGGCCAAACACAGTGAAAAAGTCAACTAACAGGTCTATGCTCCCTTCAGCAAACAGAATTTTGTGGCTTTTTTACATGGACTAGGAGTTTCACCTTATTTTTGGTGATTGCCATTGACAACGTCAAGAAGACTGATCCATAATTACATGGATGAGTTTATTCTTTGGAATGGATGAGGAACTTCATAGATCAAGTAAGAGGAGAGAAATTTGATAGGAAAAGAGAGCAGATAATAGATCACTCGAACATGTAATTTTGTCACACATTCACATGAGTATGGATTAATTTGGTGTGAAAAATAGGAGGAGCTGTAATGCAAGGCATCAAAAAGCTTTTATAAGCTTGCAAACTGCCACTTCAGAAACAAAACTACATTTGATTCGTTTAGAAATTGAAGTAAGAATTTGTGTGACATGACAAGGGTTTGAGTTGCAAGGTGTCCGTGTTAGAAAGACTTGTGTATAAGCTAAGACAAGCCTTTGAAACCATCAACAGCAATTCGAACTGAATCAACGGTACTAAAGCCTAAGATCCCAGGGCTACTGCCGCCTGCTTGTTGCAAGGTCTTCCAAAAATAGAATATTTTAACAGTATAGCCGGGCGGCTATACTCCAAAATATAATATCGTACAGGTATAGCCGGTCGGCTATACTAAAAATAGCATATCTTAAAAGTGTAGCCGACTATTCTCCAAGTATATCCGCGCGGTACTACCCCAAAAATATAATATCGTACAAGTATAGACGCGTGGCTATACTCCAAAAATAGAATCTCTTAAAAGTATAGCCGCGTGACTATTCTCCAAAAGAGAATAGCTTCAACGTATAGCCGTGCAGCAATACTTGATAAATATAATAGCTTAAACGTACAGCCGCACGGCTGTACCCCAAAAATTATATCGTACAAGTGTAGACGCGCTGCTATACCCCAAAAATTGAATACCTTAACAGTATAGCCGCACGGCTATACCCTTCAAGTGGCATAATATGGATTTCTCTTTTTCAATTACTTTAATTAGTAGTTATGTTTTAGTTATTATTTACTCAGTGAATTATTAGTATTTAAATATTTTATTAAAGAGAAAAATAGAAAATTTTAATTACTATTTATTAAATAATATAATTCATGAAGTTAATTAAAATATTTAATACTAATTATTCACTTAAGAAATAATAATTAAAATATAATTACTAATTTAACTAATTAAATAAGGCTAATATATTATTTAATTACAAAAAATAAAATTGAAAAAATTAATTAATCTAAATGTACTAAGTTTATATTTATTTTAAACGAAAAAATCTCTCCCGACGAAACGTTGTTTGCACATGTCTATCCCATCTAAATTTGATGTATTAGACATCTCCCGACGAAATTGCGTCAGCAAATGTAATATTCGTTGGGAGAGGTCTAACCAGACAAATTTCGCCAGCATAGTCCTGTGCCGACAAACGTTCGTCGGTAAAGGTGTTTTTGTGTTTTTGTTTCAATTTTAAAAATATAAACTAAAATTAGTTTCTTTACTTTTTTTTTTCTTTTGACAACTTCTTTAATTTAATACATGTAATTTAATAATATCTTTGCCTTTATGTTTGTGATGACTTAGAATTTTTTTTTCTTTGTAGAAACGAAATAGCGTACATAGAACAATAGGATATAGTGGCCTCGTTAAAACCTTCCTGGGAAACAAACTCCAGGGTAGGAAAGATAGTCTGATACAGTCACATTAGACCAATACAAAAGCAAATCAAAACAACAATGACACAAAGACCTTCAACGAAAACACTTCAACACAACTTAACTGTCAAAAGAGTCGTGCTATGAAATCATAGTCCTTCGTACAACCACAAGATAGTAAGAGTATCTGATAGAGAACACACCAAAGCTCCAGAAAGAAAGAGAGAACCCACAAAGCACACCAGCTCTATCCACCTCCAATAACGAATGGTGCTGGAAATAGAGAAGTTTGCATGAAGCAACATAAGAGAAGAGACAAAGTACTACTAACATGCCAGGTAAAAAAGAAACAAAAAAGTCCTCAAAGACACCCTGTATCATCCTAACACTGACAAGGAAACCTCCTATGAATCCATAATCCTTAAGACAGGCGAAGAGTCAAAGATGTGCTGAGAGGATAACTGAGAAAACACCACGCAATAATAACAAAACTGGCATCAGCCACGAATGCTCCAATTACACATTAAGGAAGGCTCCTAGGAGACCCCACTGGACCAGTCTTCATAGGCCTGTTAGAATAGGCATCAGTGCGCAGGTGCTTAAGAACCATGAAGTCTACCCAAGAAACTAAGGTATCATCATCAGAAATGGGTGCAGGCATGGTAGGGATCAGAGGATACGAGGCCCAAACATAAGGAGACAAACCACCAAACAGCAAGGGAGGAAAATCCTAAATTGATTTAACTAGACCCCAAAGAGTAGGACGAGTCACAGTGACAACGGATTAGAGAGAGGTTGACTTTATACCGAAGGCAAGGACGTAGACAAGGGCGGATTGAGGAGAGAAGGGTGATGAGACGCACACGAAAAGAGGGGGAAGAGGCATCGAATATGACAACAACGACTGAGCACAAGAAGACAACTGAGCCCGACTAGTTGAGAGAGAGAGAGAGAGAAAGTGCGACGATGATTGAGCCCGAGAAGGAGACTGAGCCGGAAAAAGAGAACGACAACGACTGAGGGTGAGAAGATGACGGCTGAACACAAGAAGAAACCCTATATGTGACGCTCGATTCTCCTCGCGATGACAAGATAATGACCCGTAGAGTTTTAGAGTCTAAAATCTAAGCTTTAACAGACCATTTGTGATGACTTAGATTGATTAGTAGTAGTTGGTAGTCTCTTTCGAAGTAACTCCCTTATGAATTTTAAAGGACCACTTTACATTTAGTATCATGATTCCAAGGGTTGTAGACTACTCAAGAATTTCAAATCTCAAGTTTTATGTTGAAATTTAATAAAGGACTAAAAATGGTTGCTTATTTCTTTGCAGTTCAATTATGCCCTTCCTTCCCCCAACTAAATCCCTAAAACCCTAAAGATTGCCCATATTACCATTTATTAGCAGTGTGATTCAAGTAACCCTTAAAGGGGTTTATCATTTGTTAATGAACTAATTCTTATACAGTTACTATTGAGCATCATTCAATTTCTCAAAGTTGTGAAACTGAAACACTGAAACAGCACTTCAATTCATCTCTGTTTATTGACTTTCTTAATCAAAGTTGCGATACTAAAACCCAAAACCAAAAGGTGGAATAGTTCTGCAGTTGGTGGAATTGGGAAGGCAATGAGTGGTTCCCGAGAGGATAAGTCTGTGTCGAAACTTCTCTGGGTTATCTGATGTTTTTCGGAAATCTTCTTTACAGGGAAAATCCTTGAACACACTCACTCATATTGTTAATATTACTGAATAAATGGCCTAGGTGGGCTAGGTGGTTGCTAGGCGGGCGCTAGCGGTCTAGGCGGTCGTGCTATTAGCGAGAGACAGAGAGAGAGATAGAGAGAAATAGATGAGGATTGAAGAAGAAAGGTTGGCGGTTATGTTTGGGAGAGAGAGAGAGAGAGAGAGAGAGAGAGAGAGAGAGAGAGAGAGAAAAGGGCTAGAATGATGACAAAAAGGAAAGAGGAAGAGAATTTCAGAGATATCAAAGAAAGAGAAATGGAGAAGACTAGAGGATTTCTGAGTTTTGATTTCAATCAACTAACTTTTTCAAAGCATAGCCCACTCTTATGTAAACAGATCACAGAGGGGCTTAGCTGACTAACCACATAGCTTAGCTGTCTAACTAATACACGTGCTAGGTACCAGACTTGTAACAAACTTACTGGCTTGCTAATCATAGTTAACATACTAACCATAGTTAACATTTTCCCTACTTAGGTAACTCCCTTAACCTAAGATGAGCACAATGCTATGAGAAGATGTAGACCCTTTGTAAAAACATCAGCAAGTTGTTCATTTATTGAAACATATTGAACTAGCAAATCCTTCTTCTGCACTCGCTCCCTTACAAAATGGAAATCAATGTCCAAGTGTTTAATTCGGGAATGATATACTGGATTTGAGGTAAGAGCCAACGCAGATAGATTATCACAATATGCAACTGGAGGATTTGGCAAATATAGCTTCAAATCTTTTAAAACCTGTCGAATCCAAGCCAAATCAGCAGTAGTATTGGCTAGAGCCCTATACTCTGCCTCTGTAGAACTTCTTGAAACAGAGCCTTGTTTCTTTGATTGCCAAGATATAGGATTGCTGCCAAAAATATCACAAAACCTGTTGTAGACCTGCGAGTGTTGATGTCTCCTGCCCAGTCGACGTCACTATATGCAAAGAGATTCATATCACCAGCTGTAAAACTCAGGCCATACTCTAGAGTACCTTGCACATATCTGAGAATCCTTTTCACCAAATGCCAATGAAGATCAGTAGGTTGATTCATGTATTGGCACACTGAGTTGACAGAATAAGCAAGCTCTGGTCTTGTAAAAGTCAAATATTGGAGAGCCCCTACAATGCTCCAAAACAATGTTGGATTAGTTAATACTTCACTAGAATCTTTTAACACACCTGCGTATGTGGTTTACATGGAGTTGAGCAAGCTCGACAAGAGTTCATCCTAGCTTTGTGAAGCAACTCTTTAGCATATTTGGACTAATTAACAAAAATATCACCATTGGAGGCATGGGATACTTGTAAGCTGAGAGAGAATTTGAGCTTACCCAAGTCCTTCATTTAGAGTACATAACTTAACTCATCAATCACAAGCTGAACCATCTTCTCATTACAACCTGTGAGAATAATATCGTCAACATAGAGTAAGAGAATCACAACCTCTAGGTCTGAATGTTTGACAAAGAGGCTAGGATCAGACTGTGAAGGTTGAAAACCTATGGCTGGTAAGTATCCAGTGAATTTGGCATTCCAAGCCCTTGGAGCTTGCTTCAAACCATACAATGATTTTTTAAGCTTACATACTAAATTAGGATAACATGGATCTGCAAACCCTTGTGGCTGTCTCATAAACACTTCTTCTTCCAATTCGCATGTAAAAATGCGTTCTTAACATCAAGTTGTCTTAACTGCCATTTATTCATTGCAGCTAGACTCAGTATTAACTTGATAGTGGTGTGGCACACTACAAGATTGAAAGTTTCACTAAAATCCAAGCCTTTCTCTTGACTAAATCCCTGAGCTACCAACTGAGCTTTATGCCTAGCTATAGAACTATCAGAATTCCTATTTATCGTGTAAATCCACTTACTACCAACAATGTTTTAATCTCCAGGATTAGGAACTAAACTCCAAGTACCTTGCATATGCAAGGCATCAATCTCTTCTTGCATGGCATGTTTCCATTGTGGAGAAAACGAGGCTACCTTATAGTTTGCAGGTTCATCTAATTCAATATGAGCATTCAAACATGTATAATACCCCACATAGTCAAGACACTGTTTCTTCTGTACTATGCCATCCCTAAGTCTAGTATGCATGGGATGAGTATTAATAGAACTAATAGGTAAAGAATCAGACGAGGAAGTACCCGAAGATGAATGCTCAAGAGGAGGTGAAATTGGCAAGTGATGATCACCTAAAAGGGGATGATGCACCTCTAGAACAAGAATTGATTCTGAACCACCTAATGGTTGCGCAAAAGGAGATGCAGAAGTACAAGATAATGTTGAAGGAGCTGATGGTGTGACTGTGGTAGCCCGAGGTGTAACTTCTTGCAAAGGCAAAGAAAAAAGAATGGGTGGCATTACTGCTTAAGGTTCAAAAACAACAGTCGTTGAACTAAGCAGTAATGACTTGAAAAGCCAAACCGATTCATCATGAATCACATGTCTGGAGATGACAAACTTTTCAGTGAAGATACCATAACACAAAACACCTTTATACCCCGAAGAATAACCTAAGAATACACATTTAGTGGTTCGAGGTTGAAACTTATGCACATTAAAAGGTCTGAGATATGGATACACAGCAGTGCCAAATATTCTTAAAGATTGTAACTCTGGTTGCTTGCCATACAGTCGAAAATAAGGAGTTTGATGCTTTAAGGACTGACTTGCCATTCTATTTATTAAGTAGACTGCATGTGCAAGAGAATGATACCAAAAGTGTCCAGGCATATTAGCAACAGTCAAAAGAATTAGAGCAGTCTCCACAACATGTCTGTTTTTCCTCTCAGCCATACCATTCTGCTATAGGGTGTATGGACATGTAAGCTGATGCAGAATACCATGATTGGCAAGAAAGTCAGTAAATGTTTTGCTAATATACTCACCACCACCATCACTCTGAAAATGCTGAATTTTAGCATTAAATTGAGTCTGAACCAAAGCAAAGAATTTGAGAAATTTGGAGAACACCTCAGATTTATTAAAAAGGGGATATATCCATACAAAGCCAGTATACTCATCTAAGAAGAGTACAAAATATCGGAAGTCATGAATGGACTTAAAATGGGAAGGGCCCCAGACATCACTGTGTATCTTAGAAAAAGGACTATATGTCTTAACATGATTACTAGAAAAGGGCAGCTTGTCCATCTTTCCTTGAAGACATGAAGGACACAAATCAAACTGTGCATCTTCTGAAACAACCATGTTGGAATCTTTAAGCATAAGCTTCACCACCTCATTTGTTGGATGACCCAATCTCTGATGCCATGTAGTAGAACTCACACGCTAACCAAGATAAGCTGTTGGACTGGAAAACAAGAACAGGGCATACGGAACTTTACACGGAATGGGATATAAGCCATTACGGCTAGAGCCCTTGAGAAGAATTGCCTTTGTTGTCTTGTCCTGCATACAGAAACCAATAGAATCAAAGCTTATGATACAATGATTATCTTTGCATAACTAGTTCACAAATAAAAGATTTGCAGAGAGCTTGGGAACATGAAAAACAGAAGGCATTTTAAGGGAAGTAGAAGCACAAGACAAAGCAGTAGTGCCAATATTTGTTATATTCAAACCTTCACCATTCCCCACAGTCACTTGATCAATGGAATCACATGGGGTAACAATGTGCAGAGTAGACACATCAGCAACCATATGATAGGAAGCTCCACTGTCTGCAATCCAAACATGATCTGCCATCTCTTGTCTCGAAGGAGTTGTCATTGGAGCATAAGCATGTGTAGGCATATAAGAACTATGAGCTGCCATAGCAGAGATAGTGGATGGAAGAGCTTGACCTTGATAGACATAATTTGAGCGATGGAAGCAATCCAAAGCACCATGAACCTTCTTACCACAAATTTGGCAAGCAATGATTGACCCAAAAATCTTAGAACTATCATCACCATGACGATGATATCAATTAACGGCAGTATGGCCACGTTTGCCACAAATTTGGCATTTCGGAACAACAGAGTATTTAGAAGAAAAATCCCCAAATCTTGCTTGAGCACCAGAAAACCCACCATGAAAAGCAAAACTTGGATGCCGAGTCTGTGAACACCGACCACATCCAGAGGCAAAACCTCTACCATTACCATAGGAAAAACCTCGACCATTGCCAAAGAAGGATTGAGAAAGAGCGTGAGCGATGTTGGCTCTGATACCAAGATGACATAAAAGAAAGAGGAGGAGAATTTCAGAGATATCAGAGAAAGAGAAATGGAGAAGACTAAAGGATTTCTGAGTTTTGATTTCAATCAACTAACTTTTACAAAGCATAGCCCACTCTTATGTAAACAGATCACAAAGGGGCTTAACTAGCTAACCACACAGCTTAGCTGTCTAACTATAATACACGTGCTAGGTACCAGACTTGTAACAAACTTACTGACTTGCTAATCATAGTTAACATACTAACCATAGTTAACATAGAAGATGGCTCGTGTTCGAATGAATTCAAGGAGATCCATTTTGTCTCATAGTCATTATATTCTATTTATAGTGTATAGCCGCACGGCTATACTTTTAGTTATTCTATTCATATGGTATAGCCCTTTAACATATTCTATATAGTATAGCTGCGCGGCTATTCTATTTAATAATTCTATTTATGCACCACGTGTCAAAACAAGTCTATTTTTAAAATCAAAATTTAACACAGAGTATATATATAGTGGGATCCTTTTTTTCTTTTAAATTTTTCCCCGATTTTTGTTTATCGATAAGAGTAGTTTCTAACATTATTCACTACTATCTTGCTTGGATAAGAACCGATCCAGGTAGTTAATGGCAAGGTATGGTATGAAAGGGTCAAGATTGCAAGAATATTGTGCCTCGTAAATTATGACAAGCTTAGACCAATATGCAAGAAGAGAGAAATTAACTGGAGAAATAGAGCTCACAAGTATTCTTTGCTATTTCATTTTTTACCTGCAAAACAAGACAAATGGCTTCTGAGGCACTGAGATTTTGACCAGCTTAAGGAATTTTGTGAGGGCATGTGGTCAGATTATGTGGCAAAGAGATTTTGAAGACCAAACTCATCCATTTTCTCTACTTGGTTTTGCGTTTCAAATGAATTTGTTTATCAAGTCTGAGTACAAACAGAGGAGGTCAAGGAGAGGACATTGGAGATGTATGTCTACACCTTCACCCCCCTCAGTAGTAGATAAAAAGAATATTTCTTTAAAAGATATTCCTAGTTGAAACCATCTATTTTCTATTTGTATATGTACAATCTTGTACCACATGAGAAAAAATACTAATTGATAATTGTATTTGCATATCTATAACAACATTCACGTGTGTCATTAATTTTTCGAATAGGACTATCTGTTAACTGATCTAATAACAATTTCTATCGTTATGTGACCATTTCCAAATAATGCAAAGGATTCCAAAATTATAAAACACTGCTCAAATGCCCAAGAATTATATCCATACTGAATTTGGTTTTATCTCAGCAGCAAGGTGAAGATCATACATGAAATGAAACAAAACATGAAATATCACCACATAAGGTCCAAATATCACCACATAAAACTAACAAGAACAGTAGAATATCATTCTCAATACATTGGTAACTGCCTATTTAACTAAGGATGTTCTTTTTTTTCTTTCTTTTTTTTAAAGGCTAATGATATTCCTTTGCACTGTTAAGTGCCAGCTTCTCAATTTCTCTTTCAGGTTGCCTTTTGGATCCAAAGATGAAGTCTTTAACACAACCTTCAGCAGACTCTGTCGCCTCTTAATCTGCCATCACAACTTTGTGCCATTAGCCTTCAAAACACTTAACGTACACCAAGTATAAAAATTATTCAACAAAACCGATATCTATCAAAAGAACCTATGACAATCGCCAATTACCAATGAAGAAATTGAAAGTTTTCTAAGACACAGGAAAAAGGAACATGAACACAGAGAAGGATCTCAGCTCAGCTAAAGGCATCCTGCCTTATAATATAGATGGTGAGATAAAACATGCTTTACGTTAAACAATCTAGTCTTTAACTACCTAATAATACCTCAGCACTAATCTTAGCCATAATCTATTTCAAAGGCCAAGATGCTATCCTTACAGACAGAAACAACAAATTTTTAAAAAAGACAATCAACAGCACCTCTAGCAGGCAAGGTACTTTGCAATAACGAACTCTTTTCATGTCTGCACCTATTTCTAAATTCTAACTCTGGAAAATTTGTCACTATTCCATTGAGCATCATATAGTTCTAGTTTCATGAACACTCCTACAAGCAGTCCAGTACACAAACTGGTTCACATTATCATTTTGATAATGAGATATGGCAACAGGAGAGACGTCGTATAACAAAATCAGTTCAAATCACATAACCCAAATTTGGTCCACAACTAGCAACTCAAGTTCAAGCCCAAAATCTAAAGACACCAAAATTTTGAACTAAAAGTGCAAACAAGAAGAGAAAATTGTAAACCCAAGACTAATTTTCATTTTCAACCTACCATTTCTTAACAAGATCCAATAGTAATTTTACAGAAAGAAATCACCTGAAGAACAAAGAACATAGGCTCAAAGCCATAATCAGCAGCCAAAGAGTAAAAGTAGAGACTTTGACACTTGTTCAAATCTGAACTTGAGTCGAGGTCTTTTAAGAGTCATTATATATAGTTATTTTTGCCCCTGTCTATATATTGAGAGGAAAACAAATCTGAACTTGTCTTAACCACTTGAGCTACAAGCCTTTTGAATATATATTGTTTCTCACATTACTTATTTCCCCAAATCACAATTTGGCAAATTTGTAAAAATAATTTTATCAACAACACAAAGAAAAATATTTGCACACCTATCAAACTGAATTTGGCAGGAAAATAGTAGGCAAATTCCCACCATAAAAGCTTGAAATACTTAGCCAAATAATTGATAAGCAGAACAATGGCCATGTTGCATTACTTTCCAAAATGCCTATAGACCATTTACTATTCAAAACCAGATATTAAAAAACTGAAAAGGAAAATGCAGGGGCTGTATATCTTAGTAGCATACTAGCAAATCATGTTAATGAATCACAAAACTGCAACTCAATCAGTTTAATCAGCTAGTTTCCCTCCACCATTCATGGGTAAAGAGAAATCTCATATACCTTTATTGCTGCTGCCACTGGTTTGACTCAAAAGGAAGCGGAGCAGGTGAGCCTTGGCTTGGCTATCTTCTTGTCCTCTTCAAGAGAGATTAGTGGAAGATTGGCTGGGTTCTCGATCATCAGTTTAGCTACCAGATATCCTGAGATGCTCCAGGTCTAGTACTTCCTCGCTCGCTTCCCGATATATCTCCCTGCCTTGTCATCATAGTATTCTGGCCTCCTGTCTATTGAGAGCACCGATATTTAAGCAAAAACCTTTATACTTTAATGGTGAAAATGACTACTAGAGGTGCTAAAATGAATAAACATAGCACGCAACAGAGACAAATCAAAACAAGACATGAACAAAAAGAACATAAAAGATAAAGAGCTAATGCAAATAGCACATTGTGAGAACACCATCTCCACGAGACTTACTTGGCCAAGAGCCACCATTGGGATAACTCCATGAAACTTCCTTGGGTTATCCATTGTTGTTCGGAAATCTTCTTTACAAGTTAAATCCTTGAACACACTCACTCATATTGTTAATATTACTGAATAAATGGCCTAGGCGAGTGCGAGGAGGGCGCTAGGCGGGCTAGGCTGGGGCTAGGCGAGCTAGGCGGTTGCTAGGCGGTCACTAGGTCGCCGCTAGGCATTCTAGGCGGTCGCTAGGCAGTCTAGGCAGTTGCTAAGCGGTCTAGGCAGGCGCTAGCCCCTAGAAAGAAAAAAAAAAGCCTTTTCCGAATCTCCAAGGTCAAGGACGAGATGACAATGGTGCTATGAGCGAGAGAGAGCGAGAGAGATGAGGATTGAAGAAGAGAGGTCGCCGGTTATGGTTGAGCGAGAGAGAGGGGCTAGAAGACGGTCGTGTTCGAATGAATTCAAGGAGATCCATTCTATCTCGTTGTCATATTATTTTATAGCGTATAGCCGTACGGCTATACGTTAGATATTCTATTTATATTTATAAAAAAAATCATATATATAGTGGGATACTTTTTTTTCTTTTAAATTTATTCCCTTATTTTCATTTATTGATAAGAGTAGTTTATAACATTATCTACTACTATTAGGCCATTACCCGAGTCTTTATTGTCCCCATTTAATTTTTTACTTTTTCAGAGTTCCTAAAAACATGACACTTGAAATAGATTTCATGTATAAATGTAAACGATACTCATCCACTAAAAATATATACAGATTGTGAATAAGAAATTATCAAAAGACATCAGGAAAGTGGCATAAAAAATAGTAGAAATAGGCATCAAGAAAAATCATTCACGTTCATCTGCAACATGGACAAGAGTTTCCTATATATATATATAATATTAAGAGTATAGCCGAACGGATATAGTACTAATTATACTACTAGGATAAACAGAGTTGGCTTATGTTTTGGTTAACCACAAAGAAATCCTCCTCAAGTGAAAGTTTTGTGTATAATGGGCATATAGCATACAACAACCTCAGAATAATTGGTCACGTGATTAGTACATTTGAGATGTTTGAATGTGAGAGTGACCTCTATGCAAGAATTTTTCCCTCCTCCAATAACATAATAAGTTTTCCCTTTATCCAACACTATACGGTATCAATCCAGGTTCTTCAAGTTCACAGGCTTCTTCATAAGCAACTGTTGCACCAAAGCCATTCATTTCATTTCTGTGCAGAGTAGAGATTGGTGTCTGCTAATCATCATGGACAACTTATACATCATTGGTGTTAGGCAATTTTGACAAGAACAAGACAGACTTGTGGTGAAGCCAAAAGTAAAAGGTAAAACAAAGGCCTTGTCGTGTTGAAGGTCATAAAGAATCAAAATAAAAACTGATGCAGAGTCGTACGTGATTTCAGAGCGGCCTCTCTGTCTCAGATCAGTATAGCAAAATTTAACATGTCATAAATCTTATAATCTAACAGTTATAACTGTTACTTAAGCTCAGCTCATCAAAATAAAAAACAGAAATATAACTGAATTAAATTTTAATTCCATTTGTAACCTACTCGCCTGAGCATTAAACTCTTCAACTTGGCTCAGACTCATTGCTCTTATATAAACCATTTACCCTCCTCTCCAACCATCAACAAAGCCAATCTAGCTAACCCTTTTCTGATATACAGCACAGAGGTGAGAGTTCCAAGTTTGCCAATAACCATGTCCAGAGAAGCTCAAGCAATATTTTCACTACTGCTAAAGGAAGCATGTGCTGTAACCGTGCTGGCAGATGTGCAACCGCACCAAAACTAGAATTGTATGAAAGATTGACTCTGCCATTAAAATCTAAGTGATGAGTATATAGTGATGTGAGAGGTGGAATTGTTGCATGTTCAATCTCCTTCACCGGCTTGTATTCATTCTTGTTTTTAGATCAAGATAGCAGACAATCAATTTCTAATGCATTACTCCTTATTTCAAAACTACTAGTGCTTTATGTAGAAGTACAAAGGCCTGATCATAAAATTGGTGTCCTATCATCAAATTATAGAACGCAAAAGAGGGGTGGTGTGCAATTTGTCAACAATTTACATTAAGAACGTTCATTCTATTCTTATATTCATTGATGTAGGACAATTTAGAAAGATTCTAGTCATTATTGGTCCTGCAATGGCAGTTGAAGGATATTGGCCGCAGAAATTGTTGTTTTGGGTTTGAGCAGGGTGTCCTTAAGATTGAGTGGCAAGTAGGAGTTGACACTAAGGCTTTCGGCACTTTGGTAAAGGTTGCCTAAGCAACCAACCATACCATCAGTTGAGAGGAGCCAAGTAACAGTTGCAACATGTAAAGACAGAACACTGAAAAGGAAATCAACAACTTCCTTGCTTGCTTCAGCAAACAGAACTTTGTAACTTTTTGGGGTTAATCAGAAGCTTCAAACTCACTCTAGCGCTATTGGTGGCAGCCATTGAGGGGATATTAAGGACAGACCTTCACCAAAAACGAATCCTAATGAACTCAAAATTATTCAAAAATGGCAATGGTGAACGGATCAAGAAGGTGGAGGGTCACCTTGGACTCTGCATCATCAGTCGACCACAAAGCAACTCTACATATGCAAATCTGTCCTTACCTATACACATAGGGAATATAATCTACAGATGAGTGAATAAATATGTATTTATTTCCACTAAAAAACTGCAATCTTAAATAGGTTCGAAGAATGGGCCTAGGAGGCGCCTAGGCGCTAGGCAGGAGGACACTGCCGCCATTTCACCCTAATCCTGAAGGGTAGCCGCCAGGGAGTTCGGCGGCTCTTGGGCGGCCCTAGGAGGCTCTAGGCTGCTCTAGGCTGCTCTAGGCGGCTCTAGGCGGCTCTAGGCGGGTCTGGGCGAGCGTTTTGCCGTTGAGGCGTGGAAGAAGGGCGTTTTGCCGCTGCTTACTGGGAAGAAAGAGAGAGAGAGAGAGAGAGAGAGAGAGAGAGAGACAGAGACAGAGACAGAGAGAGGAGAAGGCGACGCTGGGAAGAAGAAGATATTTGACCTAATTTTTATATAACTAACGGGTTGGGTTTTGTAAAATGGCCTTAAACATTTTTGTGTGTCAATCAGAAGCTTCAAACTCACGCTAGCGCTGTTGGTGGTAGCCATTGAGGGGATATTAAGGACAGATAAGAAGGAGCATGTGCTTAAGCCTTCAAAGACCTACTTTATAAGCTTCATAAAAGAAGTATCCTAAATTCAAAATTATTCAAAAATGGCAATGGTGAATGGATCAAGAAGGTGGAGGGTCACCTTGGAGACTCTGCATCATCAGTCGACCACAAAGCAACTCTACATATACAAATCTGTCATTACCTATACATAGGTAATATAATCTACGGATGAGTGAATAAATATGTATTTCTTTCCTCTAGTTGTATTGTATCCTCTGACTTCACTAGTTTAGAGGCCAAAGACAGTGAAAAAGTCAACTAACAGGTCTATGCTCCCTTCAGCAAACAGAATTTTGTGGCTTTTTTACATGGACTAGGAGTTTCACCTTATTTTTTGTGATTGTCATTGATGACGTCAAGAAGACTGATCCATAATTACACGGATGAGTTTATTCTTTGGAATGGATGATGAACTTCGTAGATCAAGTAGGAGGAGAGAAATTTGATAGGTAAAGAGAGAGAAGATAATAGATCACTAGAACATGTAATTTTATCACACGTGCGCATGAGTATGTAATTTTATCACACGTTCACATAATAGATCTTCACCTAGTTGGAACTGTCTATTTTCTATTTGTATATGTACAATGTTGTACAGCATGAGAAAAAATACTAATTGATAATTGTATTTGCATATCTATGACAACATTCACAAGTGTCGTTAATTTTTCGAATAGGACCATATGTTAACCGATCTAATAAGAATTTCTATCGTTATGTGACCATTTCCAAATAATGGAAAGGATTCCAAAATTATAAAACACTGCTCAAATGCCCAAGAATCATATCCATACTGAATTTGGTTTTATCTCAGCAGCAAGGTGAAGATCATACATGAAATGAAACAAAACATGAAATATCACCACATAAGGTCCAAATATCACCACATAAAACTAACAAGAACAGTAGAATCATTCTCAATACATTGTGAACTGCCTATTTAACTAGGGATGTTCTTTTTTTTTCTTCAAAAAAGAGACTAATTATATTCGTTTGCACTGTTAAGGGCCAGCTTCTCAATTTCTCTTTCAGGTTGCCTTTTGGATCCAAAGATGAAGTCTTTCACACAACCTTCAGCAGACTCTGTCGCCCTCTTAATCTGCCATCACAACTTTGTGCCATTAGCCTTCGAAACACTTAACGTACACCAAGTATAGAAATTATTCAACAAAACCGATATCTATCAAAAGAACCTATGACAATCGCCAATTACCAATGAAGAAATTGAAAGTTTTCTAAGACACAGGAAAAAGGAACATGAACACATAGAAGTATCTCAGCTCAGCTAAAGGCATCCTGCCTTATAATATAGATGGTGAGAGAAAACATGCTTTACGTTAAACAATCTAGTCTTTAACTACCTAATAATACCTCAGCACTAATCTTAGCCATAATCTGTTTCAAAGTCCAAGATGCTATCCTTACAGACAGAAACAACAAATTTTTAAAAAAGACAATCAACAGCACCTCTAGCAGGCAAGGTACTTTGCAATAAAGAACTCCTTTCATGTCTGCACCTATTTATAAATTCTAACTCTGGAAAATTTGTCACTATTCCATTGAGCATCATATAGTTCTAGTTTCATGAACACTCCTACAAGCAGTCCAGTACACAAACTGGTTCACATTATCATTTTGATAATGAGATATGGCAACAGGAGAGACGTCATATAACAAAATCAGTTCAAATCACATAACCCAAATTTGGTCCACAACTAGCAACTCAAGCTCAAGCCCAAAATCTAAAGACCCCAAAATTTTGAACTAAAAGTGCAAACAAGAAGAGAAAATTGTAAACCCAAGACTAATTTTCATTTTCAACCTACCATTTCTTAACAAGATCTAGTAGTAATTTTACAGAAAGAAATCACCTGAAGAACAAAGAACTTGCAGGGTCGAGAGCATTGGGCTCAAAGGCATAATCATCAGCCAAAGAGTAAAAGTCAAGACTTTGACACTTGTTCAAATATGAACTTGAGGGTTGAGGTCTTTTAAGAGTCATTATATATAGTTATTTTTGCCCTCGTCTATATATTGAGAGGAAAACAAATCTAAACTTGTCTTAACCACTTGAGCTACAAGCCTTTTGAATATATATTGTTTCTCACATTACTTATTTCCCCAAATCACAATTTGGCAAATTTTTAAAAATAATTTTATCAACAACACAAAGAAAAATATTTGCACACCTATCAAACTAAATTTGGCAAGAAAATAGGAGGCAAATTCCCACCATAAAGGCTTGAAATACTTAGCCAAATAATTGGTAAGCAGAACAATGGCCATGTTGCATTACTTTCCAAAATGCCTATAGGCCATTTACTATTCAAAACCAGATATTAAGAAACTGAAAAGGAAAATGCAGGGGCTGTATATCTCAGTAGCATACTAGCAAATCATGTTAATGAAACACAAAACTGCAACTCATTCAGTTTAATCAGCTAGTTTCCCTCCATCATTCATGGGTAAAGAGAAATCTCATATACCTGTAATGCATCGTGTATGCTGCTGCCACTGGTTTGACTCAAAAGTAAGCAAAGCGGGTGAGCCTTGGCTTGGCTATCTTCTTGTCCTTTTCAGGAGAGTTTAGTGAAAGATTGGTTGGGTTCTCAATCATCAGTTTTGCTACCAGATATCCTGAGATGCTCCAGGTCTGATACTTCATCGCTTGCTTCCCGATATATCTCCCTGCCTTGCCGTCATAGTATTCTGGCCACCCGTCTTTTGAGAGCCGCTACTCCACCTGTTTAATTGCTCTCTTAACAATCTGAGGCCTCCCCGTCTTGATACATGTTGCAGTAAGCAACCACAGCAGTGCTACAAGACAGATGCAACAACGTTAACCAATTGTTTTAAAACAAACACATAAGTCGGAGTTCTTGAACAAGCATAAAAATATCATGAATAGCACAACCATTTGGCACGCTTTCCCAAATTACATTCAAAAATGTATCCCACAACATTTATATACCGGAAGATTTCGTTTGGAAAAGTGGTCACAATCAGCAAATAAAGATGTTTAAAATAAAAGATACTATGTCAGGGAAGTAGTACTTGTAGCCTAGTTTACTAAATAAAAACAATTACTAGCTTACTCATATAAAGTGGGTACTAATGTTCATGAAATGTAATTGAAAGGTCTCAGTCAAATAGAACCAACACTAGGCTTCAAGTAGAAAAATATAACTTCAAATTGTAATATCAAGCAAAAGAGACACAGGGGACATTATCTGAAAGATTTACAAATCAACGGAAACTAACAAAACCAGCCTTGAGCTACTGATATTTAAGCAAAACCCTTTATACTTTAATGGTGAAAATGACTACTAGAGGTGCTAAAATGAATAAACATAGCACGTAACAGAGACAAATCAAAACAAGACATGAACAAAAAGAATAGAAAAGATAAAGAGCTAATTCAAATAGCACATTGTGATAACACCATCTCCATGAGACTTACTTGGCCAAGAGCCACCATTGTGATAACTCCATGAAACTTCTCTGGGTTATCCGTTGTTGTTCGGAAATCTTATTTACAAGTTAAATCCTTGAACACACTCACTCATATTGTTAATATTACTGAATAAATGGCCTAGGCGGGGGCGAGGCGGGCTTTAGGCTGGCTAGGCAGTCTAGGCGGTTGCTAGGCGGTCATTAGGCGGGCGCTAGGCAGTCTAGGCAGTTGCTAGGCAATCACTAGGCGGGTGCTAGGCGGTCTAGGCAGGCGCTAGCGTCTAGAAGAAAAAAAGAAGAAGCCATTTCGGAATCTCCAAGGTCGGGGACGAGATGACGATGGTGCTATGAGAGAGAGAGAGAGAGAGATGAGGATTGAAGAAGAGAGGTCGCCGGTTATTGTTTTTATAGCGTATAGCCGCACGGCTATTCGTTAGATATTCTATTTATAAAAAACTTAAGTGGGGTCCTTTTTTTATTTTAAATTTTTCCCCTGATTTTCGTTTATCAATAAAAATAGTTTATAACATTATCTTCGACTAATAGACCATTACCCGATTCTTTATTGTCCCTGTTTAATTTTTTACTTTTTCAAAGTTTATAAAAACATGACACTTGAAATAGATTTCATGTATAAATGTAAATGATACTCATCCACTAAAAATATATACAGATGTGAATAAGAAATGATCAAAAGACATCAGGAAAGTCATAAAAAATAGTAGAAATAGGCATCAAGAAAAATCATTCACGTTGATCGGCAACATGAACAAGAGTTTTTCTATAAATTGCACATGCCTATATATATACTAATTATACTACTAGGATAAACAGAGTTGGCTTATGTTTTGGTTAACAACAAAGAAATCCTCCTCAAGTGAAAGTTTTGTGTATAACGGGCATATAGCATACAACGTCCTCAGAATAATTGGTCACGTGATTAGTACGTTTGAGATGTTTGAATGTTAGAGTGACCTCTATGCAAGAATTTTTCCCTCCACCCATAACATAATAAGTTTTCCCTTTATCCAACACTATACGGTATCAATCCAGGTTCTTTAAGTTCACAGGCTTCTTCATAAGCAACTGTTGCACCAAAGCCATTCATTTCATTTCTGTGCAGAGTAGAGATTGGTGTTTGCTAATCATCATAGACAACTTATGCATCATTATTGGTGTTAGGTAATTTTGACAAGAACAAGACGGGCTTGTGGTGAAGCCAAAAGTAAAAGGTAAAACAAAGGCCTTGTCGTGTTGAAGGTCATAAAGAATCGAAATAAACTGATGCAGAGTCGTACGTGATTTCAGAGCGGCCTCTCTGTCTCAGATCAGTATAGCAAAATTTAACATGTCATAAATCTCATAATTTAACAGTTATAACTGTTACTTAAGCTCAGCTCATCAAAATAAAAAAACAGAACAATAACTGAATTAAATTTTAATTCCATTTGTAACCTACTCGCCTGGCATTAAACTCTTCAACTTGGCTCAGACTCATTGCTCTTATATAAACCATTTACCCTCCTCTCCAACCATCAACAAAGCCAATCTAGCTAACCCTTTTCTGATATACAGCACAGAGGTGAGAGTTCCAAGTTTGCCAATAACCATGTCTAGAGAAGCTCAAGCAATATTTTCACTACTGCTAATGGCAGCATGTGCTGTAACCATGCTGGCAGATGTGCAACCGCACCAAAACTAGAATTGACTCTGCCATTAAAATCTAAGTGATGAGTATATAGTGATGTGAGAGGTGGAATTGTTGCATGTTCAATCTCCTTCACCTGCTTGTATTCATTCTTGTTTTTAGATCAAGATAGCAGACAATCAATTTCTAATGCATTACTCCTTATTTCAAAATTACTAGTGCTTTATGTAGAAGTATAAAGGCCTGATCATAAAATTGGTGTCCTATCATCAAATTATAGAATGCAAAAGAGGGGTGGTGTGCAATTTGTCAACAATTTACTTCAAGAACGTTCATTCTATTCTTATATTCATTGATGTAGAACAATTTAGAAAGATTCTAGTCATTGTTGGTCGGCAATGGCAGTTGAAGGATATTGGCCGCAGAAATTGTTGTTTTGGGTTTGAGCAGGGTGTCCTTAAGATTGAGTGGCAAGTAGGAGTTGACACTAAGGCTTTCGGCACTCTGGTAAAGGTTGCCTAAGCAACCAACCATACCATCAGTTGAGAGGAGCCTAGTAACAGTTGCAACATGTAAAGACAGAAAACTGAAAAGGAAATCAACAACTTCCTTGCTTGCTTCAGCAAACAGAACTTTGTGGCTTTTTGGGGTCAATCAGAAGCTTCAAACTCACGCTAGCGCTATTGTGGCAGCCATTGAGGGGATATTAAGGACAGACCTTCACCAAAAAAGTATCCTAATAAACTCAAAATTATTCAAAAATGGCAATGGTGAACGGATCAAGGAGGTGGAGGGTCACCTTGGACTCTGCATCATCAGTCGACCACAAAGCAACTCTACATATGCAAATCTGTCCTTACCTATACACATAGGGTATTTATTTCCACTAAAAAACTGCAATCTTAAATAGGTTCGAAAAATGGGCCTAGGCAGCGCCTAGGCGCTAGGCAGGAGAACACCGCCGCCATTTCACCCTAATCCTTAGGGGTGGGCGCCAGGGAGTTCGGCGGCCCTTGGGCGCCCGCCTAGGCGGCTCTAGGCGGCTCTAGGGGGCCCTACGCGTCTCTAGGCGGCTCTAGGCGGCTCAAGCGCCAGGGAGTTCGGCGGCCCTTGGGCGCCCGCCTAGGCGGCTCTAGGCGGCCCTAGGCGGCCCTAGGCGGCTCTAGGCGGCCCTAGGCGGCCCTAGGGGGCTCTAGGCGGCTCTAGGCGGCTCTAGGCGGCCCTAGGCGGCTCTAGGCGGCCCTAGGCGGCTCTAGGCGGCTCTAGGAGGCTCTAGGCGGCCCTGGGCGGGCGTTTTGCCGTTGAGGCGTGGACGAAGGGCGGTTGAAGCTTTCAGGATCCGTTGCTTGTTAGGAAGAAAGACGGAGAGAGAGAGAGAGAGAGAGAGAGAGAGAGAGAGAGAGAGAGATCGAGACAGAAAGAAAGGAGAAGGCAACACTGGGAAGAAGAAGATATCTGACCTAATTTTAATATAACTAACGGGTTGGGTTTTGTAAAATGGCCTTAAACATTGTATTAAATCTGTCATTACCTATACATAGGTAATATAATCTACGGATGAGTGAATAAATGTATTTGGCATTCATTAACTAAACCAACAGCCAGATTTACAATTCGTTTTTATTTGTATTTGCTTTTTCATATTAGTTTTATTGTATCTTCAGACTTCACTAGTTTAGAGGCCAAACACAGTGAAAAAGTCAACTAACAGGTCTATGCTCCCTTCAGCAGACAGAATTTTGTGGCTTTTTACATGGACTAGGAGTTTCACCTTATTTTTTGTGATTGCCATTGATGACGTCAAGAAGACTGTTCCATAATTACATGGATGAGTATATTCTTTGGAATGGATGATGAACTTCATAGATCAAGTAAGAGGAAAGAAATTTGATAGGTAAAGAGAGAGAAGATAATAGATCACTAGAACATGTAATTTTATCACACGTTCGCATGAGTATGTAATTTTATCACACGTTCGCATAATAGATCTTCACCTAGTTGAAACCGTCTATTTTCTATTTGTATATGTACAATGTTGTACCACATGAGAAAAAATACTAATTGATAATTGTATTTGCATATCTATGACAACATTCACAAGTGTTGTTAATTTTTTGAATAGGACCATATGTTAACCGATCTAATAAGAATTTCTATCGTTATGTGACCATTTCCAAATAATGGAAAGGATTCCAAAATTATAAAACACTGCTCCAATGCCCAAGAATCATATCCATACTGAATTTGGTTTTATCTCAGCAGCAAGGTGAAGATCATGCATGAAATGAAACAAAACATGAAATATCACCACATAAAACTAACAAGAACAGTAGAATCATTCTCAATACATTGTTAACTGCCTATTTAACTAGGGATGTTCATTTTTTTTTCTTCAAAAAAGAGACTAATTATATTCGTTTGCACTGTTAAGGGCCAGCTTCTCAATTTCTCTTTCAGGTTGCACTTTGGATCCAAAGATGAAGTCTTTCACACAACCATCACAACTTTGTGCCATTAGCCTTCGAAACACTTAATGTACACCAAGTATAGAAATTATTCAACAAAACCGATATCTATCAAAAGAACCTATGACAATCGCCAATTACCAGTGAAGAAATTGAAAGTTTTCTAAGACACAGGAAAAAGGAACATGAACACATAGAAGTATCTCAGCTCAGCTAAAGGCATCCTGCCTTATAATATAGATGGTGAGAGAAAACATGCTTTACGTTAAACAATCTAGTCTTTAACTACCTAATAATACCTCAGCACTAATCTTAGCCATAATCTGTTTCAAAGGCCAAGATGCTATCCTTACAGACAGAAACAACAACTTTTTAAAAAAGACAATCAACAGCACCTCTAGCAGGCAAGGTACTTTGCAATAAAGAACTCCTTTCATGTCTGCACCTATTTCGAAATTCTAACTCTGGAAAATTTGTCACTATTCCATTGAGCATCATATAGTTCTAGTTTCATGAACACTCCTACAAGCAGTCCACTACACAAACTGGTTCGCATTATCATTTTGATAATGAGATATGGCAACAGGAGAGACGTCGTATAACAAAATCAGTTCAAATCACATAACCCAAATTTGGTCCACAACTAGCAACTCAAGTTCAAGCCCAAAATCTAAAGACCCCAAAATTTTGAACTAAAAGTGCAAACAAGAAGAGAAAATTGTAAACCCAAGACTAATTTTCATTTTCAACCTACCATTTCTTAACAAGATCCAGTAGTAATTTTACAAAAATAAATCACCTGAAGAACAAAGAACTTACAGGGTCGAGAGCATTGGGCTCAAAGCCATAATCAGCAGCCAAAGAGTAAAAGTAGAGACTTTGACACTTGTTCAAATATGAACTTGAGGGTTGAGGTCTTTTAAGAGTCATTATATATAGTTATTTTTGCCCTTGTCTATATAATGAGAGGAAAACAAATCTGAACTTGTCTTAACCACTTGAGCTACAAGCCTTTTGAATATATATTGTTTCTCCCATTACTTATTTCCCCAAATCACAATTTGGCAAATTTGTAAAAATAATTTTATCAACAACCCAATGAAAAATATTTGCACACCTATCAAACTAAATTTGGCAAGAAAATTGGAGGCAAATTCCCACCATAAAAGCTTGAAATACTTAGCCAAATAATTGGTAAGCAGAACAATGGCCATGTTGCATTACTTTCCAAAATGCCTATAGGCCATTTACTATTCAAATCCAGATATTAAGAAACTGAAAAGGAAAATGCAGGGGCTGTATATCTCAGTAGCATACTAGCAAATCATGTTAATGAATCACAAAACTGCAACTCATTCAGTTTAATCAGCTAGTTTCCCTCCACCATTCATGGGTAAAGAGAAATCTCATATGCATGTAATGCATCATGTATGCTACTGCCACTGGTTTGACTCAAAAGGAAGCGGAGCGGGTGAGCCTTGGCTTGGCTATCTTCTTGTCCTCTTCAGGAGAGTTTAGTGAAAGATTGGTTGGGTTCTCGATCATCGGTGTTGCTACCAGATATCCTGAGATGCTTCAGGTCTGATACTTCCTCGCTTGCTTCCCGATATATCTCCCTGCCTTTCCATCATAGTATTCTAGCCACCCGTCTTTTGAGAGCCGCTACTCCACCTGTTCAATTGCTCTCTTAACAATCTGAGGCCTCCCCGTCTTGATACATGTTGCAATAAGCAACCACAACAGTGCTACAAGACAGATGCAACAACGTTAACCTATTGTTTTAGACCAAACACATAAGTCGGAATTCTTGAACAAGCATCAAAATATCATGAATAGCACAACCATTTGGCACGCTTTCCCAAATTACATTAAGAAATGTATCCAGAAGATTTCGATTGGAAAAGTGGTTACAATCAGCAAATAAAGATGTTTTTAATAAAAGATACTATGTCAGGTAAGTAGTACTTAGCCTAGTTTACTAAATAAAAACAATAACTAGCCTACTCATATAAAGTGGGTACTAATTTTCATGAAATGTAATTAAAAGGTCTCAGTCAAATAGAACCAGCACTAGGCTTCAAGTAGAAAAATAGAACTGCATATTGTAATATCAAGCAAAGAGACACAGGGGACATTATCTGAAAGATTTACAAATCAACGGAAACTAACAAAACCAGCCTTGAGCCACTGATATTTAAGCAAAAACCTTTATACTTTAATGGTGAAAATGACTACTAGAGGTGCTAAAATGAATAAACATAGCACGTAACAGAGACAAATCAAAACAAGACATGAACAAAAAGAATAGAAAAGATAAAGAGCTAATGCAAATAGCACATTGTGATAACACCATCTCCATGAGACTTACTTGGCCAAGAGCCACCATTGTGATAACTCCATGAAACTTCTCTGGGTTATCTGTTGTTGTTCGGAAATCTTCTTTACAAGTTAAATCCTTGAACACACTCACTCATATTGTTAATATTACTGAATAAATGGCCTAGGCGGGGGCGAGGCGGGCTCTAGGCTAGCTAGGCAGTCTACGCGATTGCTAGGCGGTTGCTAGGCAGTCACTAGGCGGGTGCTAGGCGGTCTAGGAAGGCGATAGCGCCTAGAAAAAAAAAGAAAAAAAAAGAAGCCATATCGGAATCTCCAAGGTCGGGGACGAGATGACGATGGTGCTATGAGAGAGAGAGAGATGAGGATTGAAGAAGAGAGGTCACCGGTTATTGTTTTCACGGCTATACGTTAGATATTCTATTTATAAAAAAAAATTAAGTGGGATCCTTTTTTTCTTTTAAATTTTTCCCCTGATTTTCGTTCATCGATAAGAATAGTTTATAACATTATCTTCTACTAATAGACCATTACCCGATTCTTTATTGTCCCTGTTTAATTTTTTACTTTTTCAGAGTTTATAAAAACATGACACTTGAAATAGATTTCATGTATACATGTAAATGATACTAATCCACTAAAAATATATACAGATGTGAATAAGAAATGATCAAAAGACATCAGCAAAGTCATAAAAAATAGTAGAAATAGGCATCAAGAAAATCATTCACGTTGATCTGCAACATGAACAAGAGTTTTTCTATAAATTGCACATGCCTATATATAAAATATTATTAATAGTATAGCCACGCGGATATAGTACTAATTATACTACTAGGATAAACAGAGTTGGCTTATGTTTTGGTTAACCACAAAGAAATCCTCCTCAAGTGAAAGTTTTGTGTATAACGGGCATATAGCATACAACGTCCTCAGAATAATTGGTCACGTGATTAGTACGTTTGAGATGTTTGAATGTGAGAGTGGCCTCTATGCAAGAATTTTTCCCTCCTCCCATAACATAATAAGTTTTCCCTTTATCCAACACTATATGGTATCAATCCAGGTTCTTTCTGTCTCAGATCAGTATAGCAAAATTTAACATGTCATAAATCTCATAATCTAACAGTTATAACTGTTACTTAAGCTCAGCCCATCAAAATAAAAAAAAAACAGAACTATAACTGAATTAAATTTTAATTCCATTTGTAACCTACTCGCCTGAGCATTAAACTCTTCAACTTGGCTCAGACTCATTGCTCTTATATAAACCCGTTACCCTCTTCTCTCCCACCATCAACAAAGCCAATCTAGCTAACCCTTTTCTGATATACAGGACAGAGGTGAGAGTTCCAAGTTTGCCAATAACCATGTCTAGAGAAGCTCAAGCAATATTCTCACTACTGCTAATGGCAGCATGTGCTGTAACCGTGCTGGCAGATGTGCAACCGCACCAAAACTAGAATTGTATGAAAGATTGATTCTGCCATTAAAATCTAAGTGATGAGTATATAGTGATGTGAGAGGTGGAATTGTTGCATGTTCAATCTCCTTCACCGGCTTGTATTCATTCTTGTTTTTAGATTAAGATAGGAGACAATCAATTTCTAATGCATTACTCCTTATTTCAAAATTACTAGTGCTCTATGTAGAAGTGCAAAGTCCTGATCAGAAAATTGGTGTCCTATCATCAAATTATAGAATGCAAAAGAGGGGTGGTGTGCAATTTGTCAACAATTTACATCAAGAACGTTCATTCTATTCTTATATTCATTGATGTAGAACAATTCAGAAAGATTCTAGTCATTGTTGGTCGGCAATGGCAGTTGAAGGATATTGGCCGCAGAAATTGTTGTTTTGGGTTTGAGCAGGGTGATTGAATGGCAAGTAGAAGTTGACACTAAGGCTTTCGGCACTCTGGTAAAGGTTGCCTAAGCAACCAACCATACCATTAGTTGAGACTTGAGAGGAGCCTAGTAACAGTTGCAACATGTAAAGACAGAAAACTGATAAGGAAATCAACAACTTCCTAGCTTGCTTCAGCAAACAGAACTTTGTGGCTTTTTGGGGTCAATCAGAAGCTTCAAACTCACGCTAGCGCTATTTGTGGCAGCCATTGAGGGGATATTAAGGACAGACCTTCACCCAAAAAGTATCCTAATGAACTCAAAATTATTCAAAAATGGCAATGGTGAACGGATCAAGAAGGTGGAGGGTCACCTTGGACTCTGCATCATCAGTCGACCACAAAGCAACTCTACATATGCAAATCTGTCCTTACCTATACACATAGGGAATATAATCTACAGATGAGTGAATAAATATGTATTTATTTCCACTAAAAAACTGCAATCTTAAATAGGTTCGATAGGCGCTAGGCAGGAGGACACCGCCGCCATTTCACCCTAATCCTTAGGGGTAGGCTCCAGGGAGTTCGGCGGCGCTTGGGCGACCGCCTAGGCGGGCCTAGGCGGCTCTAGGTGGCTCTAGGCGGCCCTGGGCGGCTCTAGGCGGCCCTGGGCGGCTCTAGGCGGCCCTGGGCGGCTCTAGGCGGCCCTGGGCGGGCGCCGTTGAGGCGTGGACGAAGGGCGGTTGAAGCTTTCAGGATCCGCTGCTTGTTAGGAAGAAAGACGGAGAGAGAGAGAGATCGAGACAGAAAGGAAGGAGAAGGCGACTCTGGGAAGAAGAAGATATCTGACCTAATTTTTAATATAACTAACGGGTTGGGTTTTGTAAAATGGCCTTAAACATTGTATTAAAATGGGCCTATTTTTTGTGTGTCAATCCGAACCTTCAAACTCAAGCTAGCGCTGTTGGTGGTAGCCATTGAGGGGATATTAAGGACAGAGAAGAAGGAGCATGTGCTTAAGCCTTCAAAGACCTACTTTATAAGCTTCATAAAAGAAGTATCCTAAATTCAAAATTATTCAAAAATGGCAATGGTGAATGGATCAAGAAGGTGGAGGGTCACCTTGGAGACTCTGCATCATCAGTCGACCACAAAGCAACTCTACATATACAAATCTGTCATTACCTATACATAGGTAATATAATCTACGGATGAGTGAATAAATATGTATTTCTTTCCTCTAGTTAGCATTCATTAACTAAACCAACAGCCAGATTTACAATTCGTTTTTATTTGTATTTGCTTTTTCATATTAGTTTTATTGTATCTTCAGACTTCACTAGTTTAGAGGCCAAACACAGTGAAAAAGTCAACTAACAGGTCTATGCTCCCTTCAGCAGACAGAATTTTGTGGCTTTTTTACATGGACTAGGAGTTTCACCTTATTTTTTGTGATTGCCATTGATGACGTCAAGAAGACTGATCCATAATTACATGGATGAGTTTATTCTTTGGAATGGATGATGAACTTCATAGATCAAGTAAGAGGAGAGAAATTTGATATGTAAAGAGAGAGAAGATAATAGATCACTAGAACATGTAATTTTATCACACGTTGGCATGAGTATGGATTAATCTAGAGTGAAAAATAGGAGGAGCCGTAATGCAAGGCATCAAAATGCTTGTATAAGCTTGCAAACTGCCACATTAGAAACAAAACTACATTTGATGTGTTTAGAAATTGAAGTAAGAATTTGTGTGACATGACAAGGGTTTGAGTTGCAAGGTGTCCGTGTTAGTTAACCATAGGTTTCATGCAAATGTTAACCGCCAACATGCAAAGACAGAAGAGTGAAAAGAAAATCAACAACCTATTTGCTTGCTTGTAACTCTTTGTGCAAAGAGGACAAGGAAGGACGACATGCGTATAATATGTCTAAAAAGCCTTAGAAAGACCTGTGTATAAGCTAAGACAAGCCTTAGAAACCATCAACAGCAATTCAAACTGAATCAATGGTACTAAAGCCTAAGAACTCATAAAACTGCCCAAATGAAAAAATATATATAATAATAAAAAATAAAAAAACAGAGAACTGTTATAAAAGTTGGTCTTCTGCCAACTGCTTTGAGATTTGATCATGCCGAAAAGAAACGACAAAATGGGGGCCCAAAACATAAAATCAACAGAAAAACAAAAAACAAAACAGTGCAACTGCCTTAGAGAATCAGTGCTTCATAAAGTCCACATTTATCCTTGCGGAGCAGTGTAGATGAGCAAGTTTACTTCAGCCACACGATCAGTTCTCCTTGTTCATTTTTGTATCAACAACAGTGCAAAAGGATCTCTTGGACTACAGGGATCCAAGAGATTTTTTATCACTCACCGTTGGATGTAAATTCAACGATTCACTCACTCTTGCACTCCTTTTAAGAAACTTTTTTGAACCATTGGATTAATATCCAATGGTGGATGACCACAATCTCTGGGACTCTTGTGGTCCAAGAGATCGAGATGTATAATACATAATGTAGATTATTAAGGAGGGGAACTTGTAACAGAAGCTTCCTGAGTTCATAATATCATTGAGGAACTGCATTTGTCTACAACCACAACACACAAACAAGATAAATGCAACAGATCTCCAGTACTGTTAAGGAAAAACTAACAAGGCAAAACCTTTGAAGGTGAATTAGGGTTTAAGAGAGTTGAGTTTCATAAACAAACATAAAATTACTAATGAATTTCCAAGTTCCAATTGAAAAATCAAATCACACAACCTTATTCCTAGTAATAAATTTAGCTCTGCAGACCCGTAGGTTTACGTATAGGATCCTATATAAGAGTGTGGAGATGATCCTAAATCACTCTCTCTCATCCAACTAAGACTTAGGCTGACCATTTTGAAAATGCTGCTCAGGCTGGGACTTTACTTTTGCAGCAAGCCGCACTTGAATTAGTTTTTCACTTGCAATAGCCTCCCGTACCTTGCTTTGAACTGAATTGCAAAGGTCATGAAAATAGCTCCTCAGTTAGAACACCCACCTACAGACATCAATTACCATATTAGAGCATGCATGATCTACCAATAAGGGTGATATATGAATATGAGTGTGGTATTAATATTCCATTTCAGTTGGACAAAGCAGTCAGAAGTTTGGGGGCAGTATAAGAGATCAAGGAGAGGTAACTTATATGGCAGAATAGCAGCAAAGGTTCTCTGAAATCTTCTGCAACTGGCTTTCGGGAATCCAGTTCATTTCAGAGAATGGAGTACAGGACTAAATATTACTTTCGTAATTCTTACAATATGCTAAAAACAATTTTTGACATATCCTTTTATATATATTGATTAAATTTAGAATAGTAAACGTAGACATTCTAGAATGAAACATACGTGAATTTACAATTGACAGTTTGAGTGTGGAAGTGCAGTTCAGGATGCCTCTTTTATTGTTCTAATACAGATTGAAAAGACTAAGGCAAAGAGAAAATCTGTTTTGTGGTCACTCACCGTTGGATGTAAATTCAACGGTTTCACTCACTCTTGCACTCCTTTTAAGAAACTTTTTTGAACCATTGGATTAATATCTAACGGTAGGTGACCACAATCTCTTGGACTCATGTGGTCCAAGAGATCGGGATGTACAATACATAATGTAGATTATTAAGGAGGGGAACTTGTAACAGAAGCTTCCTGAGTTCATAATATCATTGAGGAACTGCATTTGTCTACAACCACAACACACACAGTGATGAATAAACGGAAAACGGAGTGAATACTACACATATATCACATATTTCAATTGTGCTTGACAAAATTCATGCTTTGAGACAAGAAAGTATTACCAGGGGAAGTTGGATTGAAAAGCATTCTAATATGAAATTCTTTCTTTGCGTAATCTTGGCATAAAGGAGGAATATATACTTAAAGGGCAAATATCAAACTTGCAAGTCATTTAATAAGGAACACCCACACAAGATAAATGCAACGAATCTCCAGAACTGTTAAGGAAAATCTAACAAGACAAAACCTTTGAAGGTGAAAGAGAGTTGAGTTTCATAAACAAACATAAAATTACTAATGAATTTCCAAGTTCCTATTGAAAAATCAAATCATACAACCTCATCCCAATCATTCCTAGTAATAAATTTAAGTTGCCCCACGATTTTACCTCAATGAAAGCCTTTGGATCTGGGCACTTGTGTTGCTTAGATAGTCTGAGTGTGCACTCAGCAAACGTACGCCCATCACGAAAAAGAGCAACAGCCTTGAAAATTTCCGCTAAATTTACTCTATCACTTTTAGAGAGTTCAGCAGTCATGCCTAAATCAAGGAAAATGACATGAGACTTTGATTTGAAGAGTCGCTTCCGAGAAGACTTGCTCTGCGCCAACTGGACAGGGATATTTCCAGGATGCATGTCTGCATGAATAGAGTTGTCCACCTGAAAGAAGAAATTCTGATAACTTAGAGCATACAGAAAAGTAGCAAAGACCAGAACTTCTGAACTCTCACTAATAATTAAACCACAAGAAATCAAGGAGAATCAAATCTCTCTCCCCTCTCTCTCTCTCTCTCTCTCTCTCTCTCCCCCCCCCTTGATTTCTTGATTTAATCCGATCATGCCCTTGAAGATCATTGACATTTTCCCCTTGTTCATAAGTTTCCACCAAAACAGCAGGATGCACAAGTGGATACAAAGGCTTGGGGAAAGAGACATCCTTCCATCTATCGGAGAGCCTTTTCCAAGCAATCATGTCTCACTGCACTTGTTGCTGGAATGAACTGGAATAATTACTCCAGTAAAAACTGTTGGTGGTATTGTACAATGAGAAGGTATTCCCTCTAGCAGAAAACGTATATATAGTCCCTAAGGAACTCTAGTTTTCCAATGTGGGACTAATTTCAACTCAAGCTTCATTCTTGTGAGTCAAGCATTTACCAAACTTCCAATGGATGCAGCCTTCTAATGTATGTTCTTATGAACTCTCTCAGTTCTTATCCAATTTGAGATTTTTGTTTCCCTCTTCTGGCGCTGTTTCACTCTCGATTGACTCTCCATTATTCCCAAACTACCCCTACCTCGAATCCTTCCTTTTTCCTCTTTTCCTTTCTCCTTATCCAACCTAACCTTAATATTTTTTTTATAAAAAAAAACAACTACAATTGCAGAACCTGTCAAGTTCTTGATTGAATCACACATCACACACATATTTAAAGAAATAGTATAGCCGCGCAGCGTAAATTACTTCTTGAAAATTTATGCGCTAATTTATGCTGGAAACTGTTGTTTTGAGACGTGAGAGCAGTTTCTGGTTTATGTATGTAGATTGGTTTTGCTATGAAGAAGCTGTTTAGCGATGGGGCTGTGAAGCGTGAGGACTTATGGATCACCTCCAAACTCTGGTTTGTTTGAAACGATCCGCTTAAGTTTTGTAGTCTTCAATTTATCATCTCTGGTTTGTCTGAAACCAACTTTACCATCAAATGCTAAGTTGAAATCAGAATTATCTGCAGGTGCACTGATCATGAACCAGATGATGTGCCAAAGGCATTTGATAAAACTTTGGAGGACTTGTAGCTTGACTATCTGGATCTCTATCTTGTAAGTGCACAAGTTTAAGATTTACCCTTATAGTAAATGTACCTTGAAGATGTCACCTAGAAATGTATGTTTGAGTGCTCTTAATCTTTATTGGAGGTAAAATGAAATTAATTAATCACATGCCTTGGACTGACTAATCAAAACAATTTTTGAAGAGACATCAACTTTCGGAGTCTCACTAGCACATTTATTTTGTTCTGATGTATGCATAAAGTAATATTGCAATTGCTTATTTGTTATTGAATGTCATAAAAATCTTGGTAGATCCCCTGACCAGTGAGCATGAAAAGGGAGTCAGTTGGCTCTGATCCTCAAAACCTCAGCATTGGCTAATTAGTGATGTATTTTTGTGATGAATAATCTTATTCCAGGGCTATTGTCCATTGGCAAGGAATAAGGTCCTTAAGAATTCTATTGTGAACTTGGTGGCAGAAAAACTGGGCAAGACTCCTGCCCAAGTGACTCTTCGATGGGGGTTACAAATGGGTCATAGAGTAGTGCCTAAAAGTACAAATCAGGCAAGGATACAGGAAAACTTTGATCTTTTTGATTGATCTATACACGACGACTTGTTTGCCAAATTCTCTGAAATTAAGCAGGCAAGTGCCTTTTCCTTTTCTCCCCCCTTCTTTTCGTTCTTTCTTTGTTCTAGTTTCGGTGCGTGCTTGTCAAGAGGGCTTTAGTTTCTTTTGGACGGTTGAATTTAACTTTCTTTGTAAATGATGGTGCAGGAGAAGCTTGTTCCAGGAACTGGTTTTGTACATGAGACTTCGGGTGCATACAGGACCCTTGAAGAACTGTAGGATGGCGAGTTGTGAGCAGAACCTAGGTCCCGTTTCAATGGTTTATAACTTTATACCTAATGTGCAAGTGCAACCGCACCAAAACTAGAATTGTTTGAAAGATTGATTCTGCCATTAAAATCTAAGTGATGAGTATATGGTGATCTGAGAGGTGGAATTGTTGCATGTTCAATCTCCTTCACCTGCTTCTATTCATTCTTGTTTTTTAGATCAAGACAGAAGACAATCAATTTCTGATGCTTTCCTCCTTATTTCAAAATTACTAGTGGTTTATGCATAAGTATAATGGCTTGATCATAAAATTGGTGTCCTATCATCAAATTATAGAATGCACAAGAGGGATGGTGTGCAATTTGTCAACAATTTACATCAAGAACGTCCATTCTTCTTATATTCATTGGTGTAATTTTTTCAATAAAGAATTTAGGTTTTTTTTTTGGTAATTTATTATTTGCACTCCAAAATATTCATCATGCACTCTCACTAATAAAATATTCACTTGCAATTTTAAAAAAAATTGATGTGTACCATTATTGTTTTTCTATTGCAAAAAGGTAGACTTTTTAAATATAAAAAAATACAAGCGATAGCCTAAACTACAACAGAGAGCAAAATTTCTCACTCTCACACGTGTTATCAATGTGTTATGGATATGGAAGTTAAAACGTAGACAAATTTTATTTTTTCTTTTTTTTGAGGATCTTTCCTATTAAGAGGGACGATAACATACTAAACACACACTACACGAATGCTAGGTTTCGATCTCATGACATTTCCTATTAAAGTGTAGATATTTTTTAGCTCCCATAAAAAGCAAGAAATAACTGGTTCGTACCTCCACCAACCAAAAATTAAATAAAAACTCCACCAACCAAAAAATAAATAAAAACTCCGCCAACCAAGTGTCATACTGTTGGCCACTCTAAGACTTGGTAAGATCAACGACAAAAATAAGTTGGCAAATACCATATCAACGGCTCAGATCTCCACCTGCCATCTGATCGATATATTATTCCAGGACTAGTGGAGCACTACTAACCTGTCGGAAAATAAAATAATAAAGAAAAAAGAAGAAGGGAAAAGCCCACTTTCGTCCCTTATCAAACGGTCGTCAACGATGACGTTTTGCATTTGCATTCTCTAGACAACAATCTTCTGATTTTGTAATAAAATAAAATAATTTCTGATTCTCTCCCGCTCTTTCCTGTATAAAGAGCGCAAAGAGCCTTTCCACTGTTCTTGGTCACTCCTCTGTCTCCTTCGCTCTCGCTCCCGAGAAATTGAGAATGGATGACGATATTCGTTTCTTTGAGCTGAACACCGGAGCTAAGATCCCTTCCGTAGGGTTAGGGACCTGGCAGTCAAGCCCTGGCCTCGTCGGCGACGCCGTCGACGCCGCCATCAAGGTCTTTCTCTTTCCCTTACTTTGTTCAATTTTCTCTGAAATAGAAAAGAAAAACCAAGGAAATGTAAATTCCGGAAATGGCTTAAGGCTTTGTTTGAATGTTTTTCTGCTTTTCCCAAACGGGGAAATCAAACCTCTTTAGATTGCCTGTTTGATTCCGTAAACTTAGCACTCGTCTAAAAACGTGGTTATACTAATTGCAGGCAGGATATCGGCATATTGATTGTGCTCAACTCTATGCCAATGAGAAGGAGGTAATTTATTTGTTTTTTTTTTTTTTTTGTTGTTGTTGTGTATACTAAATTAGTTATCGAAAAATTTACTGTAGTTGTAGTTTTCATTTCATTATTGCTGTCCATCTTTATTTTTTTTCTTTTATAATCCCTTTATGAATTTGCGCATGTTGAAAATTGCTCTCAGTAACTCCTACCATAATGGTTTAATTGTCAAGCTCATCTTTAGGTTTTCAATTGTAGATAAAAATGTAAATCGTTTATGTTTCCATCATTCTTTCAAGATGTTTAAGTTGTTACCCGAATATGGTTTGATAAAGATGTTGTTTCTGTTTCTCGTAGATTGGTTCTGTTCTGAAGAAGCTATTTGAAGATGGTGTGGTGAAGCGTGAGGATTTGTGGATTACTTCCAAACTCTGGTTCGTTATAAATTATAAATTTAATTCTAATTTAATTGAGTAGTGACATATCATTAGGAATTGCATAAGTAGTAATTTATGCTAAAGTGATGGTGCTGCCAACCTTGTTTGGTTGTTTATCCACAGGTGTACTGATCATGCACCAGAAGATGTACCAGAGGCATTGGACAGGACTTTGAGAGACTTGCAGCTCGATTATGTTGACTTGTATCTTGTATGTATTACCTGTTAGGAGCTTCTCAAGTTTTGTCTCTTAGAGTTTGGTACTAGAGTGTATGTATTATCGGATCTTTCTCAGCGATTTAGTATAGATAACTCTGTGTTCAGGGTATAATCTGCAATTTCTTTTTTTAAAGAAAAAATTTACATACAGCAGAGGGTCTTTTAAACGAATGGGATGGCAATTTGTTTGCCATCTTTTAATATATAAGTTACTTTTGAATTCATTGATCCCTTTCAGTCTAGTTATGTTTCCTGGAATTTGCTAAAACTTATCAAGTTAAAATCATGGATAATTAGCCTCATTGTCTTAAATTAGTTATAGCATTTGGGCATTATTCAGTTGTAACTAATGAGCCTGCTCAAAATTTGAAGATACACTGGCCAGCCCGGATGAAGAAGGGGTCAGTAGGTTTTAAGCATGAAAACCTTATTGACCCAGATATCCCTGCAACTTGGAGAGCAATGGAATCACTCTATGATTCGGGCAAGGCTCGAGCTATTGGTGTGAGCAATTTCTCTACAAAGAAGCTGTCAGATTTGCTGGATATTGCACGTGTTCCTCCTGCTGTTGACCAAGTGGAGTGTCATCCTTCATGGCAGCAGGCCAAGCTGCGTTCTTTCTGTAAATCCAAGGGAGTTCACCTTTCTGTGAGTATGCAAATACTGAATTACGTTGTCTGTGTATTGAGTAGTGACAACTCACCTGTCTGTAATTGGACCAAATTTTAATTGAGGCATCTTTATATTTTTCTTTCAGGGATACTCACCACTGGGTTCTCCTGGAACAACATGGATTAAAAGCGAAGTCCTTAAGAATCCAATTCTTCTCACTGTTGCAGAGAAATTAGGCAAAACTCCTGCACAAGTTGCTCTTCGATGGGGACTGCAAATGGGTCATAGTGTTCTTCCTAAGAGTACTAATGAAGCAAGGATCAAGGAGAACCTTGATGTCTTTGGCTGGTCTATCCCAGAGGACTTGTTTCCCAAGTTTTCTGAAATTGAGCAGGTAAGTTTTTTACTGGAATTGATCCTCTATTCTCCTTGCAATCAGTACCTTGATGTCTTTGTATGGTCAGTTGTGCCATAACGCCATTAAATACATTCCAACATTATATTATTAATGTGATCGTTGTTAAAATTTTCTGGACGTCACTGTGCTCTTCCATGTATGGTTCTTCAAATGGGCGTTTCTTTCTGGAGCCGGGAATTACGTCTTGAGATTTCATCGTGTTGATAATGTTGATACAAGCACTGATGTCATGCAGTCTTTTCTCCTAACTACATTGATTTCCAATTGTGCAGGCAAGGCTGATCAGAGGGGGCTCGTATGTTCATGATACTTTTGGTCCCTACAGGAGCATAGAGGAGTTCTGGGATGGTGAAATCTAGAAAATCACACATCAATGTTTTTGTGAAAGAGAGTCTAGGAGCATTTGTTATGCGAAAAATTGAACTTTTATGATTTGTATGGATCGTTTATGTCCTAAAAAGCGATTTGCTTGATTATGGTACTTGCACTTCTCTGTGTTTTGTTTACATGAAGAATACGACCACCTCTTACTACTATAACCATAAATCTTTGTTTGAAATTGTTGTTCTAGTTGGCAAAGAGATTGCAAAATCACCGTCTTGCAATTTTGTTACAACAAGTAAGAAATAATCTTAGTCTCTCACATTCTTTCATAGTTAGTAAAATACGGAACGGGAAAAATACGAATAAAATATGCAGTGTTTTATTCGACAAAATTTTTGCAAGTTACAACTGAAAAGTTCGGCCACTATATAATATTTTAACATATATTATTTTTATTTAATAATATGTGAAAATTATGTGTATAATACATGAATGTTGCCTGTATTATTGACAATTTTGTAAAAAACGCATGTATTAAACATGAAAATATATATACGTTTTGTATGTTACCGAGTCTTTAATATGTGTATGAAAAATGGAAGTATTATTAAAAAATATGTATGTACATGTATAATATAAGTATTAAACAGGAAAAATGAAAAATTGTTTACACGGGTAATAACACTAGAAAACTAAAAAAGCAAAAGGGAACAATGGAGACTCTGGCCTAATAGTAATGGATAACGCTCAAAACTATTCTTATCCATAAACAAAAATATGAAAAAAAAAATTAGAAACACAAAGGACCCCAGTATAGTTAAATAGTATATTAGGCAATTACTTGAGTCTCTATTCCTTTTAAAAGAAATAGTATCGCCGCGCGGCTATACTCGGTTTTTTAATTTTTTAAAAAGAAATAGTATGGCCAAGCGGCTATACTACGTTTTTTTTCTAATCTTTTTTAAAGAAATAGTATAGCCGTTTGGCTATAGTCGGTTTTTTTCCAATTTTTTAGAAGAAATAGTATTGCCGCGTGGCTATACTATGTTTTTTAAAAATTTTAAAAAGAAACAGTATAGTCGTGCTACTATACGCGATTTTTTTCCTAATTTTTAAAAAATAATAGTACAGCTAGATTTTTTTTTTTTTTTTTTTTTTTTTTTTTTTTTTTTAAGTAAGTTTTAAGTTTTTTAAAAGCCGAGCCACTATACTCGGTTTTTTTTAAAGAAATAGTATAGCCGATCGGCTATACTCGCGTTATTCCAATTTTTTTAAAAGATATAGTATAGCCGTCCGGCTATACAAGGGTTTTTAAAAATTGTTGGCATAGTATAGCCGAACGGCGATTCTGGGTTTTTTAAATTTTTTATACGCCGGTTTTTTAATTTTTTTTAATTTTTAAAAGCAATAGTATAGCCCCATGGCTAGACATGGTTTTTTTTCAATTTTTTAAAATAAATAGTGTAGCCGTCCGGCTATACCTGGTTTTTTGTTTGCCATTTAGTATAGCCGCACGGCTATCGGCTAGCGCCTAGGCGGCCGATTTCTTTTGGATAATTTTTCGGTTGAAGAGCACCAATAACATTTTTCATTGCTCTGTCTACTTGTTCACCGTCGCTCTGAGAGATTGATAATGGCGGACGATATTGGTTCATTTGAGTTAAACACCGGAGCGAGGATCCCTTCGTTAGGGTTAGGGACCTGGCAATCAAGCCCTGGCCTCGTCGGCGACGCCGTCGCCACCGCTGTCAAGGTCTTCATTATTGATCACTCCCAGCTTCGAATTTTTTGTAATCTTTACCGTTGATTTGGTAGACTTAGCATCTAACACTCAGCTGAAAAATGGGGTTCTACTAATTGGCAATGAGAAGGAGGTAATTGCAGTTGCCTTTGCTAAATTATTAAATAAATTTGAAGTTTTAATATCATTTCCCTTCAATTAAAGTTGAATTTTTAATTTTGCTTTTACCCTTTTTATTTTTACAATAAAAAATCATTTGTTTTAAGATGCTGAGTAACGATTTAAATGTGACAGAGATTTGGTTTTTATTTCTTGTAGATTGGTTTGGTTCTGAAGAAGCTGTTTGAAGACGTTGTGGTGAATCGCGAGGATTTGTGGGTCACATCCAAACTCTGGTTTGTTTCAATTTCAATGCCAATTTCATTGAGGCAGTACAATGAGTTATAATTGATCATGCCAAAGTGATGGTGCCGTGAGCCTTGTTCTGTTATGCTTTGGCCTTAAATATCTTAGCCTTAGAGTCTTACATTTTGTACTTTCTAAAAGCAAGCTGGTTCGCAGGTGTACCGATCATGCGCCAGAAGATGTGTTAAGAGGCATTGGACAGGACTCTGCGAGACTTGCAGCTTGATTATGTTGACTTGTATCTTGTAAGTATTACCTGTTCAAAGCTCATTCTCCAGTTATGCTTGTTAGAATTTGGTGCAAGAGAGTATGAAATACCAGACCTTTCAAAGGGGATCATTATAAATAAAGTAGTGATTGCCTAGTTGAAGGTGAAATCTGCACTTTTTTTTAGAAGTTCACTAAAATAGAGTCCTTTAGAAGACTGGAATTACATTCTTTTTGCCATCTTTGTGCTTGTTGATAGGAATTACTTCCAAAATTCCCGATCCCTTTCAGTCTGGCCATGTTGCCTACATCTAGCTATTAAGGTCCGAATTGTGGATAATTAGCATTATCGTCTTGAATTTGTTAATACCATTATGTTGGGGTAATTACTCGGCTATAAGTAATGACCAATTGAAATATTGAAGATGCATTGGCCAGTTCGGTTGAAGAAGGGGTCAGTAAGTTTTGCTCCTGAAAACCTTGTTGAACCAGATATCCCTTGCACTTGGAGAGCCATGGAAACTCTCTATGATTCGGGTAAGGCTCGAGCTATTGGTGTGAGCAATTTTTCAACAAAGAAGCTCTCTGACTTGCTGGATGTGGCACGTGTTCCTCCTGCCGTTGTCCAAGTGGAGTGCCATCCTTCATGGCAGCAAGCCAAGCTGCATTCTTTCTGCAAATCCAAGGGAATTCACATTTCGGTGAGTATGCAAATATTGAATTACATTTCCTATGTCGATTTTCTTATTTGGTTGAAATAGTTACCTGTGTATAACTGGGAAAGAAGTTACTTTCCTTAGCAGCTGAGATATCTAGAAATTAAATAATTGCTATGTATTTTTCTTTTAGGACTATCCACCACTGGGTTCTCCTGGCACAACATGGATCAAAGGTGATGTCCTTCAGAATCCGATTCTTCACATGGTTGCAGAGAAACTAAGGAAAACTCCTGCACAAGTTGCTCTTCGATGGGGACTGCAAATGGGTCATAGTGCTCTTCCTAAGAGTACTAATGAAGCAAGGATCAAGGAGAACTCTGACGTCTTTGGCTGGTCTATCCAGGAGGACTTGTTAGCTAAGCTTTCAGAAATTGAGCAGGCAAGTGGTTACTGATGTTCCTTTATTCCCCTTGCCAAGATCTTATTATTGTCAGCTGTCAAAATCTTGAAACACATTCCACCATTATTACATTTGAATGCTGCTAAAACTTTCTAGAATCACTTAGAGGTGTTCTTCCTTGGGATGAATCTTCAAGCTGGGGTTCTCTTTGGAGGGGTGGTTTGGGATTAGGTCCAGGGATTTTGTTACAAGAACTTGTCTTTTTTGTGTTTACTCCTAACCTACTGCGTTGGTTTTCAACTGTGCAGGCAAGACTGGTCAGAGGGACGAACTTTGTTCATGATACTTTTGGTCCCTACAGGAGTGTTGAGGAGTTGTGGGATGGTGAAATTTAGAGTCAGATGAGTAGTTCTATGGAAGAATTTTGGAGCTTTTTTTTCTTCTTTCTATTTTTTAAAATAGTGAGATTGGATATTTATGGTTTGCATGATCATCATGATCCCATAAAGCGATGTTTGATCATGCTCTGCGTTTGATTGGCTTGATGCTAACTTGAGGCTTAAATTGGTATTGTCTAACGTTTTGCTTCAGTTATCGAAATGGGGGGGGTGCAACCCATATTGCCTTAGCTGATTGTCCTAACCCACATATGCATTGGGTCACCTCATTTATAAGACATAAAATCAGACAGATCAGCCCATTATCTACATTTTCCCAATTTCCTTAAACCTTAACCCTTTTTGGTTTTCTGCGAGCCTCTAGTTTCTTCTTCTAAATTTTTCTGAGCCAGTTTGGCATTGCTGTGCTGTGAAAATAATTTATGTCAGAGAAAGTAGTTTGGTGTTTGATAAACTTGAGAGAAATCAACTGTGAGAGAAATCAGCTGCGAGAGAAAGCAGTTTGGCGTTTGATAAACTTTTTGTTAAAAGTGTTATTAGTACTGATTCCCGTATAATCAGAAAATGATTGTCGCATAATCATTAAACCCAGTGCCTCTTTAGACCACTTCCAGTAGCCCCCGAGGGCTCGAGCTAGGGGGGAGGGGGGGGCAAGAGCCCAAATGCAAGTTCCAGCAACAAAGGCTGGCCCGGGCAAGGTGGGGTCCACGAGCCTGGGCTGGCCCGAAGGCAGGAGGAGCCCGAGCTACAGCCCGAAGGCGCGCTAACGTCAGCATGCGCAAATCAATTTTTTTTCTTTTCGCTGCCACATGGCGCAACCTGGTCCTTCCGATTTCCGATTTTTCATCCAATCCAACGGCCTGAAATTTTTCAAGGCAAAAAATTATGAAAAAAATCGTAAAATTGTTTTAAAAAATCCCAAAAAATACTGATTTTTTTTTTTCTATAAATACCAATCCATACTCTTCACTTTTAACAACAAATTCACTTTCTACTCAATAATTTTTTCACTTTCTACTCAATAATTTTTTGGGAGTTTCACTAAAACACCCAAAATGGGGGTTGAAATTATAAAAAAACCCAAGCACTATTTAAACATATAAACACACCCAAAACCCATCATTACACACACTCAAAACCCATTTATAAACACACCCAAAAAGTTGACTTTGAGGTTGATTTTGGGTGTGTTTCTATGTTTAAATAGTGCTTGGGTTTTTTTATAAATACATGTCTAGGATTGGGTTTATTTATAAATTTGTATAATTTTTTCACTTTCAACTCTAAATTTTTTTCACTTTCAAGTTTAATTTTTCTCTATCAAAGAAACTATTAAATAAAATTCCTTTTTATTCAAAACATTCCATACATAAAAAAACTAACCACAACCAAAGCATTAAATATATAAAAACAAACAAACCACAACCAAAGCATAAAAAAACCAAACAGAACTAAACATAAACACATAAATATTAAAATCTTAAAAATGTTCTTCACTTCACTTCATTCACCGTCATTATCATAAAATCTCATCCGAAAATATTGTCAAAATTAATTGTTTAGGTAAACAAATTTGTGAAAAAAAACAAAAAATTGAATAGTACCCCCCCTTGCCATGGCAACTGCTGGAAGTGCAACTTACTTTTTGCAATGGCAGACACTATTCCCATGAATAGTGTCAGCCCCCCCCCTTGCCATGGCAAGATTCCCACTGCTGGAAGTGCCCTTAAAATTGATTCCTACATAATCAGAAAATGAAAACACCTTATTAGCTATTTTCCTTTATGGCTTTCTCTGACAGTAATTTTTAACAATAAGTGATTTTCTCATAGTTTACCAAACGGATTGGACTTCCCAAATTTTTTTTAAAATAAATTATCACCCCAAATAAGCAATGCCAAACTGGCACGGAGTCCATTTGGATAGATTTGTACAAATTAATATTTTTATTTAAAGCAGTTATTTTATGGAGAATATTTTTAACCTCATTTGGGCTCTTTGTACAACCTTAAGCCTACTCCACCCTGTTGGGCCCATTTCTAACTCGAGCCGTGGTTGCTACGCCATAGCCCAACAATACAGTGCAATTTCCCTCCCTAAAACCCCGAGCAAAGCACAAAACCCTGTTGCAGTTGCAAAACCCTAAACCCTTCCTCAGCCATAGCCGGACCTCAAATGGCTCTGTTCTCGATGCTTCGCAGGCCGACCTACTCCGCACTGGCTCTCGCCGCACGCGCTGTCGGATCAGCAAGGACCTTTCACCGCACAATCTCCACCGTCCCTACTTTCAGCGGTGATCACAGCCCGAGAAGCTCTTTTCCAACTCAGCGATTCTCTACGGCCACCGCCACCGCCACCGCCACGGAACTGATCGGCAATGAAAGCCTGATCGGAGGCCTGGAGTCTGAGATCAAGTGTACCCAAGAGCGTAAAATCAAAATTCCCGTCAGTATCTAATTCTAGTTTCCATTTCTTTTTCTCCCAGACTTCTTTGCTTAATACTTAATGCTGTTCTTTACTGTAAATTTGCCTGCTTTTTTCATATTTGATCGGTTGTTCAATGAAACAAGCTTGACCCAGTTAGTAATTCAGTATTTGGTAATTTGGGTGTTGTTTGATTTCACACTTTAGGAGGTCCCAGATGAGTTTCCTTTTGAAATAATAGACTTTCCTGGAGAAAAAACCATTCTACTGAAAAGACAATTCCAAGGCGAAACCATCCAAGTGGGTGTTGATGCTCCTCATGTTTTTCCTGCGGACGAAGACAGCGACGAGTACGAGAATGACGACCCTGGCATTCCAATGGTTGTGAGTGTTTCCAAAGAAAATGGGATGCAATTGGAGTTTGGGGGTCACTGGTTTCGAAGAAGAGGTTTCGATTGATAGCTTGTCGATCGTCCATCCCGATCATTCTCCAGAACAATTTCCGTATGATGGGCCTGAATTTCAGTAAGCTTGTCTTAATGAACCATACTTTTGTTTTCATCTCTTATATATTGGTTCTCTTTGTTTTCTGATGTGATTTGGTTTTCAACAGTGAGTTGGATGAGGGCTTGCAGAATGCTTTTTACAAGTATCTCGAGGCTCGAGGGATCCAGTGCAGCATGACTATCTTCTTGACTGATTACATGAGGAAGAAAGACAACAAAGAGTACCTGCTTTGGTTGAAGAACCTCAAGGGTTATATTGAGCAGTGAGCAAAACACAGCTGTTTTCAATGGTGGGGGAAGGATAGTGAGGTTGTGCCTCCTTTTGACCATTCGTTGTCTGGAGCTGTATTAGTTTGAGAACAACATATTATTTATACTAGCAGTAAAATAACCAGTTTAGGTATAGTAAGTTGGAACCATGAAGCATTGTAAGACAATGCTTAATTATTTTGAGATCCCTATTAGGGCCTGTAGAGTTTATAACTAGTTCAAATATTGTCTGCTTCTAACGATTAATCAGTGTGGATGGTGTTCTCCCTCTTTTTAAGAATATTTACGCTACAGCTCCATTTCTTGGTATGATATGATTTGGAATCTTCGTGAATTCATTGATCGAATTATCAACACTACAATTCTATTTCTATTCCTGATGCCTGATGGAATTGAATCCCATTTCTATGTTGGTCTTCCTATGAAGATATTTGGAGGTAGTGCTATTTGGCAGGTTGAATTTGTACTTGTATGCAAGCCTCACTTGAAATATAAGAAAAATGAGAAGAAGAAAAAAAGAACCTCAATTGAAATAGTTCAAATAATCTGGCAGTCATGGGCATGGCCCAACATATAGAATGTGAACCTCCTCCTTGACATGCTGGGCACAGCAGGTTGCATGAATTCTTAACACTAAATCATCCGAGTGTTGGTCCTCCTGAGGGTACCAAATACCAATGCACCACATCCACATGCCGCTTTGTAGTTTGCAGACAATGCACCATGCATTTTTCTTCTTGTAATTTGATCTTTTTTATTTATTTATTAATTATTTTATAATAATAATTTCGTGGTTTGGGAGTAGTGGAAGATCCAACTTTTCTGCCGTGAAAGTCTGGCTTAACACATATAGCTCATGAATCAAATTCCGATAAAATTTTGGACATAAAAAAACTGGTAAGCTAATGAATTAATAATACATTGCTGAACTGCATCCAACAAACTCTTTCCATCTCTGACGTTTTTCCTCAATATTTCATCCAAATAGGTAATATCTTCTTCAGTACATCAACCATCTAGAATTTGAAATTCATATTCAGTCAATTCACTGAATGTAAATGTACAGGTTACTATGGTATACTGCTTATTTTTTTCTTCTTCTAATGAAACAAGCTAATCTGCTGCTTCATCTTGTTTCGGTTGGCGCGATCAGTTCGTAGAATATGCATAACGAAGAAAAACCTGGAAGCTTACATTTTGATCTAAACACGGGAGCTAAGATTCCATCTGTTGGCCTTGGAACATGGAAGGCTGAACCGGGTGTGGTCGGCCAAGCTGTCATCGCTGCTGTCAAGGTTCATTCTCTCAATGTCTAGTTTTGGTTCTTTTAAAGCCTCCTGTTTTGGGGAAGAAAACAAATTATGCTCAAAATATTGTTCATGGTTATGCAGAATGGCTACAGGCATATTGACTGTGCATCAATCTACGGTAACGAAAAAGAGGTAATATATTATCATTTTGTGTGTGTGTGTGTGTGTGTGTGTGTGTGTGTGTATTTTTAATTCCTCTTTATTATGCTCATGATGCAGGTAGGGGTGGCATTGAAGGAATTATTTTCCACTGGGGTGGTGCAGCGTAGTGAACTCTTTATCACATCAAAGCTGTGGTATGTGTTCATTCCCTTTTCTTTTTCTTTTTTTCAAATTGAGTCTCATGTTGCTGAACAACTAAGAAACTGATAGAATTTGATCTGAGCTTAGAGACAAGGTTTGGCTGAGCAGTGTGTCCTTGGAAGCTTATGTTGCTTCTTTCTTCCGACTATTTGTGGCATTCTACAGGTGCAGCGACCATGCCCCTGCAGATGTCTCCAAGGCACTGAGCAAGACCTTAGAAGACCTGCAGCTTGACTACATTGATCTATATCTTGTATGCATCTAGTTCTTTTAAAAGCAAAGCTTGAGGTTTTGTTAGACTAAGATTTTTTCTGCCTGCATCCGGAACCGTAATAGAATGAAGAAATTGGAATGGTTTTGGGAAACGACCTTGTACAGATACACTGGCCGCTTTGTACAAAGCCGGGCTCAGAGGGTTTGGCTCCGGAAAACATGGCTCCATTGTGCCTTTCAGAGACATGGAATGCAATGGAGGGCCTGTATGCATCTGGTCAGGCACGCGCAATTGGGGTGAGCAACTTCTCATCTAAGAAGCTGCAAGACCTCCTTTCTTATGCAAAAGTTCCACCTGCAGTAAACCAAGTGGAGTGCCACCCTGTGTGGCAACAACCTGCTCTTCACAATTTGTGCAAATCCGCTGGTGTTCATCTATCGGTAACCTCAAACTTCAACAACTTTAATCTTCAGGGCACTAAGGCTATATAGCTTGAGCTTGTTTATATCATTTAATAGCAAACTCTTTCCTTTCAGGCATATTCTCCTCTGGGTTCTCCAGGCTCTTGGATGAAGGGGGAGGTCCTGAAGGAACCAATATTGAATGAAATCGCTGAAAAACTTAAGAAGTCGCCTGCGCAAGTATGTCTTCGTTGGGGTATTCAGAGTGGACACAGTGTCCTTCCAAAGAGCGTAAACGAAAATAGGATCAAGGAAAATCTAAGTTTATTTGACTGGTCCATTCCCCCAGAGCTCTTCTCAAAAATTTCAGGCATCCACCAGGTATGTTATAATACATGCTTGAAAAAACATATTTACAATCACACATTATCACATAAAAATTGTTTACTGACATTTACTTGCTTCTCTGTTATGCAGCAAAGGCTCCTCCGGGGTGATTTTGCAATCCACGAGACGGCTAGTCCTTATAAAAGCCTTCAAGAACTATGGGATGGTGAAATATGAGACGGTGATCAAGCCCTCTTTTATTCAATTTGATACAGAGAAGTTTGTCGATTTTCATGCGTTCTCTACCACATTTTAGAGGGAAGAAATTGTATTCTTGTGTTTTTGGCTTTCTTAAACCAGTATGAATGAACCTTGTAAGATTACTGTCTGCTTTTATAATTCAAATCTTTCACATCATATTCCCACACTCTCCCATACTATGGTGAAACCTTTGGCTTGCAATTACATGCACCTCAATTATTTCAAAAACGTTGAGCAACCTGAGCTCCAATTATTCTACTTGAACTGTCTCATTCAGTCATTTGTCCAATGTATGAATTTTAATGAAACATATCATCTCGACTGGGACTTGAAATGATAGATTGAGAAAGCTTAAAATGTTATTTTATTTGTTATGGCAGCCAAAAACACTAAATGTGTAAATTGTTAGTTAATGGCTCCTCCTACATGTGGAGAGGCAAAAAATTGCTGACAGAGAGCTATATAACAAGCTAACAAAAGCCACAATTTTTTTTTTTGGTTAGTAATTTAATTCAGAATGCCCTAAAGTTAAACCCTTTCTTAGTCTTAGATCAGACAAACACGAAAGAAAGAGATAGATGACTAGTGGGAGGTCGAAAGAAATAGTCACATTTATTCTATACATCTCTTAATTTGAAATTTTTTTAAAACCCTTGATTTCTTAAAACATAAATGCATTTTCTCTTTTCTTTTCTTTTCTTTCTTTTGTTCTTTATGCATGAATTTGATCAATACACTCAGCATTTAGAAAGTTCAAAATTTCTTATTATGCTCGTGTGTACTACCGATCAAAGAACCACTATCTGAGGTGGTTGGCCAAGCAAGCACAGTACAGAATACAGACGCCGGTGTTGTACTTTGGCCCGTTCATTTCGTGCCTGCTTGCTGAATGTATGTCCTGGCATGCCGAGAAGGTGACAATTGACAATCAAGGTGATTAAAGGCAGAAAACACAAAAAGATTTTAGAAAGCTCATTCATAATTAAGGTGATGATTACATGAAGCCCCTTTAAATAATCCAGGTGATCAAAATCTGGCAAGGGGATAAAGGTTCATTTGTATGACAACACAATACATAGAATATTCTGTGGAGCAGTCGAACTCCTACACTATAATTGAACATGAAATAGAAACTAAGGCTAACACATGACAGAGGTTAACATTTGTAAGTTGTGTGCTACAAAGCTTTTCCCCTCTATGATTGGGAGTTTAGGTACTTGTAAGCAGGTCCTTGTGGGTGTACTTGACCCCTCTATCGCTGTCTACAACCTGCCCATTCCCTCTCAGAATCCTGCATTTTGTTGCACAAAGGAAGCATGATCATGCACCAAAAAATTGAAGTGAAAAAACTCTAATATCAGCAACACCAGTCAACTAGCAATAAACAAGCTTCAAGAGAACAGTAATGCAGAATGGCAGTACCATCTTGTTGTTAACAATCCTTCAACTCCTACAGGACCTCGAGCATGAATCCTGCTCGTACTTATCCCAACCTGTCAAACCAACAAACCGGTGAGAAATGAGGGGGAAAATAAAATGTTGGAATTAATGCCAGAACTATTCAGAGTCAACTTACCTCTGCACCAAGTCCAAAGCGTGCACCATCACAAAATCGTGTACTTGCATTATGAAAGATTGCAGCGCTGTCAAGGTAAATAGTATAGACATCAAGATGTGCAACATTCAGAAATTATCAGTAAACTCATTAACTTACGTGCCTCAATTATTAGAAAAATATCTTTTTAGGGGATGATTGATATGTTTTTGAATAATCAAAAGGGCAATTCGTTCTGAATTTATATTACTTCAGTGGAAGGCAGAGTAGATGTTAGTTAATACTAATAGTTATGTGACGTTTAAGCCAATTTGTTTTCCATCTCTGGAACATTAATTGTAATCAGCCAAACCCAAACCCATATTTAAAGCCAAAATTGCTATGACATTGCTCTCAAAAAGGTGGATGCAATGATATTTCTTCCCCGAGAGAAAATATGGCTTGGGCAGCAAATGATACTTCTTGTACTGTTAGCACTTTGCATGCATGAAACATGCTTACCTGTCCACTTGACTTAGGAAAGTTTCAGCAACTTCATGATCTTCTGTAACAATGCAATCAGTATGAGCACTGCAAAAGGGATTTGGGGAGGAGAGGAGAGGCAAGAAAGTTAGAGAAATCGCCAGAAAATAATCAGTACAGAAACTATACGGGAAAAAAGAAAAGATAAAATATAGGAAATACATATACCTTCCATGTTCATGGATGTGGTTAATCGCGGCAGTCACATCATCAACGATTTCAACTGAGCAAGCCAATGAACTGTACTCATGATGGAATGAGCTTGTCTCTGGAATATTTAACACAGTTGATGCCTTTGGTCCACCATATAACGTAACACCTGCAACCAAGGTGGCATCATGTATCCTGGTTCTTGTACTAATTACATACCAAAAGAGAATCAAGTTGTGAGAATTAAACTTTGAACACTGACGGATTACTATATGACTCATTTTATATATTTCGCAACACCTTGTTGAGAGATAAGGCATTAACACAGGGTCGTACCTAAACCTTGGAGTCCTGAAATTATCTGCTTAAACCCACCATCATCAGTCACCAAGTCCTTGTGTACAAGAAGTGTTTCCTGAGAAAAAGGGTGTTATGTCAAGACAGGTTAGATTTATGAAATATAATACCGTGGTAGTTAAATAGACATGAATGGTCAGTCATAATAGCAGAAAGTGAAATTACCATCGCATTACAGGCAGCTGGATAATCCGTTTTCGCGTCCAAAACAATGCACTTTGCCATTTCCTTATTAGCTGACTTGTCAATATAAACATGACAAATTCCATCTGTGCATCAAAAGCAGCAAATTTACTAGAAACTCTAGTTTGCAGTGGTAGAATATACATTTCCCACATCAATGCTCTTACCGGCATGACCAAGAACTGGTATCTTAGTGGACTCCTTAATTTGAGAAACGAGCTTATTGCTGCCTCTAGGAATGACAAGATCTATCACATCATCCAGCTGCAACAGAACAACTTCGTTAATATTCATCATATCAAAAAAATCATAAACAGTTTTAAATTTCTGTGCGCACCTTGAGCAGATCGGGAATCTCGTCTCTTGTATTCACAAGTCCAATAAGTTTGCCACCAACATTTTCTGGGATTGCTGAGGTGATGACCTGCAAAAAGAAGAAAATAGTTAAACTCACAGAACAAGAACGCAAATTAGAAACACATAAAAAGAGGGAAAGCAACACTCCAGAATTCTTTTTTGTTTGGCATAATAATAGAAGGCCAGAATCTTGAGTCTCAAACCTTGTGCAAGATTGCATTTGACCGCTTGGCCTCTTTCCCCCCTTTAAGCAGAAGACCGTTCCGACTTTGTATTGCTAATGAAGCTATCTATTGAATCATTTGAAAAATACTGGTCAACTGAGAAATTACCATGGGAGCACAAAAAAAATCTAAACACAAGTTTGAAGGGCCATAGATTGCAAGACAAGTGAAGCTAAAAAGGAAACATGCATATACAAAGTGTTTTCTTTAACGGAAAAGGAAGTCAATACCCAAAACAAGGACCGTAAAACTGCAAATTCTAATTCGGTGTTTACTGAATGGAGCAGGAAAATATGTAAAATCATTTTGCTAATCATTAATGAGCAGAATGTTTAAAGATGCAGGAGTATATAATACAATGGATATTTATGTATACCTGAACAAGGGCATCAGGTCGAGACTCAAAAACAACTAAAAGAACACCCAAAGGACAAGACACTTTCTCTAAGACAAGTCCTTCTGCAAGCTGCATGGAAGAGCAGTTATGAAAAGTGTCAGGAATGAATCCCAAGGCAAAAATCGGATATTAGCAGCACTGCAAGATACTTCAAATGGGTGAAGAAAAAAAAGTTTCGTGCCCATCTTTCACACATTAAAATTCTCAACGGGTATCATAATGTGTTCATTAATACTGAATCAGAAGAACTAGAAAGGTGTCCTGACCTCTGTTTTCTGTAGAACACGGCCAATGGGCTCTTCCATGTCTGCAAGCTTACGTATAGACGTTGCAAGAGCAGCAATCTGTATGTAGACACATTAAATAAAAAATAAGGAGGTGTTCATCCAAGACCAAGAGATACAGGCTTTAATTTCAACTACGCAAGTAGCAAAGTGCATGCCTTCCCAGGCTTTAGGGCCAAACGAGATATTAGGGCCTTTTCATATCCATTCTCCTGTGCAACAGCAATATCAGCTTCATTCTCAGCTATAATCTGACCTTCATTTGCCACCAAGGCATCAGCTACATCAAGCAAAATTTTCCTCCTATCTTTAGATCCTAGAGCCTGCAATGAAAATAATTCCACACAGCATCATAAATCTCTCTACTTACCACTTGCTCTAGATCCAATAAATTAAACAAACCAGAGAACACAGAAGCTCTGGAGGAATATTTTAATCTCTAGCATAAATTATACCAATAGTAGCAACCTCAAGCTTCACAATTGATAAAAGAAAAGTAAAATATGAAGTTCATTACTCGAAGCTGTCTGGAAGATTCCCGTGCTGAAACAGCCAAATCACGTGCACCTTCTTCTTTAACAAGAGTCCACAAATGTGCATCTTGATGAAAGACAGTACCTATCCGGTCTCCACGAAGCACTTTTTTTATGTTGTCTGTGGCATAGCCACTATAATGAAATAGGAAACCAGTTCAGTAAGCAAGAAACTATTTTTAGTAAACTAACAAACTTTCTATAATATAATATAAGAAAGAAAAACCCTGTAACAGTTGATATATGCTCTTTATAATGCTATATAATTCTTAGGTCAATGTGTTTATGTACATAAGTATGAGAAATGGACAAGAGATCAGAAATTCCAATGAATTACGCCAGAAAATTGCAGGTTGTACAACAAAGAAATATCCTCTTAAATCCAAACTCTTTGTTGTATATCAAAATAAGCACATGATGACAGACTTTACCTAGTGATAACAACAGGGATTCCACCATAAGCTGCACAAACAGCAGCATTGACTTTAGCTGTCATACCCCCTCTGCCCACCCTTGACTTGTCTCCAAATGTTATTTCTCCATGATGTATTTCTTTGACGTATGTATGGATTAACTTTGATTTTGGGTCAGTAGGGGGACCATCATAGAGGCCCTCTACATCGCTTAGTAAAACAAGAAGGTCAGCTTTTAGTTCAAGAGCCAATAGACCTGCCAAACTGTCATTGTCCCAAAATATACCAGAAGAATCCTGCAAACAGAACTTCCAATCAGAAGCAACGGATATATATTGAACACAGGAAAATTAAGTGCCCGTCTGGTAACATTTTCTATTTTTTATTTTCAGTTTTTTGTTTGAATTTAAAGAGATAGAGGGAAAATGTATATCACAGAACTGGGAGGGAGATGAGAGATGAAAGAGGTGAGGAAGAAATGAAGGAGAGTGTATAAAACTCTATGTCAGAAAGAAAAGGAAAAAAGAACTATTCAAATTATTTTATCTACTTGTAGTGTTTATTTTATGCACCATTCTACATATACACCATCTCCTATTTCCCCCACATATATCCTCCCTCTTTTCACTATCCTCTCATTTTGTCTTCTCTATCTTTAATTAAAAACAGAAAACCAAAAACCAAAAACAAAAATTTTACCAAACGGGCCCTAAGCAGTTGATGAGATTTGTTTAGTGCTACCCCAAACAAAACGCATATCAACACAAATTTCAAATGAAAAAGTATAGGAACAAGCAGAGTTGCATACCTCATACGGAGCTTTCCTAGTACTAACAGCATCATTTTCATTGAATATAGGAACAACCCTCAGCTTCAACAATGACTTCACAGTTTCAGAAAGTTGCTTTCTGAAAGCTTCATCCCGAAAAACACTATCCGTCACCAGAAGTTGAGAAGAAGTCACATCAAGCTGCATGTTAAAGATTGCCAAATTAACATTTGCCGACGACAAAAAGTAACTGATAGAGTACTTGCAAAAGCAATAGACATACTAAAAACTGTTTAATTGATGGAGTCATCTAAATAAGACTGCAAGAAGATTATTGTCTTGCCTGGCTGAACATGGTATCATAAAGAGCCATGAGACTGCTCTGTCCGACAGCTGCACAAGCCTTTCCATCGAAGTCATTTTGTGGATTTTGGAGATCAGCGAAGCTGCGAAACAAGTATAAACTTCTTTCAGGAACTTTTGTTTGGTCACTTTGACGCCGAAATAAGCACACACAACAGATAATTATTTTATGTCATTGTAAAAGAAAACAATATACACCTGCTGTTTGCCAATCTCCTGTATCTTAGCCTTTGACGGCCAAGACCAACAGCTCCTGAAGTCACCAGAATAACCTCATACCCCTGAGCGTTTATATCTTTGAGCTGCATGTATTTCATTCAAAATATTAGAAAGACCAATTAAATCATAGCAAAACTTGCCATATTAAAACTTAACAAAAGGGAAAATTATCCTCCTAGTTTTAGAGCCAATTATATACCTGCTCACAAAGAGCACCTAGTCTGCCCAAAGCTAATCTTCCATCACCACGAGTGACCACAGCTGTTCCCACCTTCAATATTCGGTATAAACAAGTAAGCAAAATGGAAATATGACAAAAGCATCTTGAATAACCAATTTCATAAAAATGGAAAAGGATGATGTTATGCAACCCAAGTTTTGTTTCTCAACTTCGGACCCAGAAAACAGAGAGAGAGAAAAACAAAACAAAAAACTTCTAATAAAAAGCTTAACATACATCCTCATATTGGGTTTTACGGGTTGCTCTGTTTTTAATACAATGGTGTCCACTGTAGCTAATAACCTTCTAATAAAAAATGTTAAATGTAATACACGGAGGAAGAGCGGCAGCATTATTGGCCGGTATCTCCGTTTCAACTAAGTTTTTCTCCTAAATCAACAGCAGCCCACAATGGTGCCCAAAAAACAAACTTTATCCCATAAAATCTGGGAAAAATTCACCAAATCTGGAATTATACATTTTAGGCACTTTCCAAAATAATGTCATATCTGACCACATTTTGTTACAGTACACAAAAAGTTGATTCTTTGAATACCACTTCTACGAAAACCCATGATCCAAAGAGTAAAAAAAGATACCCAACATCTATAAAATATGAATAAAAAAATGAGAGGAATTAACCAAAAGAAAAGGTTCAGAATTTCCACCTGCAGTCAACAAATGCAATAATAAATACAAAAGTCATATTAGCTGACATATTTAAACAATAAACAGTAGTCTGCAAACTGGGCTCAAACACAGGTTTTCATATTTCAAATATTCTCTCTACAAACACATTGAAAAAATATAAGACCGAAAAAGAAAAATGTGCCTGTGTAACTCAGAAGCAATATTGAAGGATGTGCAGAGAATGTATTATGTATGTTATGTTGTTTTGAAGGATGTACCTTAACGACGATACGCTTGACACGATTGACGAAAGCTCTGGTAGGATCCACAGAGTCCATGTTGCCAAAGAAGACGATTTGGGATCTCAGGAAAACACAGAAAACCAAGTCTTTTTTTTCTTTTTTCTTTTTTTTGTTTTTGTTTTTGGTTTCTTGGGTTTTTCTTGTTGGCCAATAGAGAACCAGAGGCTATATATCTATCGCTCAGAGAATCAGAGAGGCAGAGAAAGAGGCTCAGAGCCCAGAGGCCAATGAAAGAATCAAAACTCGAGTGAAACTATCCCATATATAAGTTATAAACTCTGGCAGGAGAAAAAAGAAAAGAAAAAACAACACAATTTAAATATGAAAATAAAAGGGAATTATAAATCTTTGGGAGACGAAGAAGGAAAAAACAAAGAAAGAGAAAGAGAGAGTAAAAGTGCAAAAATATAAAATATCGACTGGCGAGTGAAGTCTCGTACCGAAAACGAGGACGCTGCGCCACGTAGAGTGGGTTGCCTGGGGACGAACTTCTTTTACGCTGTGGGGTGAGTGGTGGTGGTACGTATCTGAGAGTCACGTGAAGGGTGAAGAAAGAAAGAAAGGAAACCAAAGAACGACTGGACGTCGTTTACGTGAAAGAAGTAAAGAACATCATCAGCTCTGTTTTTCTACTAGTATTGTACGGTGTATATACAATTGACATTTATTTTTATTTATTTTTGTTTTTGTTTTTTTTTATATACCAATAATAATTTAATATAAATAAGTTCATTTGATGGTATTCACATCACAAAATATCAATCCTGATTAGATAGTTTAGTTAATGCATAATTTATTAACTAGCGTAGTTAATGATGATGTACTTACGTGTGTAAGTTGGATATTTCGATTCAGTGCGTCACGTGATGAAGATGTTACGATCGTATTGCTTGATTTGTACTGAGTGGGTAACGCCACATGGACCTATTAGGTTACATCGAAAAGTTACTCCTCCTACTGGGCCTCTTCATGAGTTAAGGCTATATAAATCTTATGGGGTGGGCCTCTTCGTGAATTAAGGTTGTGTAAAGCATATGTTTTAAATAACATCATCTAGATCATACTTTAGTTCATTCTCAAATAAATATGGTAATAAGAGACGGGAACAATTGTCGTGTATCTAGTTTTTTTTTATGGATAAAGTGTTTATATGGAATATTGATAATACATTACTGCTATTTGTATTGAGATCTGATTTTTCTACTCTTCATTTGTCCACCTATACTCTCTTTCTTGGAAATTATATGTTCTCACTCCTCTTTTGTCAATTTACACTCCCTTGTATGTTATAGTAAAAAATATTAAAAAAACAAAAGGAAGATTGACAAAAAGGAAGTGGAAAAATCAACACCCTTTATATTTATCTATCTATATATATAAAACAAAAGACAGAGAATTGTGAAACATTCAAAATACCAGAAAATGCCCTTGGTTAATGCAGACATTAAGAATTGAAATTATTAATTAAATGAAGATAATATGGTAAATTCACACTTTTTCATATTAAAAAATTAAAATTAAAAGAAAATTCATATAATAGATCCTATATTTATGGAACACAACTACCCATTATCTTTTTTAATTCTAAAAATAAAATAAAAATAAAAAATAAAACCAATTGGCACATGCGTGAGCACATGCCAAGGGGCTAGTATGGAAATAAATATAAGATAAACATTTGTTGCCAAACATAATTCATACCATTTTAATCCATTTCCTTTTTGGTTTTCTTACCATTTTAAATCCATTTCAAGTATTATTTGAACCAATTAAGTCTTATTGCTATAAATCTAAATTCATTGTTACTATTCTTTCACATACATCTTGATTGTTGATTCGAACTTAAAACTACTTCGTTGTTATCCTAATTCAAAATCGCTTGACTATAACTTCATGAGAAAATTCATGGCTTTGAATCTTTTGATTATGCTTAATATAAAACTTCTAAGGGCTAGTTTGGCATTGCTGTGCTGTGAAAATAATCGCTGTCAGATTTGCTGTAAGAGAAATCAGCTGTGAGAGAAAGCAGTTTGACGTTTGGTAAATTTTTTGTTAAAAATGTTGTTGGTATTGATTTTACGCATAATCAAAAAATGATTGTCACATAATCATTAAACCCAGCGCCTCTTCAAAACTGATTCCTGCATAATCAGAAAATGAAAGCACCTCATTAGCTGCTTTCCCTTATAGCTTTCTCTCACATCAATTTTTAACAATAAGTGATTTTCTCACAGTTTACCAAACGAGTTGGGCTTCTCAAAATTTTTTAAAAATCACTTATCACCCCAAATAAGCAATGCCAAACTAACACTAAGTGATGAATGACGATGGTGAGGTATGAAGACTACAATTTTATTTTATTTTTGGTTTGATACACTCTCATTTTAAGATGGCTTAAACTATAAAAACTGTTTGAAATAAAACAAACCGCTAACTGATGAACGGTCATGTTTTTTGTGTTGATGACCTTAAAAGTTTATCATTTTATGATCTTATTTAATCAAGTTTTAACATAAATATTAAATCTAAACTCTAAATTCGAAACGTCTTATCCTAAGCTTGAAGATGATGTCTTTTTTTAACAGGAGTATAAAATCAATCTGGATAAGAATATCCCAAGGAAAGGAAAAGTTAAAGTGTTTTTTTTTTTTTTTTTTTTTTTGTTTGTTTTTTTTTTTAATAAAAATAAAAAAAAGGGATCGACGTGGGAACACTTCAATGCATGGATTTTGGATTATTAGATTACAATAATTTAATCATTAATTCTTATTTGTCATCAAATGTCGAATGGTCAAGTAGCAAACAACACGTGGAACCCAACTCAACAGTAAGGACGAGCCCTCCATCATCCGACACCGATGCGACCTCTCAAGCTTGAAACCTCAACCACCCATCCTCGAGGAGTAGTATTGTTTTGTTATTCTTAATCAATTATATTTTGTCACGTATGATAAAAACTTCACATGACATGGTGTAATTGGATGGAGATAACAGTGCTATCTTTGTAAAATACAAGTCCTTCCCTATAGTTAAGGCCAAAACAAACAAATATAATAACATATCATTCTTGTCAAATTAAATATTATTAAATGTTCAATTCTGAAATTAACTTGAAATTTTACTTTGTCACAAAAAATAATTGGAGATTTTGTGCCAAGAAAAGTTTGATTTGGACTTTATTGAAAAAAATAATAATAATAATAATTGAATTTGTTAAAATTAAAGTGGCAAGGACCAGAGTAAAAAAATGAGTCAAATTATATAAACTAAAAATGTAATACATATTATTTTGTTATCATTTGTTGTCCCCGTATCATTTGAAAATGAATCATAAAACAATCATTGTAGTTCAGTCGTTTTCCCCAAACGAAAACAACAATTATTAATGTTGACGTAACATGATTGATCTCTTTTATTTTGGGCGAATCTTCCTACACACGTGACAAACGTTACTCCTTTAATTTTATCTATAATAAATTTCAATCTAAATTAATTTAAATTCAAATAGGGTCTAAGTTCAGAAAAATTATTATAAATTAATCTAATTTGGAGAAAGTGTGACTCGAACTTAAATGTAAACGGGTGACTTCAGATCTGATCCACGTTTGCGAAGTATGATATTTTTAGGACAAAAAAGAAAGTGGGATCTTTGGATGTTTGGTTGTTTTTCCGTAATAGTTCAATGAATCGATGTGCTTGGCCAAGTAAGTCAAAGATTTAACCTTTTTTATTTTGTAGGATAAAGCATGGCTGAAAAGAGTAGTTAGGAGTTAGGACTCGGAGAACGACATTGACTATAGCCAAAGTGATCCTACTCATACTCCTAATCACTAAACGACAAATACGTCGAAATCTTTGCAGTTCCATTGCACATCACGTGCAGCCCAGAGAAAAACGCATGTCGTTTCTTCCTTTCCAGGGTCCAACTCCAAACACTTGCCCAAAAGCCCACGGGCCTTATTTGGGCCACCGGACAAAACACCCCCAAAGGCCCACCGTCCAAACTGCACGCGTTTCTTCATATTTTCTGTCGTTCCCAATCTACCCCGAGACTAATTTTGGTCATTTTTGAGCGTCGAGTTGGTCGTTGAGTCCTTCAGGCCTCTATCACCTCAACCAACAAACTAAATCCAATCCATGGCGACGTGCCGTATAAAATTCACTCTCCGGTGCCCTTCTTCCGATACGCAGCGTTTCGCGTCCACTTGTCGACTCTCAAACCCTAGCTCCCCTGTCCTACTTAATCTCACCCCCGCCTCCGCTTCCAACCCCAAAAAGGTAACGTCATTTCGCTGCGAATAGAAGTTTAATAATAAATCCCCCAACTTTTTTGTTCTCTCGGTTTTAAAGCATTGAAACCAGGTGTTTTGGTGCCTCGCAGGTCTCGTGTTCCAGTGCGCGGCGGCGTAGCTTTGGTACTGTGAGGGCTCACATGGCCACTGAGGAGAAACCGGTTTCCGAGGACAGAATGCTTGTGAGCTCACTGTTTACTCTTTACCCTTATGCTCTGTTTGATTACTGATTATTAAATTCCATGGATTTTTTTGGATTTTGGGCCGAATTTTAAGAGCTCGGAGTAGATAATGCTGTCAGAATTAGCTTCTTTTTTTTTCTTTTAAATTTTGAAATGATGTGCTGAATTGATAGGGCTGATTGGATTTTTCCAGGTATTCGTGCCGCCTCACCCGTTGATCAAGCATTGGGTTTCAGTTTTGAGAAATGAGCAAACCCCTTGTCCCATTTTTCGTAAGTAACAATTAGGACATTGCCTTTTTCGGTTTTATGTAATATGTAAGGTTGATTGATAATATTGGTTAGATTGGTGAAAAATCTACTCTTTTTATTAAACAATGGTTCTGTTTTACTTTTTGAGCTTGTAAATGGTTAATCTTTATTGCTTTGCTGCACCGGAATTCATATGTTGTAGGAAATGCCATGGCTGAGTTGGGGAGGCTTCTTATATATGAAGCTTCAAGAGATTGGCTGGTTAGTTGTCATATTTTACACTCTTTATTATGAGGATTGCATTCTATTTCAGTTATATAAGGCAGTTTTGCTTCTTTTCTTTTTTTTCCTATGTCAGCCTACGGTCACAGGAGAAATCCAATCACCGCTTGGTGTCGCATCAGTTGAATTTGTAGATCCAAGGGAACCTATTTCGGTTAGTTCTCAGTATTGAATTCTTCTTTTAAGAAAATGTTATCCCTTACATAGATAACTAGTGATATTCTATATACATGCATGATTCAGTAAAGCTTTGCAGGCGAGTATCAATTGATGTCTTATTCTTTTAGTTTTGCAGGTTGTTCCAATTTTAAGAGCTGGTCTAGCATTGGTGGAACATGTATCGTCAATCTTGCCAGCAACAAGAACGTACCATCTTGGTAAGAAAGGTTCTTGCATAGATCACACATGCAGTTGAAATAGAAAAGAAAGAGATTTGGTGTGTTTATAGAAACCTTGTTACTAAGTTGATATCCATGAATGACTACAAGAAATTCTGGTCATGAAGTCGAAGTGAATATTTTTTGAATTTCATGAGACGTATCTCCATTACTTAAATTAACAACTTTTGTCAAATTGATTTTGGATTAGGTCCCTTCGTGTTCTCTTTGTAATTGAACATTTTATTAGCTCATCTTTTTATATATTTTCTACAAATGTAGGGATAGGCAGAAATGAGGAGACACTTCAACCAACAGTATACCTGAACAAGTAAGTATTCCTTGTCTAACTGACAAAATCATTCTTAAAGGCTTGTTTAACACTTTGAACAATTTCTCATCACTTCTATTTAAGTGTCCATGAAACTCTGTTTTTACCTTCTTCTTTTTGTGTTCTTGGAGTTAGTTTCCAGATCTCTGTGTATTTAGTGGCCATTTACTAAGTAGCTAAATAATAGCATCTCAAACTCTTTGATGGAATATGAACGGTTGAGATGCATAGAACTCCTTTGGAAATTTCAATTGTACATATCTAACCTAAGGGCTGAAATGTTATTACTTATCTTACTGAAATTTCAATGGTTACTTATCTTGCAAATCTTGTGATATATTTGTGTAGGTTACCTGACAAATTTCCCGAAGGGTCACGAGTATTTTTGGTTGATCCTATGCTAGCAACAGGTATGAATAAAAAATTTGGTATCTGATTTTATTTAAATTTAAGATTAGTGAACTTCTTCATCCATATGTTGTGTTTTTTGATTGCATGATGAGTACAAACTTGCAGTTTGCAGTAACCAGTAAATCTTATCTAGGCACAAGCTAGTCCTAGTTCTATTTGTTTTTCTCATTTTCTTTCTTTATATTCAATTTTAGGTGGCACTATAGTGGCAGCTATGAACCTATTAAAGGACCACGGGGTTGACAACAAGCAAATTAAAGTGGTAAGTATTTCGGAGGTCTCCTTTGAAACTTTGTGCCTAAATTTATGTATAGGTGTGAACACTTTTTGCTAAACCAGTGTAATGATCTTTTGGCAAACTAGTGTATTGAAGTTTTATGTAGAAGCAGTTGATGAAATGTTATGAAGTTAGTTCAATTTTAAACCCACGTCCAGTGAGATAAGATGGTGCTGAAGGCGGTTGATTAGAGAGAGTAATATCATTCCATTTTGTTGGTCCATACCTAACCAAGATAATCTACCACATCACAGATATCTGCTGTTGCTGCCCCTCCAGCCCTGCAAAAACTGAGCGAGAAGTTTCCAGGGTAATGATATTATCAATCAATTATTACGGTTTGGAATGAAGCACAGCATTAATTCTCTTTTTGTAATTTCACAGGCTTCATGTATACACTGGCATCATTGATCCTATTGTAAATGAAAAAGGGTAAGTACCTCCCATTGATGAGATGTGGCTACTACTCAATAGCCAATGCTATGAATGCTGCAAACCAGTTTAATACTTAATTGTTTCATGGTTACACTGATTTCAGGTTCATAATCCCTGGACTGGGTGATGCTGGAGACCGTAGCTTTGGTACATAAAGTCGTTACTCAAGTACGCTGGTGTCTTATTTTTAGTTCTTACTCTTGCAATTTTGGAATATTGAGCCTATTAATAGGAAAGATTTCTGAGAATCATTGTTTTCTTAGAGGAAGGTAAACTTGATTCATTTTGCAAAATATGGTATTGAAGAAATAGGAACCAGAATGTGTCCCCCATGGATTTTGTATCAACCGTTCTAATTTTTCTTGAACATAATTAAATCTGGCTTTGTAGATTCCATGAAAGTGTGATAGGAATTGATTTCTATTAGCCAAATGACTTCTAAATTCAGAGTCATAGCCAAGCTGATTGATGACAATTGTTGAATCAATATAAAAGATAAAATAAAAAGAATTAGGGCGCTCCGGAGAGTTTTAGCTTTTAACTAAGCCGACAACCGGAAGTAAAAAGAACAGAAATACGATAAACAAGCACAGACAGATCAACTTATGCTACCTAGCTAAGTTTTTACGTTGTTGCATAAGATCATAGACTTGCTTTCAGTGCGCTGTCATACTCCTCCGCCATTACCACCTCCTTCACCTCCTCCACTGACCACCGAGTCACAAACTCCACAGAGCAAACGGCAGGTGTAAGATGCAAGGAGGCAACAAGCCAAATTGAGCCTGTGATTTTCCACGTTTCCATATCTTTCTACTATCTATCTACTGGAACTGGATGTGCCCAAATAGGTTCCCAGAGCTTCCCTTTTATGGTCAAGACTTATTAAAACCATTAATGAAAATAATATTTCTGATCGTGGTGGTCGTACGCGTGGCCATTTTGTCTTTATAACTCTCCATGATGCATGCATGCCTGGTTAGTGAATATTAATATTCATGTTGATTTTCACGCCACACAGCTTTATGACCCCGTCGATTCATTCCTTATTCATATATCAAGTTGCAGGTAAGAAGATCTATTGTGAAATTCATTCAACTTAAGGAAAGTGTAAGAGAGATACTAAAAGAAGAGACTGCGAGGAATGAGTTTAGAGCAAACCTATTGCTAGCAGTTGAGTGAGACTATTGGATCGAACAAATTTGTCAACTACTTCCAAATATTGATCCAAACAGGCTAAAATCAACAAGGCCCAATGCCGATATCAGACGAAGTTCCAAGTCCCGTAATTCCACTGTCCGACAAAGCAAGTTGTTCAGGTGCTAATAAGCTTCAATCCCCAATTGTATCGCATCAAGATGATAACGTTGATCCAATTGAACCCCAGGAAGATGTGAAGGTAATACTGGAACTGATCACGATTTATGAATGTGTTACACAAGCAATCTTATATATCTAAACTCTATTGCTTAAAACAGAAACACGGCAAGTCCTTTGATGAGTGAATCCAAACAGATTACTCAGACAGAAATGCCGCATTCTTCTATATCGACCTACGAAGATTACTCGTGAAACCTTCATCTTGCATGAAGATATTTTGCAGCGTGGTGCCATGCAAGAAATTGGAGCCACTGTTATAGCTACATACATTGAGGTAATAACAAACAAAATTATATAATTAGTTCATTTTACAATTCATATTCTTTACACAGCAAACACTTATTGGATTTTGTATTTAGGTGCCTATATGAGTTGTTGAAAAATGGAAATATGGTAACGATGGTTGGACTAGTCGACCCTGCTCAAGTAAGCGCTAACTCGGGACCATACTCTCATAGATCACATTACTTAGCAAATCAGTTTAAAAACGCAAATCCTAACCAAATTTTCTTGGTGCCTTATAATACCGGGTGAGTCCCACAATTCTTTGTAATTAGAGGCAGTCATTCGAAACATGATTAACCTCTCCAATGAGTAAACCCCTAAACTCATTTATGTTATTTTGTACAGAAATCATTGGATCTTGATAATTGTGAAACCGAGAAAAGAGACTGTGTATTATACAGATTCACTATCACAACGTGTCAATGATAAAGATTGCAAAAATATAGTGAACACGTAAGTTGGTTTACTACATTGTAATGTGTGTTCATATGCTAAAATATATTGCAATAACACCTTGTTGTCTTGAAATAGTGCGATCAAAGTATTCAGTGCTCAAAATAGCAAACAAGGGTGTAAAGTATCCATTTGGAAAGTTTTGGAGGTATAATTTTTTGAATTATCTATGTTCTGCCCCTTGAATTTTCTCAAACATGGCATGCCTAGAATTTTGTGTCCAATGTTTTATATGATGCTCCATGTGTGTCCAATTTGTTGTCCAATTTTACAAAGTCTGAGGTTATACAGGGCACTCCAAGACAACCAACAAATGTAGAGTATGATTATTTTGTAATGCATTTTATGAGAGACATAGCTACGAATCGAAGCTTAGAGTTTGCGCAAAAGGTAAAAGTCTAAAGATCAATTCACGTGCATTTATATTATCTAGCTTGTTTGAATAATTAATATTTGGGTCTCTTTTGCAGTGGGATAAGAGGAATAAAAACTCATCATATACCCAAGAACAAATTGATGAAGTTCGAAAGGAATGGGCAGAATATGTGAGCAATCATATGTCGTATCGCCTATCTATCTAATTACAGTTTAAGGTTTTAGATTGTTATGTGGATAATAGACGATTGGTATGAATGGATGTGAAATTTTGTATGTTGTGATAATGTACAGAATATGGATGTTGTGGTAATGCTCATAATGAATCTGAAATTTGTATGTTGCGGTTTGTTATGAAATAGCAGATTGGTAATGTTCAGAATATGCAGGTTTTGGATATAGCAGGTTCTGTATAAAAAAATGTGTTAAGGTAAAAAAACACAACGGTATTGTTTCTTTTGAAAACCATCGTACGCTGAACACCATATGCAACCTTTAAGCACAATTAAAAACGACTTTTATATATTTATTAATAAATCCGCCATTTGATAATAAAAAAACATGACGCATTCTTCATAAAATTGACATTTTAATTGTCATCAGATGACGGTTATTTTTAAAAATCGACGTTTTACTAATAAACCAAGGTTTATTATATAAAAACCGTAGTGTGATTCTTTTATCATAACGGTTATTATATAAACACTATGTGATATATTAAACCATGACGGTATGATATAAAAAGCGTCGTGTGATGATATTTACGACGACAATTGTTGAATCAATATAAAAGATGTCACACTAAGAATAATTAGGGCGCTCCCGGAGAGTTTTAGCTTTTAACCAAGCCGACAACCGGAAGTAAAAAGAACAGAAATACAATAAATAAGCACAGACGGATCAACTTAATTATAACACCTAGCTAAGTTGTTATACATTGTTGCATAAGATCTGAGACATGCTTTCGGCGTGCATTGTCATGCTCCTCCTCCGCCGCCAATACCACCTCCTTCAACTCCTCCTCTGCCACTATCACCTCCACCGCCGCTGAGCGCCAAGTCATGACAAAGTCCACAGAGCAAACGGCAAGCACAAGAGCAACAAGCCAAACTAAGCCTATGATTTTCCACGTTTCCATCTTCTTCTACTGGATTTGGTTTTATGATTGGATTTGGATAGTAGAATTTAAAAATAAAAATAAAAAGGAAAATACCCTTTCATAAACAATAATTAACTCGAATCTCCAAATAAATAAATTAATTAAAAAAATAGAATTAACTTGGGGAGTTTTTTAACCAATCCTAGAGAAGGACCTAGAACAAATACCCTTTCATAAACAATATAGTGGAGAGATGCTAGAACAAATATCCAAGCCTTACAAACGAGCCAAAAGCTAAACAAGGACAAAACTATAGCGCCATGTGTGGGGAGAGAAGTTATGGCTTTGCGCTTCAACATGCAGAAGCCCCACCATGTGCTCCTCCTCCACCACCGCAATTGGCTCCTCCTCCACCACCGAAATCGGCTCCTCCTCCACCACCGAAATCGGCTCCACCCACAAACGCTGCTCCACCGCCGACGTCCCCACCTGCGCGGTGATGATGACGATGACCACCAGTTTCCATACCACCTGAGCCTACCCAAGTGCGCCTTCTACAAAACAAACCTAAAACAACAAATACGGCGGCTACAACAAACCAAACTATCAGTATGATTTTCCAGACTTCCATCTTTCGCTACCAGGATTTCCAATGAAACAACTGTCCCTTAGCTTCCCTTTTATAGTTGTGATTCATAATTAGGCGTCTGCCTGATTAATTAACATGTGCTTGGAAGCATGCATATATGACCAGTTCTAGCACGTCAAACATGCGCATATGACCAAGTTCTAGCTAGTCAAATGCAAAGGCACCTACGCAACGCAAAGCATGTTTATCTGATTTATTTTATTTTATTTTTGTAGGGAGTCTTTGACAGCTGACGAGTAATTTTTCTTATTAATTTGTCATATATACGGGAATATTATAAGTGTTTGTGTGTACGTAGAAGATACCAGGTGGCTTTCTGCTGCCAAATGGGATTACGTAACTATTATTCCTACTTGTGAGTCTTTGACTGCTACATATATTTCAATTAAAGGTCAAACTAATCTAAACAGTGTATTTTAGATCATTTCTTAAAATAAAAAAATCACTTAAATTCGAATTATTTGACCACTCGATTGAAATATTGAAATTTTAGTACTTTCTTGAAGTATCGTGTTCATTGATTTTGTGGGACACAATTGGAGGTCGAAACGATTTCCAATTTATCTAATTTTTTGTAAGAATGATTTATGAATGTAGACTTAAAAAAATTAAAAATTAGTAGGGGGCTCTAAATGGTGTCACTTAAATAAAATTATTTGAGGAATCTCTCAATATAGAAGGGACTATATATATATATATATACATATGCATATTGCATGGCTCTTCTTGTATATATGGCCAAGGAGAGGTTAAAGTAACATTTTATTTATTTATTTAGAATGAAAACTCACATGGTGTTGAAAATTTGTAAATTTATAAAACAGTTCTTGTATATATCTAGAGACTATAATTTCCAAAATACAAGATGATCTCCGTACGTACTATACACCTAGTAAATATATTGTAGGATTTGAATCATGATTTTTGAATATGCATACATAGCTAAAAAAACTCAAGAACGTCTTATAATATAAGTGGACTGTAACGCAATAATCAGAAGAAAAATGTACCCATACAACAGACAACCCAAAAAAAAACAAAAAAAAAACACAAAAATGGAAAAAATGAGAATCGAAACAAATCTTGGGAAGAATAAGTGTAGCTGAAGAGATAACTATGCGGTGTCAATTAATCAACTTATTACAAGAGCATAAAGCCCCTTATATATATAATGTAATGTTTAATGTATATATATATGTTTTTTTTTTTTTTTTTTTTTTTTTTTTTTTTTTTTGGTCAAAGACTATATATATGTATAGAAAGACCATCTCAGGCGTCTCCAGAGTCCTGAACACACTTGCGTTTCCAGCAGTAAGTACACGATACACTCACCGCCGACACCACAACCACGACCGCCAATGTGCTTACTATAATCTTAAAAATATCAAGAGTCTCCATCCGTCCTGATTCTTCCGATTTTCGGATTCACTACTATCCCTACTTGCGTTGTGATTTGTCCTCCTCCTTCCTGCTCCTGCTCCTCCGCTTAAATATTTGCTTTCCTCCTCTGATCGTGCATGTACGCGTGGCCATATTAATTGTATTTATAAGTCTCCATGATGCATGGTTAGTGAATATTAATGTTGGTTTTCACGCCACACTACGTTTTATGACCCCGTGGATCAATTAATTCCTTAGCTTGTTATCATTTTATCATTTTATCATGAGGAGTTAAGTATGTTTAGTCATGTGCATATTGTCTTTTTACATACTTAAACTTAGTGAATTAGGTCTAATTTGTACAATTATTCAAACTGAATTTATATTTATGAACATTAATATAAGCTTAAAAAATGTGATTCAAGCATCCAACTCAAACTACGCATTTTATTTTATTTATTTTGGTCGAAACTACGCATTTCGTTATGTATTCTTTTTTATCCTTTTTTTTTATACATTGTTGGTACTATAAACTCGTGCGTCAAATATTGTTTCTTCATATATACTAGGTAGAAAACAAAATGAAAAAACCAAAGCATAATAATGAAGAGAAGAGAGTTTGTCCCCTTCTAGAGGAGGATTATTTGATTTAATTAATGAAAAATTTGACATGAAATAATGAATATTATGTACATGAAAAAATCAGAATCCAACTTAGCGGTTCACTTATATAACTCTAACTTAGAAATGCGCTGTTTGAGGTAGACTTGTAACACCATATATATGCCCATGGTAGAGGTAGTGTAATAGACGTCCGTCACCTATAAACCACGCAATTAACATGCGCTGCCAACATGTCCTCCTCCCCCTCCACCACCACCACCACCACCACCAAAATCACCTCCACCGCCAAAACCAGCTCCACCTCCTATGCCGCCTTCACCAAAACCAGCTCCACCGCCATAGTCAGCCCCACCGCCAAAGCCTGTTCCAATGCCAATATTGGCTTCAACGTCGTTATTAATATGGGCTCCACCGCCTAAGCCTCCACCTCCACCACCGCGGTCATTACAGCAAAGGCAACAAACATAACTGTGACTATGACTGTCCACGTCTCCATCTTCATTTCTACTGGTATACGACATATGTAACATGCCCATGGCAATGGCATCCCTTTTATAACCAATTACAAATATTAAAAGTGCCTTTGGTGTCCAAAAAAAGAAAAATTCAAGTTTACTTTTTTCGTTTGACATTCGGAAGTTCAAGGTTTTGAATTTTCGAACATATTACCAATGCTTGGTAAGCATATGACCTCGTCTTTAAAAATTGCTGACAAAATATGACTCAAATATTGATCTAGTCAAATAGAGGAGGCAAACACGTTTGCGCAAAGCATGAGACTATAATAAACTACAAGGGGATGAGATTTTCACATAGATTATTAATGTGTTATGGGGTTCGAACCTGAGACCTTTAATTTATAAATCAATGCCTTTTTCAACTCAAATACTGTACGTCTTGTTAAATGTGTAGAAGATACCGTGTGGCTTTCTGGTGGGGTATGCCAAAGAGGATTACGTAATTGTTATTCCTTATTTAGGAGTCTTTGACTGCTACGTATTTCAATTCATGGTCAAAATAGATAAGCAGCAAATCTGTATATATGTACAGCCAAGGAAGTAACATTTTATTTATTTATTTCACGTAGCTGAGGATTAAATACACAAGAGTATAAAGCCCCTCATTGATAACAATTCTCAAACATCTTGGCAAACACATATATAAGGGCCACGAGCACCGAGACCCCGGCCCCTGATATGACTATTTCCAACCAGGTGTCCGACATTCTTGATTCTTCTGATTTCCGATCGACTACGATGCCCTACCACTTGTGTTCTCCTCCTTCCTTCTCCTCCTCCTCCTCCGCTTAAATATTTGCTCTCCACCTTCGATTGTGGCCGTACGCGTGGCCATATTAATTATGTCTTTATACGTCTGCATGCATGCATGGTTAGTGAATATTAATTAATATTAATGTTGGTTTTCATGCCACACGTTTTAGGAACCGGTGGATAATTATCCTTGTTCATTTTATATCAAGTTGCAGGATTTAAACTTAATGAATTAGGTCTAATTCGTACAATTATACAGACTGATTATATATTAATACGCTTAAAAAGTGTGATTATATATTAATACGCTCAAATGATCAAACTACGCATTTTGTTTTATTTTATTTATTTTGGTCGAAACTACGTATTTTATTAGAATAATGCTACTTTTACCACATTTGTATACCATATCCCTATATCATCTTATGTGGCAGTTGAGGTGAACAGCCACATCAATTATAATTATTTAATTATTTCTTTTCTTTTATGATTTATTCCAGTATATGTTTTTCTAATTGTCTTAATTAAAATAAAATTCATTGATTTAATTTATGTGTCATGTAATATAGACATGCCACATCATGTGGTATAGAAATATGAGATAAAAATGTGGTAAGTGTAGAATTACTCATTTCATTATGTATTCATTTTTCATACATAAACTCGTGGGTTATTGGTAGCTATGCCATGCGTCAAATATTGTTTCTTCAAACTAGGTAGGTAATAGAAAACAAAATTAAAAAATCAAAGCAGAATAATGAGGAGAAGAGCGTTTTCTCCCCTTAAAACTTAATTGGCTCTTTTAATTAATTTTGTAAACTTTTTGTAGGGAGGTTATGGATCGTTTGATCCGTCAAGGCTACCCAGACACGGGATTATATCATGCGAGTATTGACACACTCCGACCTTGGTACAATTATAGATTAGTGAATCTCAAGTACTCATATTAGAGATAAAAACATAACATGATCATTTGAGGTGTACAATTCTTACATTAGATGTCACGTGAAAACCCTCTAGGCACATTTGGTGGTTTGGTTTGGACTTTGAGTTTTGTATTCGAGAATTTCAACTTTAGAATATTTTCTTTAATAAGTGAGATAAGTATCCAATTAAATAAATTAGTTTTAGTGCTCAATTTAATTGGAATAATCCCAATCCTTGTGACCATATTGATTGACAGCGTGCCTATTTGTGTTGTTAATAATTGAGGAGGGAGTGGGTGGCAATCGTATGATCATGTGCTCTCTCAGAATGATGACAAGGCCCAACAAGAGAAGGAAAAGAAAAGGCCAACAAAAACAAGCAAATCGACCAAAAAAAAATCATGGGAAGAACTATAGCTGAAGAGAAATAAATACAGTTTCAATTAGTCAATTAACTAATTACAAGAGTATAGTGAACCATGCAGAAAGAAAAAAGCAAAGAAAAGGAGAATTATGAGCTGAGTATGTAAGATCAGCAACCGGCATAACCAGCATCGCAGCTGCAGCTGCCGTTTCCTCCGCTTCCACGTTGCCGGGGGTTGGAACTGAGGCAGCAACAGACGAGACCCAACAGCAGCATGAAGCCCGAGGCTGAGGCTAAAGCTTCTGCCCAGTTCAGATAATGCTCCATCCTCCTCCTCCTCCTCTGCTTAAATTGCTTTCAACTTCTCCTGGTCATATAATATGTAGTCTTTCTTTTACAGCTTTGCATTATATATACATATATATATATAGAGAGAGAGAGAGAGAGCGCACTTCTATTGAGGGATTTCTCAAATAAGCTTAATATTATGCATGCTGGTGTGCGCTAACAGTTGAGGTATCTTTCTTGATCTCTTTATTGGAGGGAAAAAGAGATTAATGGTATCAAAGTATCTATCAGTAGCTGGCAATTGCAAGGCATGGAGGTGGAGAGAATGAAAATATGGAGGAAATTGTAATTGTACTAGTGGCGCACATGGGCTAGTGAGGCTGAGCTTCATAAAGGCCAAAATAACATGGCCCAGTCTGTGGATTTTAGACTTACAGCACAACCCAAATGTTTCCAACTCTCTCGTCTCATATTTTAAGCCCCACACACACGCACACACACACACACATATATATATATATATAATATTTTATTTTATGTATTTTCTATGGGTTTTTTGTCGTTGCAAAATTCATAGGAAATCTAAATGATAAACCTTTAATTTGCTTATTTTCTTTTTATGCTTTCCGCTTTTGTTCTTGAGGATGCTTCTGTAAAAGTAGCCTTTTCTTTGCCTTTTCTTCTTTCCAAAATTCCAAGAGCAAACTTAGCACAAGAGATTGCTTAACCAGGCGCTTTTTCTTTTCTTTTCTTTTCTTTTTTTCTCAGGACAAACGGTGGGGCGGCACTTCGAATATTCCTATTGTTTGTATAAATAAAGTAGGCGTGTGAGATTAACAAACCAATTCATTTGCTAATAAGTAAAAGCAAATCCACTCGACTACTCAATAGGCCAGCGCTTCGTTTTTCATTTTGAGTTGCAGATCATTTCGACTATGGGAAGAAGGTTGCTTCACGAAATCTGTTAAATTAATATTGCAACACAACACAACAGAATGGCTCCAATGTCTTAAAATCCAAAACATGGTACTAGGTTTGCTGCCGTGCTACTCCCATAGGAATAATTAACAGAAATGAAAGTCAATTTAAAAGGCGTGGGGAGAGAAGGCACTTCATTTGGCGTGTCCATTGGAGAGATGGTTTTTCAAGAGAAGATGAGACTCAGTTTGCCACCCTCAAAAGAAATATTGTTTATTCGATGAGGGGCGCAAAGAGAATTATAGCATTTCCTGCAAGCAAACGAAACCTAGGACCAAAGCTACGGACACTTGCTCTAAAAATACTCAAACCACCCAAAAAAACCGTGTACCTTGACCGTATACAATACAACATCATTCGCAGGCACAATTCACAGGCATAACTTAAGATAATATAACTCATGCAACTAAATCACTACCTTCTATTAAAAGGCAGCTTAGAGTTGACGACAAGCAGAGGGGGCATGATAAACACATGCCCATATATTCTAAGAATGTTAGACACTACTGCACATAATAAATTCCACCAGTGTTTCTTACAAATACGGATAGCGAAAAGAAGCAATTTCCTTTACATAAACAATGTTCATCACGATTTACATCCTGCTGTTGATTTGCAAAGGTAGGCAGCTTTGACCCAAGTCCCGAGAGTTTAATTCCAGCCAATATTATTTTAAAGCAGCCACAGCCAAGCTCAAGTTCAGAACCACAACTTGTATGAGATTCCCAATCAACAGTACAATGCCTAAATAGAAAAACAAAGGCTGTTGAAGAAACAGGATAAACAAAACTGTATTAGTTCATTAGTACTAACTACTCCAAAAAATAAAAACAATTCAGTTATTACATCAGCAGCTGCAAACTAGAAAAGTACATCATTAATGGTGAGTACAGAACAATAAACTAACTTGCACAAAACATGGTCAAAAAGTAGAATCAAAGCAGGATTCACTCACATCTTAGGAGCTACAGGTAAGCTACAGCTCACTATAGTTGCGCCACACTGCACGAAATTCCTCACGGAAAGTGTTCAGGCGTGCCTTCAAGTTAGGTGTTCTGAAGCTTGCATGCAACAGAGTGGCTGAGAGGGAGGAAGGACAGAGAAAGAAAATCAATTAGAAAGAAAATCAATTAGAAAGCATACAGCATGTCAGGCAAATGAACACAAATTTTTAAAAAGCAACGTACCAAGCAGTCCGAAGGCAAGTGCCCACAGTACAGTTAAGAGACCACAGGAAACAAACCATAGAAAGAAACTCACTACAAATAGGAAATAGATGGTTAGTAAACAGTGGAATAATTATTTTTGAAAGGAATAAACAATGAAACAAATATTCAATTCACAGACTAGCTTGCTTGGACTACTCCAAAACATATATAGGAAAGAAGACATTGCTTTCAAGATTTGCATACCCGAAGAGAATATGAAGACAAACACCCAGCGAGGCCGGCCGCATATGAATATTGCTCTTTTAGCTGATGGACGTCCACGAATTACAGGCCTGGAAATAATTAAATAATCATTGAAGCAACTGTATAGGGTGCATAGCAGGTCAAGTGATAAACAACCAAGCTTACGTAAGAGGAGGTCTCATCTTTGCAGCCAAATGTGGAGAGAATTGTCTCACAGTTCTCAATACTTTCTCACTAAAAGTACCTGCAAAGCTGTAGCAATGATACTTAGCAACAATGTTTTCAGTAACTAGCAGCAGGTTCCCTAGAAGTTAACACGGGAAGAACAAGGATTTTAGGATTACCCTTAACTGTAGAGAAATGCATCTCATTCAAACAAAGATTCTTCAGTACGCAAAACAACGTGTAATGAAAAAACTATATGGTTTAATTAGACTCATCTAAAGGCAAAAACATGAAGAAACTGAACTGCAAATAGTTGTTTCATGACTTTATCTAAATAACTACTTTTTCCATTTAAGTTTTCTGGCTAGATCACCTTGTTCAAATCTAATGTCTCAAACTCTTTATAAGATATAGAACCAAAAAATACTTGGTCATACTAAGTTATTCTGCAAAGTACTGTAAAACCACAACATGCTTATGGAAATGAGGAGGTAATTACCACAAGAGCAGGGCTCTGATTACAAAATAACAAACTGATGCCCCAAATGTGTAAAAAAAAATATAAAAGGAAAATTGGTGCACTGATCCGGATAGCCCAATTAATCCAAAAATTGACTCACTAATCACTACAATCAATAAACACAAAAGTAGCAACAAAAAACACATGAGGCAGGTGCACGATGCGCATGTGTACATGCACCAACAAACAGAGCAGTATTAGAGTGTATTACCTGTCGTTAAGAATCGCAATGCTGAGTGCCGTAAGAAGAGCAGCTACAATAGCAAGCGGCCTCCGAAGAAAAGCCAAGCCTACAGTTGACAGTGGAGATTTTAAAAACATGTTTTTATAGAGAAGTTAAAAAGAGAAAGCGATTCCCCCATATTTCATCCACAAAAGAGAGAGAGAGAGAGAGAGAGAGAGAGGAGAGAGAGAGAGAGAGAGAGAGTAATTGAAGTTGTCTCGTTTGCTCACCAAGAACGAAAATGATCAAAAGGAAGTAGTTGGTCCTGTAGCTGCAAAAGCAGGCAATATCTGATCAAATTACAGAATACTAATCCCGCATATCGATAGCAAAAAACGTGCGAAACAAGGAGACGAGACGGATAAACATGATTAAACATAATTACTTGACTAATTCAACATCCAACCTCATTAGATACTCATAATCTGCATCTGACAGTCATTATTGAAATTAATTCAGCACAAATAGCAGCCTCAATAGGACGCAAATAAAAAATTAGGGTTTACACATATAATTTGACCGCCAATAACCCCGTAGATTCGAATTACAACAACATATACAAGGTAAACTCAATGAGATTAGAAGAGAGGGATCGTACTAGTAGAAATTGCATTTGAGGCGGCTGTTCCATTTGGAGGAGGATCTGGGGACGGTGAACTTGGAGAAGAATTCAGAGAGAGGGCGAGGCGGAGAAGACCAGTCCACTTCGCGGAGTGCGTCGATCAGATCCTCGGCCGTGACGTTGCCCCAATCCATTTCTGTGCTGCTCTTCTGTTTCTTCGAAACCCTAGCTAGACTGAGCCGAGCGAAGAAGAAGATGAAGAGTGAGGAAGGAGAGCTCGAAACGCTGGTTGGTAAAAAAGAAACAGAATCGTCGGAAAAGAAGGAATTTGGGAGATGTTTTGGTGTGTTGATCTGGAATTTGTGGAATTGGGGAAATGAAAATATGCCCTTTAGCCAACGAGACAAGACGAAGTTAACGACTGGGATACTAAAAGAAACCGGTGACACGCGAAAAAATAAAAAAAATAAATAGTTTTGTGTCTGAGCCCGGGTTCGAACCGGGGACCTCTAGTGTGTGAGACTAGCGTGATAACCGACTACACCACCCAGACAGTTGTGCTAAGCTATGATGCTTACAATATTTATTTGTTATTCACAACATGCAGCTTAATAACATTTCAGCGTCTGCGAATGTTTGCAGAGACCCAGAAACTAAAATTTGAGGGGGTAGACCAGCCTCAGTTAGTCAAGGTAGTGCATCCTTCCGTTCCGTTGCACCTGAGTTTGAATTCCTTTTTTGTTTATAATATCGTTATTTTCAAAAGTAAAGTACAAAATTTGATGGACTAAGCAATGGTCTAAAGGTGTAGAAAGACTTTAACATTTTTTGTTATTTCCAGCCAATAACGCAAATTAGGCTATTCTAACCTCTAGTAGCTAAACACAACCACCCACTTCGTCCCTAATTGGGAAAATCTCTTGTTGTAGAGTAGCTATCAAATAAATTACCTCATTCACCTGCTTTCGCATGCAAATTTGAGGCTCTAATCAAACTATGGGAATTAAATGGGCATCCAACTTGGTGCTTGCCCACCTCCTGGTGGTGTTGTTTGCTTGTTTTTTTTTTTTTTTTTTTTTTTTTTTTTTTTTTTAATAAGCAATAGTCTAAACTACTATGAATTGTAGCTCGTTTGGGACTACTTTTGTATAAATCAATTGTGTTCATAAACACTTAAAAAAAAAGTGTTTATGTTAGAACAACGTCAAAGTTTTTATTGAAAATTCAAGTGCTTCTCATTGATTCATGAAAGCATGCACTTCTTCATAATTTTTTTTAAACCCCAAATCAGAAAGAGACTCAAATTTAAGTTCAAGAGGGTAAATTCATTGCCCTTACTAGCCCAATCCACATACGTGGGCTATAAAAATCTTAAATATTCTTTCTTTTAAGTAGTTGTAGAGAGTGATGAAATTGTAATTAAAGAAAAATATGAGAGGTAGGTGAATTCATAGGTTTGGTCTGGTGAGTAGCAATAGAGTCATCCTTTATTATTATTTTTATTATTATTATGAAAGGCCAATATGATTCTTTTTTATTGATGACTATCTGCCACATCAATTATATGACAAGTTATTTATGGACACATAATTTTCTCACTATTGATATTTCACAAACCTATGATATAGTACATGAGAAACTAGTTGTCACAGATTATTTTGGTAATAATTTATCTTGTAAAAGGTTCATATGATGACTTATTTTTTACTTTTTTTGATTGGCAAGTTATTTGTGGAAATATCATTTACCATATACATGTGCTTATAAAAATAAAACAATTATTTAATATGACTGTTACGTTACCACCATCACGTAATGTTACTAATCTATTTGTATATTAATACTGTATTTTAAGCCGTTACATATAAACCGATATATTAACAACCTCATGTTACGATATGAGTACCATATGAATGGGTTCACAAAATGGAGAAATTATAGAATGGTACGGTATCACCATGTCAACAGGTGATACTTCCATTTAAAATTTGCCACGTGTATTTTTAAAAAGAAAATTTATACTTTTTTTTTCAGCTAGACATTAGGTTCCAATTTTACCCTTCACAAAAATTAAAAGAGAAAAAAAAACTGCCTCTGTCCAGTTCGCAGCCCCCTCAGTCGCGTCGCCCCTCCCACCTCCGTCCAGTTCAGTCTCCCTCTGCAGCGCCCTCCCTCCCTGTTTGTATTCCTTTCCCCAATCCGTCAATCTCCTCATCTAGGTTGCCTTCATCTCAATCCCGCATGGCCTTGACAAGAGATGAGAGAGAGAGAGAGAGAGAGAGAGGAGAGAGAGAGAGAGAGAGGAGAGAGAGAGAGAGAGAGAGAGAGATGAAGGAAAAGAAGGGGAGGGGGCGGCAGCAAGGGGGTATAGGATTGCATATTGCAATCGTCTTTTTTTTTATATAGTTTAGTTCTAAAGGGTAAAACTGATACCTAATGTCTAGCTGGAAAATAATTTAATTAGTAGAGGGTTAAAAAGACACATGTCAATATATGAGTGGAAGTATCACCTGCTGACGTGATGGTACCGTACTATTCTATAATTTCTCCACAAAATGTGGTTGCCTATTTTTACTTTTTATTTAATCTTTATTTTTAAATTTCCCTTTCTTTCACGAACAAAACGTTTTTATTTCAACGTTGAATTCAAACTCCGAACAGTGAGACCGCTATTTTATTTTATTTTTCTTTCTTTTTGGCAAGAATAAATAGAGGGACCTTTTCCCGTTACAAGAGGAAAGAGGTTTAGCGCATTAGTTTAGCTTAGCCTAGGCTAATTAGCAAATTCCAAGAAGATCAAATAAAGTTTACCAAAAGTATCTCCATTCGTCAAACCAATAACCACGCGACACGTTTTAACCCATGACATTATTGGGCCTGGTCTAATCCCATCATCACCAACCTCAACAAGGAAATAAACCCGCCAACCACACCGCGCCACCTGTGAAACGACCCGGAGACAAAACACTCGTAGTGCGCGCCATCACGCTACCCACCGTAGACCGAGCCGCAGGCTACCACATCCCTCCTCGCTCCCTGTTATCTTCTAGCTCCACGCTTTCTCTTTCAAACCTCTCTTCCCTGTCTCTGTACTTGGACGCTATCGAAATCCAATCAGCAAAAAAACCACCACTAATCTCAATTATTATCACTAATTGCAATCATCACAAAATTAATCAAATTAGTTAACCAATATTTTAATCGATTAATCATTTCAAGTTTTTCACCTTACATTCGCATTATTAAAAACAAACAGAAAACTTCCATTAATCTCTCTCTAGATTTTCTCTCTCATCGTGTTATCGAATTCGGCCGAAATCGAATCCTCGGAAGATCTCTATCTATATACGAGGTCCTGCAAATTGGGAAAGCGAGCTTCAATTCGGGTCGGAGCGGGTTTCGGGTTCGGAGCTTAGGGTTTTGTTATTCGGAGGGTAGAAATGGCTCACGCGTCCGGGAGGGGAAGGGTGGTCGGAGACTATCTGGTGGGTCGGCAAATTGGGTCGGGTTCGTTCTCGGTGGTTTGGCACGCGAGGCATAGGGTCCATGGGACCGAGGTGGCGATCAAGGAGATTGCGACTGGCCGGCTCAACAAGAAGTTGCAGGAGAGTCTAATGTCTGAGATCTTTATCTTGAAGAAGATTAACCACCCTAATATTATTACCTTGCACGATATTATAGAGGTTCGTGAATTTCAGTTTGTTTAATTGTTCATGTTTTTGGTTACAGTTCTGTTTGATTGCCGAGAAAGCTAAGGAAAGTGGAGGGAAATAGTAATTGAGCTATTTTGTGTTGTTTCTGTTTAAACTTGTCTGGTTTCCAGGTTACAGAAAATTTTGAATTTGGGTCAGACTTTGGTTGCGTTTGTGTTGTTTGGAAAATTCCAAGTGTTTACTAAGCTTCACATTAAAATATATGGAATCTTACTATTTCCTTTCTGAAGACAAAGCATTAAAATTTCCAAGGAATTTGTACTGTGCATTGAAACAATTGCATTTTCTTGTTGCATTTAATAAGAAATGTGAATACTTTTAACTGAAAATGGCTTCCCCAGGGTACTAACATCTCTTAATTAAAAACTAATAAGACTTTCTGCATTAGTTGAGGAAAGTGAATAGGGTAAAGCTTGCAGAATTGGAGAACAGAATAATTCTTTTTGCACATAAATGGAAATACACCTTTGTAATTGGCAAATAGATAAAATTGGTGCTCTGCTTTACTTTGTTCTCTTTTATGAGTGGGGAAAGACCAATCTCACTTTTTCGGTCAATTATCACCTTCGAATCACCTCTCATTCCTTTTTTCTCTCATAAGGCTTGTTTCACATTCACTTAAAATAGGTTCCTGGGAAGATCAATCTGGTATTGGAGTATTGCAGAGGTGGTGATCTTTCGATGTATATTCAACGCCATGGAAAAGTGCCAGAAGCTATTGCAAAGCACTTCATGCAGCAGCTAGGTTTGCCTTGGATTTTGCTTCTGCAAGTCATTTTTCTTTGTCCGTTTTGCATATTCACTGAGTCATACATGTACTGATGTTGAAGTGATTGTGTTATCTGCAGTGGCAGGTCTGCAAATGCTTCGTGACAATAATCTTATACATCGGGATCTAAAGCCACAGGTTTGGATGATTCAAAATTAAATGTGATCGTTCTATTTGTGCAATGATGGTTTAGCTTAGTTATATTGTTCAACAAGATCATCATTATCACTTATATAGTGATGATCTCTTGCCAAATAGTCTAGGTGAGGTTGTGAATCAGGACCACATAATCAGACATGATTCCGTATGATTAACAATCTTGCTTGATACTTGGCAACATAACATGCTTTAATAAGATGACAATATAACATGCTAGACTGTCTTGTAAGAGACCATCACTATACATACACATACATATGCAGGCATTCTGTAGTAAGGAGCTAAAATAAGTAGCTAATACTGGGGCATTAGTTCTAGGATTATGACACTCCTGCAATTTGGATTAGAATATCCCCACTCGTTTTAATTTCGGCAATAGAAGATATCTACTGGCCGTCGATTAGCTACTTATTAAGTTACTACAGCATCCTGTATGGAATATATCTAATAGTGATGGTCAGAGATGTCATAGGATATTGTTTGATATGTAGTAATCTTGTCTGTGCAGAAAGGTTTCCTAGGTATGTCATTCCATTTGTAATGTTTATCATTCTTGGAACAGAATCTCTTGCTGTCCACCAATGACAACAATTCAGTCTTAAAGATTGCAGATTTTGGATTTGCAAGGTAAATGTATCATCATCGTTTTTTCGTGTTTTTTTTTGGTGAATCATTATCTCATTTATTCAAGCATGTCCATTGACGTCATTAATATCTTTTAGTAATTGATTGCATCTGGTGTTTGTTGACCTTTTTTCCCATTCATTCTCACTCTTCTTCTGAACACACAGACTAAAACTTCCCTTATTTATTTATTTATTTTAATTTTCTGGGCAGATCTCTGCAACCTCGAGGCCTTGCTGAAACCTTGTGTGGTTCGCCACTTTACATGGCCCCAGAGATAATGCAACTTCAAAAGTATGATGCAAAGGTGAAATTTTCTCTTCTCATGTGATGGACAATCATAATGATCTCATTAACCATTTCCCACTAACCTTGAACTGAATACGCAGGCAGATCTCTGGAGTGTTGGTGCGATTTTATTTCAACTTGTAACTGGGAAAACCCCATTCACCGGAAACAATCAAATACAGGTTCAATTACAAAATCTTTCCCCTTTTCCTGTTTCCTTCTCTTGGCACACCTCAAGCTAATCCTATTCATGGTCCAAATCAGTAATTCTCGCGAGTATAAATCTGCCTCACTTTTCAATTAATTTCTCTCCTGTGTTGTGCAGTTGCTCCAGAACATTGTGAAATCAACAGAGTTGCAGTTCCCCTCGGATAGCAGCAATTTAAGTTCAGAGTGCAAGGATTTGTGTCAAAAATTGTTACGCCGCAATCCAGGTATTTCACACAATGTAATAAAAGTGAAATTTGCAATGCACGTGTAATACCAACTTAGGCCAAAAAGCGGATGGGGACCATATTTGGATGCTAAAAGGATTTGTGTGTTTATAATAATTTTCGTACTGCCAAATTTCTAAATGGCGTGTGAGAGATGGAAGCAAGTCATTTATATAGATTTTGTGTTGCATGAGCTGTTTCCCACCTGTCTACATCTTCTTGTATATCATTCTCCTTGGCTTGATGTTTTGTGTAACTTGGAACGACCTTGGCTTAGTTTCACTTTGCAAGAACTTAAAGGATTTATTTACTAATTGTTCTGCTTCTTGATACAGCATAGGTATGTGATAATTCTAAGTTGGTTTGTAGTTTCGGATTTAGTTCATAACTTTTGACCTTCATAAAAATGAGAAAGGCGTATTGTAGGAGATCCGCAAGATTTTTCATCTCCAACAAAATATGGGATGCTAGGATGTTAAGATGGATAATAGGAAACCAGAAAAGACAGGATTAAAAATGTAGGCATTAGCAAAAGATTGAGAGTGCACCTAATATTGGTAGATAAATAAGAGAATCTAGGCTTAAGATGGTATGAGATGTATAAATAGAAGGTAATAGGATTAAGAAGATGACCAAACCTGACATTGGATGAAGTAACGCAAATGCATCTTTAAGAAGTTTAGATTTATCAGTGATACAATATATGATAGAAAAGAATGGAAAGACGACGACGACAACGATGAATGAATAAATGGATGGATGGATGGATGGATGGATGGACGGATGGATCAATGGATGAATGCAATCTGCTAAGCTCCTATCATTGTTTACCCCACTGTTCTGACTCTTTTCTCTGCAATTGTGTTTACAGTGGAACGGTTAACATTCGAAGAGTTTTTTAATCACCCATATCTTTCTCAGAAGTCAGCATATAACTCATCAAGGTAAATGAGGCAAATAGTTTTCAGTCTTTGTTGGTTTGACTTAAAATATGAGAATATTTTAAGATGATCCTCTGTGGCATGCAGGAGTAGGAAGACTTCAAGAATGGCAGAAGGATTTCCTATGTCTGAATGCAATCCAATGAGGAACATGGAGGAAAGTTCTCAAGAGGATTGCCTGCCTTTCCTTTTAGATGATGATTCCAGTGGTCCTGAAGGAAGCCCATCCTATTCAAGGAGGAGGCCCTCGATGAAGTCTACTTATGGATTTTCGCTCGATACAAAAGTTGATAGACGGGAAGCATCACCTACCACTTCATACAGATATGGCAGTGCAACACGTAAAGATAATTCTAGTCTTAGGTTGGACAACCATAGACTGTCAGATAGAAATCTAACTGACCCCCTAGGATCTATGGACCAAAAACCTATGAATGCTCGATCAAGAGGTAGAATCCTATTATACTCTCATTTCAGTATTATTTATCTGCATCCAGGCATGTCTTAATAGAACATGTTCGTAGTATTTATTATCTTATTTGCATCTGCAGTTGTGGATTCACTGGACTTGATTGATCAAGATTATGTTCTTGTGTCTGGACCTCCAGTTGATGTGTCTTCTTCCTCAGTTAGTGCTTCCAAGCCAAGTCCTTCTCTATACAAATCTGAGAGTCTCCCTCAAGAATCTCTAACCACCTCATCAAGTGCCCCAATGCAAATCATGGGCGCAGCTAATAGTAACATGTGTTGCATAGGAAGCTTGGATAGTCAGAGTTCTGCTCCAGGGACATCACTGGGATCAACGGATATGGGGGATGCTTTGGAGCAGCCATCAACACACTGCATGACAAGGCTCAATTCATTGCAGCAGTGTGTGTCCGCTATTACTGAATTAGTTCATGAAAAGGTAAATCATGGGATTCCCACTTCTGCGATGAATTTGTTTACGATTCCTCTGTAAAATCAGTGAATTAGTGAGAAGTGCCTTATTTAGAAAAATCATAAAAACTCACTATTTTTGTAGAGTAGCCTATAGAGAATAGTTTGGTGCTAAGATTTGATATTGGTTCCTCGCATGCCCCGTAGATGCTGCGAGCCTAATCTATGTTGGTTTGTTATACAGAATGATAGATTTTCTCTGCTAACACATGCTTTATTTGTGTTATTTCTATTGCCCATGTCATCAAACTTATTACAATATCTGTGTTCCTATTTTTGTTGATGTGAAAAGGTTGAGGCAGGCAAGCATCTAGAAGCATTCTCAGTTCAGCTTGTAATTCTTGCAATTTGGAAGCAAGCTCTACATATATGTCATACGCAGGCTGCCTCTGCTATGGAAGGAAGTCCAAGCCAAGAGACCACAAGATTTAGGAGCACCAACAAGAAGCATAGTAGTTCGGATGCTGAGGAATGCCTTGATGTGGTCAACACTCAAGGGCCCGAGGATATTTCCTCTCAAATTGAGAGGGAATTTCTCCGTGAGGTTGAGCATGCAGAAGAACTTGCAAAGGCTATTGATCCTGGTATGGATTCAATTTTCAGATATTATCTAGAGCGTTTCTCTATTTTTTTGTCATGCATCATTGGCTAGAGTACTTATGACCTGTAAGATCAAGTGTTTTTCTGCTTTCATAATGTGAAGTGGACTATTTCTTTTAGAAACCAGTTATGCATCATTCTTCTCTTATTTATGCAGGCTTGTCTCATGAAATAAGAACGTTATGTTTTTCTTCATTTCTTCAGTCGACATGAAAACATATATTTTTTGTTAATCGTCTCTAAATATATTAAGAAACGAGGGCACTTGTGATTTGATTATACAGCTGCTAAAAGTCTTCTGGTTTTCTCTCTAATGGTTGCAGGACATACAGAGATGCCAGATGCAATGGAGACCATATTTCAGTCTGCTCTTGTTTTTGGGAGACATGGGGGCGTGAGTATATTTTTCTCTTTATTCTCATATTTGGGGCCATGGCATTCATTTCTTTATTAAATCTAGTTTTACACTGATTAAAAAGCTGGAAAGGCATGGGTTTTTGTTTTCACATTTACGCTTTAAAACTGCTGAGCTAAAACATAAAAACAATTTTCCTTCAAGACAAGATCTTTACATGCTTAATAGCAGAGAATCAACTTCTGAAATCAACTTATGCCTGGCAGGTTGATGAGCTCATGGGTGATATGGAAAGTGCAGCGGTGTTTTATTCAAAGGCTGTGCGTCTCTTGGTCTTTCTTCTAGTGGAAGCACCATCCCTCATTCTCAACCCGCCATTCTCTCTGACAAGCTCTGACCGGTATAGGCTTCAAACTTACATTGGTATACTTAATAATAGGCAAGGTTATTCAAGGTCTCAACGGATGGCTATTTTGAAGTGCGAGGAGCAACAGTGCCCACCTTAAGAAGTCAAAATAGTTGAAGTGTAGAGTTTCTTACTTGCCCCGATTGACTGTACACTCTGTAAAATAATTTGTTTGTACAGCAGCTATTCTTTGATTGAGGATGTGGGTAGGTGGTGGGAACTTTGTAGTTCATTAGGTAGCTTGTAATTATCGCATTTCTGTCATTAAAAGAATGATGAAATGTGCATTCGTTATTATTGCGTTATTACCCTTCTGTTTCTGTTCGGATTTGGTGCGTATTGCAGTGGTCATTAAATTAAAGGCTAATATATATATATATTTATATATAATTTGCACGATTCATTCATTACTTGTTTGATCATAAAGTAATTGTTAGTTGACATCTCAACCTTTTGATCTTTTGGCAAAAGCACTTGTTGGAGCCTCATTTGAACGTGAAACACTTGTGTGAAACGGGAATAGCTAAACAATGCTCTCCCCAATCAATTATGGCATGTCATGCATGATAAGTTTTCCATGTAGCAGTTTATAATTGGTTGGGACAGTAAAACAGTGTTATCTCCGTTTCACACAAGTTTTTCCGCATTTGAACATAATGAATCACATGGTTTAGAATAAAACAAATGTCAAAATTGAAGGATTTGAGGACATTTGGAGCTTTTAGATGTATAGCTTGTGTGTCCTATGAGGCCAGGTTGAAATTTATCGTTTTCAATTCCCCACAAAATTGTAAGATATCCACACCTCGTATCATAGTCGTCGTTCCCACAGAATGAAAATCTTTCATCTCTACTTTCATTTGTTACTTTCACTTATCCTAAATCTGGCAAATCATCGAATCCAACCTAAACACACAACGCGGCAATCGAACTCAATTCTGATCCCAATTCTAAGCCGCAAACGTGGACCAAATATGTACCGATCAACGCGGGGGCCGGCAGGTTATACATGGAAGTCAACATAACCTAACCTACCATTTTACAATTTACCTTTGTTTCCTTAGGCCAGTCTGTCTGCGTTGCCTGTGTGGAAAGGAAACAGTTCAAAGATTTAATAATCATGGTGTGGACCATGTGACGACTTTCTGCCAACTAGCATCAACAGGGTGACTATAAAACATCATATTCTCATACATACTACAAAACATTAATTTGTCTTTCTCCTTCAAACTAATATTTTCTTACCTACAATCCATTGTTTTATTTTTCTATAAATAAAACCCGATTTTTATAAGAAAAACTCAACAACTAGAATCCAACTCATCAAGTTTCCTAATCAAGCTTAATGTGTTAAATATTATATTTTTCAAATTCCTATAATACCCTTGATTACATTTTTAACGTGATTTGTTTAAGAAATTAGCTGCAATTCAATGCCGATTAATTGTGTTTCAATTTTGTATAGATTCCAAGGATTTAATGGGTCAGTTGTTTCTTTATTTATAAAAAAAAAGTAATTAAAGCTTAGTGTAATTACTGCCGTATGGTTTGAATATACTCGTTGTTCCTTTAAAAAACAAGAATATGCTCCTTTTTTTCTTTTTTCTTTTTTTCAAATTTGACTACTTGATCATTGCGTATTTTAATCAAATTGATAACTTATTTATTTCCTTTTATTTATACCAATTTCCAAATTTAATAATTGTTATGGTTTAAAATTAATTTCTTCAAAGGGATATAACATGTTGCTCTCTATTTACCCCTATGTGTTTTAGGTACATGAATTTACCTACATTTTTTCTTAGCAACCTATGCCTCCAGGTAGGTAAATTAATATACAACAAACTAAGGTGCTACATTTTTTTCTTAGCTACCTATGCCTCTAGGTAGGTAAATTAATACACAACAAACCAAGGTAAATCCTTAAAACCAAAAAATAAAAAAATAAAAAATATGGGTAAATAATTTACTTATACACATTTATAGGTATATTGTAAAATAATTTACCTATGGGTAAATAATGTACCTATATTTTCTATAAATTATTGTGTACTTATTTTTAATTTTTAAAAAATGTACTGAAATTTGAATTACAAAGCAACTTTTTTTTTTTTTTTTTTTTTTTTTTTTTTTTATATAAATTTGGTAAATAACATACCTATATTTTTTATAGGTATATATTTATATTTATATTTTTCATAGGTACATTATTGGATATGTAATTTACATGTTTTTTGTTTGTTTGCAATTTTAGAAGGTGACATGTTAGAGGGAATGGCAACCAAAAGAAATGGGGTGATTGATATGTTATTAATAGGGAGTATTAATTACAATTATTGATAAGTCCATAAATTTACACATTTATGTACTCTTTATACCTAGTTTTTGTAGGAGAATTTGATTTAAAAAGAACTTATTACTTTATTTTCTAAATTTTCAGCTTTCCAGAGCAAGTAATTTGCTTTCAACGGAAATACGACTTTTTGGTGGAGTTTTAGTACAAGACCAGTTGGAGATGAAAGCTAAGATCTTGAAGATGATTGTGGAATTTGTCTAGAATTTTCGAAGCAGCCAATGAGAGCAGTCTTTGAAGTTAAGTCAGCATAAGGTACAATCCCATCAAAACTGTGTTGCAATGGAAGAATGATTATTTAAAGACTTTCCTGATTTTTTCCTCAAGGCGTACGATATATGACTGGAAAGATAAGACAAAGACCTACAATTACATATTTTTCCCTAATTTTCTTGGAGGAGGAACAACCTCAAACTTGCGTGCAAAATAACTGACGTGTTATCCCAGTCCAAGTAGGAAGAGGAGTCAATTACTTAACCATTTTGGATTTATGTTTTAATTAGTTTTTCTTTATTTTTTGACTATTGTAAAAGCCCAGCTAGAGTTGGAATAGACGTGTGATGTTTTATTTAAGAATGAGAAACAACTCCTTTGGAGTCACGCAAAGACTAAGAGAAATTGGAGATGCCGGAAGAGTACCGCAATTGGCTAAGTTTTATTGTTTCTTCTTTATGTTTTTGTTTATATTGATTTCTATCATTATGTGTAACTAATTTTATTTTGCTAGGGCATGATGTAGCCCTAGTATGATAATCTAGTTTTCTTATTTTACCTATCTATTGATTGCCGTTTGATGTTGGATTCTTAATCATTGTGCTTAATAACTTGGTTGATTATCTTGATGCTTGATCACCATCTAGACTTTTAATTGAGTTAATCGGATGCAAATTAGAGTAATTACCATACTTAATTTGAGGCTTGCTTTTTGTGATTAGGATTTGTAATTCATCTAGGGTAATACCATACTCCTAGAGTTTACATGCTTGTTGAAGGTTTTCACTGATCTTAATGAGTTTCTATATGTTGATATCTGACTTAAATACCATATGCGAATTGCATGTAAGAATATACGAGTTAGCCTAAATACCATAGGTAATTCATGAAAAAGGAAAACTAAGCGGCGACATCAAATGGTTAGTTAATAGGTAGGTGAATAAGAGATTAGATCGGATTACTAGTGGTGAATTCATTGTCCTAGTGCTTTTATCAATTTGAATTTCTCATCCTTGTGTTTCGTGACTTTCTACTTGTTTTGTCTTTTAATTTCGTTGTTATATAATAGAGTAATTAAAGTATTTTGTGAAGTAAATTAGGTTAGATTAGTTGGAAGTTGAACCCAATCCTCGTGGGAATAACCTCGTATTTGTCATACTAAATTACGATTGACCTTGTGCACTTGCGAGTATAATTTGTGTTTAGACTAATATTTATAATCTCAATTTTTCAGGTTGTCTATAATTCACAACAATTATGGCAGTTAATGAAATGATTATAAATAAAATATGAAGTCCAGTGGCAACAATGTAAAAACATAGGATTACTATGACCTTTTATATCCTACTGGTCATTTAAATTTAAAATTGGATTCTACACATAGATTTATAGAGTGATGGATATATGTCTAGGAAATAGAAAATGTAGGGACCTATATTGGACAAGCCCAACATTAAACTCTGCTAAGATCCTTTAATCCTTATGTAGAGATGATTTTTGAATGAGTATCGACAAAATAGACTGTTTGAATTAGTGAAATACAATACGGAGTGGGCCCTATAAGATGTCCCTCAATGGAAACTATTTATATATATATATATATATATGCATACACAGATGCTTCATTTTATAATACTTCTGTTTCTAAACCAAGCTCCAAAAATGAGGTACCAAGTTGTTTCATCTCCAAAAAATGTTGTCTGGTTTCTTACTTTACTAACCATCACTGTGTTTTTCCACTGTTCTGCTACTGCAAAAACGCAGAATAGTCTGAAAAGAGGCTCTTCTCTCTCAGTTGAAGATGACTCGGACTTCCTAACTTCCCCAGATGAGTCTTTCACATGTGGGTTCTATGGGGTGGGCACAAATGCTTACTGGTTCTCAACATGGTTCACAAACTCTAAAAGCAGAACAGTTTTTTGGATGGCTAACAGAGACAAGCCTGTCAATAGCCTTGGCTCCAGAGTTTCGCTTCGAAAAGATGGCTCGTTGGTCTTGACCGATGTGGATGGCGCAACTGTCTGGCAGACCAGCACCAACTCCAGTAGCCTTGATGTTGAGAGAGCAGAGCTTTTGAATTCTGGCAACCTTGTTCTGAAAGATGCTCATGGTAAAATTCTGTGGCAAAGCTTTGATTTTCCCACTGATACTCTTCTCCCAAACCAACCCTTTACAAAGAGCAAGAAGCTGATATCCACTTTAGGAAGAGGGACTTTTGGTACTGGCTATTTCAGTTTCTATTTTGATAATGATAATGTTCTCAAGTTGATGTATGATGGTCCTGACATTTCAAGCTTATATTGGCCTGATCCCGATTATAGTGTATTTTTAAATGGTAGAACAAACTATAACAGTAGCAGGATAGCTGTTTTAGATGACTCTGGCAATTTTTTGTCCAGTGATAAATTGCAATTCAGTGCTTCTGACATGGGTGTAGGCGTAAAAAGGCGGTTGACAATGGATTATGATGGGAACCTAAGACTTTATAGTCTCAACAGTTTGACAGGATTCTGGGTGATCACCTGGGAAGCTATGGGAGAGCTGTGCAAGGTGCATGGCATCTGTGGAAGAAATGGGATTTGTATTTATACACCACAGCCCAAGTGCTCATGCCCTCCTGGCTATGAAGTAGTTGACACAAGTAACTTGAACAAGGGTTGCAAGCCTAAGTTTAATCTTACTTGCTCACAGTCCCAGCAAGTGAAATTTGTGCAGATTCAGCAAGTAGATTTCTATGGATTTGATCTCAACTATAGTGAACCCATTTCATTTGACAATTGCAGAAAATTTTGCTTGGAGGATTGCCGGTGCGAAGCATTTAGCTATAGGCTAACAGGGGAAGGTAGGTGTTATACAAAGAGTGCTCTTTTCAATGGGTACAAGTCTCCAAATTTTCCGGGGAGCATATACTTAAGACTGCCTATGAGTGTGGAAGCATCACTATCTACCAAACTAAATGCCTCTGATGCATGCAGCAGGACCAATGTGACCAAGGTTGTAGTAGGTTCTCCTTCCATGTATGCTAATTCCAGTAAAAGGTTAAGATGGGTGTATATGTATTGGTTTGCTTTTGCAGTTGGTGCGGTTGAAATTCTCTTCATACTTTCAGCTTGGTGGCTACTTTTCAGAAGACGCGGTGCAGCAGCTCCAATAGAAGATGGATATCATGTGATTTCAAGTCAATTTAGAATGTTTCGCTATCCTGAGCTCAATAAGGCAACCAAAAACTTCAAGGAAGAGCTGGGAAGAGGGGCTTCTGGGGCTGTTTACAAGGGTGTGCTGGCAGATGAAAGAGTGGTAGCTGTCAAGAAATTGGCAGATATATATCATGGGGAAGATGTATTTTGGGCAGAAGTAAGCACAATTGGAAAAATCAACCACATGAACCTAGTGAGAATATGGGGATTCTGTTCAGATGATAAACACAGACTCCTGGTCTCTGAGTATGTTGAAAATGGTTCCTTGGACAAGCACCTCTTCCCCCCAAACTTTCTTGGATGGATAGAGAGGTTTAAAGTTGCAATAGGGATAGCTAAGGGTTTAGCCTATCTTCACCATGAGTGTCTAGAATGGGTTATCCATTGTGACGTGAAACCTGAGAACATACTCCTAGACAGTAACTTTGAGCCAAAGATTGCAGATTTTGGGCTAGCAAAGTTATCTCAGAGAGACAGCCTCAGTTCAATGTTCTCTCGAATTCGCGGAACGAAAGGGTATATGGCTCCAGAGTGGGCTTTGAACCTTCCAATCACTGCCAAAGTGGATGTTTATAGTTATGGAGTGCTGATTTTAGAGATAGTGAAGGGGATCCGACTTTCGAGTTGGGTGGTGGAGGATAGTGAGGATCAAGAAGCAGAGCTGACAAGGTTTGTGAGGGTGGCTAAAAAGAAAATCCGAAGTGGGGAAGACCAATGGATAGAGGATATGTTGGATCCAAGGTTAGAAGGGCGGTTCAGCAGAAACCAAGCAGCAAAGATGGTTGAGATTGGTGTTTCCTGTGTGGAGGAAGATAGGAGCAAAAGACCAACAATGGATTCAGTGGTACAAGAGTTGCTAGAATGTGCAGATGAATCTCATGCTGGTTCTCCACACAAGAAATAACTGCATTTAAGCTTTAAATGCCCTTTTCTTGGTTTGGTTTTAGCCATTAGCGCTATTGTTAGCTTCTGTAAAGTTCTACTCGAACCGCATCCTGTAATATTTGCAATGAAGTGATGATATAGAGGCCTATAATATTTTCGCTTTTGTACAACTCATTTTGCTATCACATCTGTAACTCAGGTTGCAGTTAACTAGGTAGTTAAATTGGGTATTAAGTTAACTGGGAATCATTTTGGAAATTGAAGTACTCAAATGCAAATCGGGTCAAAGTTTAGGGACTAATAAAACGATTAACCCTAAGTTAACCATATAAGATAGGATGACAACTTTTTTTTTCCAGGACCTTTCTTATTAAGAGGGGCGATAGCATACTATATTCACAAACACTACACACGGATGCTAGGACTCAAACCCATGACATTACTTAGGGGAGCGAATACTCCAAAACACTATGCTAGTGGCTCCTTTACAGATAGAATGACAACTTAAGATATAAGCGTCAACATAGAAATGTCCAAATTTTTAAGTAAAATCTGTAGGTTCATCCCACACCACACAATGGAAGGAATTGGAGGGCTTATTATTCTCTATCTCCCATTTTTAATATTCCAGCTTTCGAGTGTATTTAATAGATGACTGGCAGTATGACCGAGTCATTGAATCTGATAGACTTGTATTATTGCTTGGAAAGAAAAGCATTAAATAAAATAACAGTAGTTAGTTCTAGAATCAAGAAATCTGATCTAAAAAGTTGAATTTTGTGCATACTTGGAAGATTTTTCATAGCAATCCAAAAAAAAGAAAAAGAGATGAAGATTCTGCAGAATTTCATTGCAAGAAGTTTTGCAACCTTATATAGTCCAGATTGGCACACGAGCATCTCCAGGCCTAAAGCATTTTTCAAAACCTCCAATGGAAGTTCTTAAATTTCTCATTCTTTTGCTGTTTGCAGCAACAGTTGATTGGAGTGAAGCAGGGTTGCCCAGCTTAAGGCAGGGGAGCTCCTTGAAAGTTGAGGAAGAGAGTGACTTCTTGGTTTCACCAAATGGAACTTTCTCCAGTGAATTTTACACGGTTGACACCAATGCCTCTTGCTATTCAATATGGTTCACCAATTCTGTCAATAAAACAGTTGTCTGGATGGCTAACAGAGATAAGCCTGTTAGTGGAAGAGGGTCCAAGCTAACTCTCCACAGAAATGGCAACTTGGTTTTGACTGATGGAGTTGGATTAATTGTATGATCAACCAACACTTTCTCTGATGCAGGTGTGGAGGCTCGGCTTCTTGAGACTGGGAACTTGGTTCTCATCAACCAAGAAAAGAGGGTCATCTGGCAGAGTTTTGATTCTCCCACAGATACACTTCTGCCATCCCAGCGACTTGTCAAGAACACAACCTTGGTGTCAGTGAGAAGTCAAGGTACATACTTATCTGGATTCTACAACTTCAAATTTGACGATAATAATGTATTATATCTCGTCTACAATGGCCCTCTACTTTCAAGTGTTTATTGGCCAAAGACTTCGAGTGTTTATTGGCCAAAGACGGATGGAACTGTTTTTGACAGTGGCAGAACGCCTTACAATAGCTCTAGATTAGCAATTTCGGATAAGGCTGGACAATTTATATCAAGTGACAATTTGATGTTCAATGCATCTGATTATGGAATTGGCCCAAAGCGCCGGTTAACAATGGATTATGATGGTATCTTAAGATTGTACAGTCTAGACGAATCAACTGGGGTCTGGGTGTTGAAATCTCTAGAGATACAGGAATAGTTGCTTGTCTTATTCTTCTCCCAAAAGGAGGATTAAATAGTGAAGAGCCAATTACAAGTATGGAAAGGAAATAAAGGCTAAAAGTCAACTCCTATGAAGAAGCCTCTAACTATGCTAATCAGCTATTATGTACAATTAAGTATATACAAGTCAACACTCCCCCTCAAGCTGGAGAATAGATATTTTGAATTCCCAGCTTGGCTAAAGAAGACTCCAACACCTTGCTAGAAACTCCCTTAGTAAGAATATTAGCAAGTTGATCATTGGTTTTCACGTAAGGAGTGCAAATCAATCCTTGTGATAATTTCTCCTTGATGAAGTGTCTGTCAATCTCAATATGTTTGGTTCTATCATGTTGTACAGGGTTGTGAGCAATACTAATGGCTGCTTTATTGTCACAAAATAATCTCATAGGACCCTGAATAGTAATCCTTAAATCTCGAAATAAAATTTTCAACCATAATAATTCGCACACACCGTGGGCCATAGCCCTAAACTCAGCCTCTGCACTAGACCTAGCAACAACTGATTGCTTTTTACTACGCCAAGTGACTAGATTGCCACCCACAAACGTGCAATATCCTGTGGTTGATCTCCGGTCTGAAACTGAATCGGCCCAATCTGCATCTGTATACGCCTCTATAGAAAAGTTATCATGCTTTGAAAATAAAAGGCCTTTACCAGGTGATGATTTCAAGTATCTATGTATCCTTTCAATTGCCTGCATGTGGACCTCACGTGGCTCGTGCATGAATTGACTGACAACACTCACTACATAAGCTATATCTGGTCTTGTATGAGCCAAATATATCAACTTCCCTACCAATCTTTGATATCTCCCCCTATCAATAGGTGTATCATCAGCTTGCTCTCCCAATCTATGATTTTGTTCAATTGGAGTGTCCACAAGCTGCATGCTAACATTCCAGTTTCAGTCAGAAGATCAAGTACATATTTCTTTGTGAGACAAAGATTCCTTCTTTTGAATGTGCCACTTCAATGCCTAAAAAATATCGTAGTGTCCCCAAGTATTTGATATCAAATTCCTTGGTCAAATGTATTTTCAGCTTACTGATCTCCTCTATATCGTCCCTTGACATAATGATATCATCTACATAAACAATAACAATAGTAATCCTACCATCCCGAGAATGTCGTAGGAACAATGTATGATCTGCTTGACTAGGACGATATCCATACTTTTGCATAGCTTGAGAGAATCTACCAAACCATGCCCTAGGAGACTGTTTTAGGCCATACAATGATTTTCTCAGTCTGCATACTTTTTCTTGAGAGGTCTCATCTATACCCGGAGGCATGTCCATGTATACTTCCTCCTCTAAGTCTCCATGCAGGAAAGCATTCTTCACATCAAATTGTTAAAGAGTTCACCCCAAGTTAGTTGCTAAAGATAAGAGGACCTGAATTGTGTTCATCTTTGCAACTGGAGCAAATGTGTCTTGGTAATCTATCCCATAGGTTTGAGTATACCCTTTTGCTACCAACCTTGCCTTGTATCTGTCAACAGAGCCATCTGCCTTATGTTTTATTGTGAACACCCATTTGCAACCAACAACTTTCTTCCCCTTTGGCAACTCCACCAACTCCCAAGTAGAGTTCTTTCCTAGAGCTCTTAATTCCTCATCTATCGCCTCCTTCCACCTTAGATGTCCAGTGCATCCTGCAATGTTTGAGGAACAAATACAGAAGACAACTGATAGGCAAATGATTTAAAACATGGGGAGAGACGATGAGAAGACATGAAATTTGAAATAGGATATTTGTACTTTGATGGGCAAGAACGAAGTGGTCTCCTTAAGGCAATAGGTAATTCATTATCAATTGGAGGAACAGAGTTTATAGGGTTGTTTTCAAGTAAAGAACAAGAAGGTTCAACAAACTCTACCTCTAAATTACCTGTCATCGGGGCAGCAGATTGATCATTACTCTGAAAGGGCACCTTATCTCTTTTTGTATACACCAAATCATATGGTGACATACGATGACCAATAGGTGGGAGAGTCAAGGAATTGCCTTCTCTTCCATTACCATTTTTTTCACTTTCATTTTTTTCAATGTTTTCCAACTCAAACATTGGCACACCATAAGACTTATCTTCACTACTTATATTCTCCCCCTGAAGAGAAGTCTCAGAACTAAGATGAGAGAAAGAAGCATGTTCCTCATGAAAAGTAACATCCCTAGTAACAAAGAATTTTTTGGACAGAGGATGATAACATTTGTACCCCTTTTGAGTGGCAGAGTAGCCAAGAAAAATACATTTGAGGGAATGAGGGTCAAGCTTACCACTATGATGAAGATGCACAAAACTAATGCAACCAAACACTCGAGGAGGAAGATGATTAACAGTAGAATGAGAACATGCAGCAGTGACCACTTGAAGGGGAGTTTGAAATTTGAGAACTTGCGAAGGCATCCTATTGATCAAATAAGCAGCGGTAAGGACAGCCTCCCCCCAATAAGACTTTGGTACAGACATGGAAAGAAGCAGGGAACAAGCAACTTCTAGAAGATGGTGATTTTTCCGTTCAGCTACTCCATTCTGCTGAGGGGTATAGCTACAAGATCTTTGATGAATAATGCCATGATCCGAAAAATAGGTTTTGAGACCAGAATTGATGTACTCACCCCCATTATCTGAGCAGAAGACTTTAATCTTATAATTGTATTGTGTATGGATCATTTGGTGAAATGACTGAAAAATAGAGAAAACCTCACTTTTGTTAGTCATCAAATAAACCCAAGTAAGTCGGGAATAATCGTCAATAAATGTGACAAACCATTTGGAATTGGATAAATTTGACACACGAGAAGGACCCTAAACATCACTATGGACAAGAGCAAAAGGTGCAGAACTTTTATTAATACTTAATGGGTAAGAAACACGGTGGTGCTTAGCAAGTTTGCATATTTCACACTTAAATTGAGGAAGATCAACCGAAGACAATAAAGAATGAAACAATTTTTGTAAATAGATAAATGATGGGTGTCCTAATCGTTTGTGCCATAACCAAATGTCCCTGGATGAGTCAGTAGCGGATTGAAGCGCATGAACTGTGGGAGAACTAGTATAGCCACCTAGGTCATCCAAGAGATAGAGGCCCCCTTTCTCACTACCACGACCAATCGTTGCCCTGGTCCGTTGATCCTGAATTACACAATGAGTGTCATAAAAGGTGACAAAGCAATTTAGAGATTTAGTAAGCTGACTTATTGACAATAAATGGTTAGACAATCTAGGAACATGGAGAACATTTGAGAGGGACAGAGAATTCGAAAGAAAAACAGAGCCTTTACCAACCACAGGAGTGGGTGAACCATTGGCAGTGGTAACACAAGTCTTACTAGGAGATGAATAACGAGAGAAGAAATCAAGTTTAGAAGTCATGTGATAAGTTGCCCCTGTATCTATAATCCAAGAGTCTGAGAAAGACTTACCATATGCACTAAGACAACAACCAAAGTTACCTGAGGAGGTGGCTAAGGAACCGGAAGCCCCTTTAGATCCTTTATCAGAGAGCAAGCGAGCACACTCTTGAATGATTTGTTCCATTTGAGCAGGGAGAGCTGAGAGGTAGGTTGGTCATTCTGATCACTAGAAGATGTGTGATAGGCTCTGGAGCTGGAACAGCCCCGTTTTCCACCTCCTTCCTTGCTGCCTTAGCTTTTTCACACTTCTTGCCAGGCCACCAAGGTGGATAACCATTGAGCTTGAAACATTGCTCTCTCACATGCTTAGTCTGATGATAATAATCACATTTCAAAGCATCCTTATCATCAGATTTCGAACTCTTAGCAACATTACTAGATGAGACAGCAGCTGAAGAACTAGATTGATGTGCTAGTGGTGCCCAAGCCGAATGGTTTGCTGTAGAAATCAAGGTAGACCTTTCTAAAGAGGGTGGCATAACCATAGCAGATCGGCGGAGAGCTTGGGCACGCACATATGCATAGGCTTTACACAAAGAGGGAAAAGGATCCTTTCCAAGCACCTGTGTTCTCACTTGATCCAAATCCTGATTAAGACCAGCCAAGAACTCAAAAGTACGTTCCTTCTCGATCCGTTTTTTCAACGCAACAGTATCGTTAGAACACTTCATGTCGCACGGCTGATAATAATCAAGTTCTTGCCATAAAGCTTGGAGTGAATTAAAATATGTCTCCAACATCTTACCTTGCTGAGTAGTGGCTTGGATCCGACGTTTCAATTCATAAATCTGTGCATCACAACCTCCCTCAGAATAGGTTTGAGAAACCGCATCCCATATGGCATGAGCGGAGTCGAGATGCATGTAGCCAAGACTAATATCCGGGGTCATAGCCTGGAGAAGCCATGATCTAAGCATAGCATCTTCTTCAACCCATGTTATGAACTTTGGGTCAGTATTATCTGGTTGCTTCTTCTCTCCAGTCAAATATCCAATCCGACCTTTACCGGTAATATATAATCTCACAAAATGAGACCAAGCCAGATAATTGGTGCCATCAAGCTTAGTTGGCAACAACTGGACATTCATCAAATCATGATGATGATTGGAATTGGCTGGAAGAGATACAAGAGGCCGAGAATTAGAAGAATCTGATATATCTCCCATTAGACCAGGAAATCCAGAAAATAGAAGTCAGTAGTGTCTGTAGCAGTGGGCAGGTTTTGGGTATTTAGGGATTTAGGTATGGGTATGAGAGATTTCTGGCTAATTTGGAGTAACCTGTAAGAAGGTTTTAAAATTCCCCTCTAGAGAGCTCTAATACCATGTTGAAATCTCTAGAGATACAGGAATAGTTGCTTGTCTTATTCTTCTCCCAAAATGAGGATTAAATAGTGAACAACCAATTACAAATATGGAAAGGAAATAAAGGCTAAAAGTCAACTCCTATGAAGAAGCCTCTAACTATGCTAATATACTATTATGTACAATTAAGTATATACAAGTCAACACTAGGAACTGTCATGGGTGCCTAATGGTGTGGATGCTTGCCTGGTTCACGACTTGTGTGGTGAATACGGTATTTGCACTTACAAACCACAACCTACTTGTAGTTGCCCTTATGGTTTCTCCCTAAACGATCATTCAGACTGGTCAAAAGGCTGCTCACCTTCGTTCGATTTGAGTAATGATGCAACCAAGTCAGACTTCATGGTGCTTCCTAACACAGATTACTATGGATATGACTTGGAAGCCTATGCTGTTGGAATTTCTTTTAGCGCATGCAGGAATGCATGCCTAACTGATTCTAGATGCAAAGGATTCGGATATACTCTGGATGGAAACGGGGAATGTTTCCCTAAAAGTTCTCTCCTTAATGGATTTCATATGCCGAATACTCTCGAAATCATGCATATTAAAATTCCAAAAGGTCTTCTGAGCAAGGATGAAGTCGCAACGAAGCTAGAAACATACGATTTGAACTGTTCAGCTGCACAAGTTTCTCTCAAATTTAATGATCATGAAGTGGAAAAGAGCAACAAAAATCGATACATGGATTAGCTGGTTGGATTTTTAAGTTCCTTCGCAATAATTGAAGCAATCTGCATTGGTTTGACATGGTGGTACACATTCTGAAAGCATGCTCATGAGGAATTTGTGAATATGGGTTACATCGCATTAGCCATGGGATTCAAGCGTTTCACGTACACAGAACTAAAAAGAGCCACCGATGGCTTCAAACAGGAGGTAGGAAAAGGTGGCTTTGGAACTGTGTATAAAGGTGTTCTAGATGATGAAAGAGTTGTTGCTGTGAAGAGACTAGATGGCATCTTGCAAGGAGATGCAGAGTTTTGGGCAGAGGTGAGTGTGATAGGGAATCTCAATCACAGGAACTTGGTTAAACTATGGGGTTTCTGTGCTGACAATGAGCATAAGCTGCTCGTTTATGAGTACCTGGAGAATGGATCACTGGACAAAATCTTGTTCACATCAGATGGGGAACTAGGATTGCAGCAGAGATACAACATTGCTCTTGGCACAGCAAAGGGTTTGTCATATTTACATGAGGAATGCCTAGAATGGGTACTCCATTGTGATGTAAAGCCTCAAAACATACTGTTAGATGACCACCTTGAACCTAAAGTGGCAGACTTTGGCATGTCAAAACTATTCAAAGACATCCATGGCATCAAGGACATTGATGGGATGAGATTTTCGAAAGCGCGAGGCACCAGAGGCTATATGGCTCCAGAGTGGATGATGAACCTGAAAATTGATGCAAAGGCAGATGTCTATAGCTATGGGATTGTTTTGTTGGAACTACTGAGTGGAAAGAGTGCTTCTATTATAGTTTCGGCTCTTGCCAAAGAGTACAATGAATGCAACCAGTTGGCACAATGTGTGACTGAAAATATCAGAGAAGAAGGGCTTGATGAAGTACTTGATCCTAGACTACTTTGTGAACTCGATAAGAAGAAGCTCGAAAGATTGATGGAAGTTGCTCTACTGTGTGTTCAAGATGATTGCAGTGCAAGGCCAGACATGAGTAAGGTTGTGGAGCTTCTACTTGAAAATGACGAGTAAGGGCCAGATGAAGAAGATCAGAGAGAGAGAGAGAGCAAATAATAGAAGCTAAATGTACAGTAAATAATATGTTATTCTTACATTTGTTTAGCTTCCCATTAAATGTAATGATAGGTTACTAGGATTGGAGCATTCCAGCTGAATAAAAACTGTGATTCCAACAATTGTTTCAAGTTTCTGTATGATATATGATTCAGTTTTCATTCTTCGAATCAACAATCGTTTATAGAAAATCGAAAAAAATTAAAACCATGAACAGAAGTATGAATAAATGGTTCTACAGCCAAACAAATTAATACCATGAACAGAAGTATAAAAACTATTAGAGCTATTGTTGCTCGAGTAAAAGTTTACTTCAACTGCATCTTTTGTAATATTTGCAATGGACTAGATATATAAGCCTATAACATCCTTTCTCTTTTGTGAAAGAATCAATTACATGTGGGATTTGTGCATGTTTTTTAATTTGATACTGTGCAATCAAAGTTGCAAACATCATTTTCCAAAGTTGTCAATTTGCAGTTCACTAGATGATTAAATAGGGGTAAAAATAGACTGCCGCCTGATTAAAAAAGAAATTGGCTTGACAATGACAACCTATAAAACAGGTCTTCACAACCAAAGTCGTTAGAGAGGTAGGAAATTCGAATTAATTATATGTAGCTTCATCCCACACACAACGAAGGAATGGAGAAAGGAATGCCTATCGTCCCTTCCCTCCCATTTTTTAAAAATTATATTTCCATAGATTTGCATGCATAGCCGGCAGTCGCACGTGGTGACGGAGTCATTGAATCTTATAGAATTGCAATATTTCATGGAAACGAAGGTATCAAAAATAGTTGTTACGAAACATTTGGTATCCTATTCAAATAGGGAACTCAAAAACTTTGATTTTTCTTAAAAACAAGGGGTTCTTAAATCTATTTTTAAGGTTCAAAAACTTGTTTGGTATGCAACTTGAAAAGTGTTTTCAAATCTTAAAATTTTGAGAACTTGTGGGTTATTAGAAAAAAAAACTGAAAAAAACAAATATTTTTTGTTTTTAATAATTGGGGTGCTCTTTTGTTGTTCTTGAGTTTGAGTTTTTAAAAATAGGGCTACCAAACAGGTTTTCTTTGTTCTAGACTCAAATCACTACTACAAAAATCGAAATAGACGATGGGAAACCACCGTCGTGTAGAAGGTTTTCCAACCGTCGTGAAATCGACCGCCATCTTTTGCACTATCAACAACGACGGTTAATAACCGACGTTGTTAAGGAATTCACGCCCATATTTATTAGTAACCGACGTGTAATTACTATATAATTAGCCTAAAATGAAATCTTCGACAACATTACACGTCGGTTTTATGAAAACCGAGACGTCTAAAAGACTGTTACATTTCAAGATCAAAAGAAGAACCGACGTACAGATAATTGTCCACGTCTCTAAAATGAAGGAAAAAAGACTGGGATAAGCTAGAAACCGTCGTGGTTATATATTTAACAAAAAAAAAAAAAAAAAAAAAAAAAAAAAAAAAACAAGACATGTGAACCATAAACAACGACGTACACACAAACCAAACAGATGTTTAAATAGTATTACATGTCATTTGTCTTTCCATATCCGCCGTAAAATAAAATAACCACGTCCTATACCAGGCATCACCGACTCTTATGTATTTATCCACATCGTGAAGTATAATACAAACTGACGTGTTAACTCGTTGACACGTATGTTTTTTTTCGAGAATCGTCGTTTAAATAGTACAAAGAAGCCCTGTAACAGAGGTAGACGCCACTTTTTCTAAATAATCGACGTCTAAAATATTTAAAATGACAGAATATTACTCAATATCGACGTACAAAACTCTCCCCTACGTCGGTTTATGTCAAGGCTGACGTTATAAATAGTATTTAAAGCGTGGATAGGAACATAACCGACGTGAATTATAGATTCAACGTCCATTGTTATAAACCTCCAACAAGCATGTAAACCCTAGGATTATGGTATTTACCATAGACGAATTACAAATTCTAATCACAAGAAGCAAGCCTCAAATTAAGTATGGTATTGACTCTAATTTGCATCCGATTAACTCAATTAAAAGTCTAGATGGTGATCAAACATCAAGATAATCAACCAAGTTTTTAAGCAAAATGATTAAGAATCCAACATCAAACGACAATCAACAGATAGGTAAAATAAGAAAAATTAGATTATCATACTATGGCTACATCATGCCCTAGCAACAGAAATTTACTTACACATATTCATAGAATTCGGCACAAGCAAAAACATAAGGAAGAAATAATAAAACTTAGCCAATTGGGGTACTCTTCTGGTGCCTCCAATCTCTCCAAGTCTTTGCGTCACTCCCCAAGGAGTTGTTTCTCATGCTTAAATAAAACTTCACACGTCTATAACTACCCTAGCTGGGCTTTTACAGCGGCCCAAAATAAAGAAAAATATAATTAAAATATAAATCCAAAATGGGTAAGTAATTGACTCATCTTCCTACTTTGACTGGGATAACACGTCAGTTACTTTGCACGCACGTTTAGGGTTGTTCTTCTGCCAAGAAAATTCAGAAAAAATATGTAAATTGTAGGTTTTTGTCTTATCTTTCCAGCCATATATCGCACCTCTTGAGGAAAAATGAAGAAAGTCTTCAAATAATCATTATTCCACAGCAACACAGTTTTGACGGGATTGCACCTTATGCTGACTTAACTTCAAAGACTGCTCTCATTGGCTGCTCCAAAAAATTTAGACACATTCCAAAATCGTCTTCAAGATCTTAGCTTTCATCTCCAACTGGTCTTGTACAAAAATTCCACCAAAAAGTCAAAAACCAATTACTTGCTCCGGAAAGTTGAAAATTGTAATATTCCATGGAAAGAAAAGCATTAAATAAAATAACTGTAGTTAGTTCTAGAATCAAGAAATCTGATCTCAAAAGTTGAATTTTGTGAATATACGAAGAAGATTACATTCCAAAAAAAAAAAAAAAAAAAAAAAAAGATTCTGCAGAATTTCATTGCAAGAAGTTTTGCAACCTTATATAGTCCAGATTGGCAAACGAGCATCTCCAGGCCTAAAGCATTTTTCAAAAACTCCAATGGAAGTTCTCAAATTTCTCCTTCTTTCGCTGTTTGCAGCAACAGTTGATTGGAGTGAAGCAGGGTTGCCCAGCTTAAGGCAGGGGAGCTCTTTGAAAGTTGAGGAAGAGATTGACTTGGTTTCACCAAACAGAACTTTCTGGGGTGTTTTTTAGTTGTTTTTGAGTTTGAGTTTTTAAAAATATGGCTATCAAACAGGTTTTCTTTATTTTGTACTCAAATTCTATTTTTGAGTTTAAAAAGTTGGATTCAAGTTGAATACCAAATGGATATAAAAATATATAAAAAATTAGAGTTTCAATTTGCATATTCAGGGGGAAGGGGGAAGATTCTGCACAATTTCATTCTCATGGCAAGAAAACAGCCTTATAATCCAGATTGGCCAAACACACCATCTTCAGGCCTAAAGCATTTTTCAAAAACACAACATGGAAGTTCCCAAATTTCTCATTATTTTGCTGCTTGCAGCCACAATTGCTAGCAGTGAAGCATGGTTATCAAGCTTACGGCAGGGGAGGGCTTATTCTTCTCTATCTCCCATTTTTAATATTCCAGCTTTCAAGTGTATTTAATAGATGGCTGGCAGTATGACCGAGTCATTGAATCTGATAGACTTGTATTATTGCATGGAAAGAAAGCATTAAATAAAATAACAGTAGTTAGTTCTAGAATCAAGAAATCTAATCTAAAAAGTTGAATTTTGTGCATACTTGGAAGATTTTGCATAACAATCCAAAAAAAAAGAAAAAGAGGTGAAGATTCTGCAGAATTTCATCGCAAGAAGTTTTGAAACCTTATATAGACCAGACCAGATTGGCACACGAGCATCTCCAGGCCTAAAGCATTTTTCAAAACCTCCAATGGAAGTTCTTAAATTTCTCATTCTTTTGCTGTTTGCAGCAACAGTTGATTGGAGTGAAGCAGGGTTGCCCAGCTTAAGGCAGGGGAGCTCCTTGAAAGTTGAGGAAGAGAGTGACTTCTTGGTTTCACCAAATGGAACTTTCTCCAGTGGATTTTACAAGGTTGGCACCAATGCCTCTTGTTATTCAATATGGTTCACCAATTCTGTCAATAAAACAGTTGTCTGGATGGCTAACAGAGATAAGCCTGTTAGTGGAAGAGGGTCCAAGCTAACTCTCCACAGAAATGGCAACTTGGTTTTGACTGATGGGGTTGGATCAATTGTATGGTCAACCAACACTTTCTCTAATGCAGGTGTGGAGGCTCGGCTTCATGAGACCGGAAACTTGGTGTTGATCAACCAAGCAAAGGAGGTCCTCTGGCAGAGTTTTGATTCTCCTACAGATACTCTTCTACCATCACAGAAACTTGTCAGGAACACAACCTTGGTGTCCATGAAAAGTCAAGGTACATACTTATCTGGATTCTATAACTTCAAATTCGGTGATAGTAATGTCTTATATCTCGTTTACAATGGCCCTCAATTTTCGAGTGCTTATTGGCCAATGCCAGGCGTAAATGTTTTTGACTTTGGTAGAAAACCTTACAATAGCTCTAGAGTAGCAATTTTGGATGGGGTTGGGGAATTTATATCAAGTGACGGTTTGATGTTTAATGCATCTGATTATGGGTTTGGTCCAAAGCGTCGTTTAACACTGGATTATGACGGCATGTTAAGATTGTACAGTCTAGATGAATCAACGGGGCTTTGGGAAGTCTCATGGTTGCCTGATGCTGTTGGTGTTTGCCTGGTTCATGGCTTGTGTGGTGAATACAGTTTGTGCACTTACAAACCACAACCTACTTGTACTTGCCCTTATGGTTTCTCCCTAAACGATCCTTCAGATAAGTCAAAAGGCTGCTCACCTTTGTTCAATTTGATTCATGATGCAAACAAGTTGGACTTTATGGAGCTTCCTAACTCAGATTACTATGGATTTGACTTGGATACCTATGCTCTTGGAGTTTCTTTTGAAGCATGCAGGAATGCGTGCCTATATGATTCAAGATGCAAAGGATTTGGATATGCTTTGGATGGAAGAGGACAATGTTTCCCCAAAAGTTTTCTCCGTAATGGATTTCATATTCCTAGTACTTTCATCAGCATATATATTAAGATTCCAAAATTTTTAATGAGCACAGATGAAGTCCTAAGGAAGCTAAAACCATATGAACTGAACTGTTCTGCAGCACAAGTTGCTCTCCAACATAGTGAGCCTGAAGTGGAAAAGAGCAATAAAACTCGGTTCATGGAATACCTGATTGGCTTCTTAAGTTCATTTGCAATCATTGAAGCAATCTGCATTGGTTTGACATGGTGGTGCGTCTTCCGAAAGCATGCTCATGAGGAATTTGTGAATATGGGTTACATCGCATTAGCCATGGGATTCAAGCGTTTCACTTATGAAGAACTTAAAAAAGCAACCAACGGCTTCAAACATGAGGTAGGAAAAGGTGGTTTTGGAGCTGTGTATAAAGGTGTTCTAGATGATGAAAGAGTTGTAGCTGTGAAGAGACTAGATGGCATCTTGCAAGGAGATGCAGAATTTTGGGCAGAGGTGAGTGTGATAGGGAATATCAATCACAGGAACTTGGTTAAACTATGGGGTTTCTGTGCTGACAATGAGCATAAGCTGCTCGTCTACGAGTACCTGGAGAATGGATCACTGGATAGACTCTTGTTCAGTTCAGATGGGGAACTAGGATTGGAGCAGAGATACAACATTGCTCTTGGCACAGCAAAGGGTTTGTCATATTTACATGAGGAATGCCTAGAATGGGTGCTCCATTGTGATGTAAAGCCTCAAAACATTCTGTTAGATGACCACCTTGAACCTAAAGTAGCAGACTTTGGCATGTCAAAGCTATTCAAAGACATCCATGGCATGAAAGACATCCAAGGGATTGGCTTTTCAAAAGCGCGGGGCACCAGAGGTTATATGGCTCCAGAGTGGATGATGAACCTGACAATTAATGCAAAGGCAGATGTCTACAGCTATGGGATTGTGTTGTTGGAACTACTGAGTGGAAAGAGTGCTTCTATTATAGTTTCGGCTCTTGCCAAAGAGTACAATGAATGCAACCAGTTGGCACAATGTGTGACTGAAAAGATCAGAGAAGAAGGGCTTGATGAAGTACTTGATCCTAGACTAGTTGGTGAACTCGATAAGAAGAAGCTCGAAAGATTGATGGAAGTTGCTCTACTGTGTGTTCAAGATGATCGCAGTGCAAGGCCAGCCATGAGTAAGGTTGTGGAGCTTCTACTTGAAAATGACGAGTAAGGGCCAGATGAAGAAGATCAGAGAGAGAGAGAGAGCAAATAATAGAAGCTAAATGTACAGTAAATAATATGTTATTCTTACATTTGTTTAGCTTCCCATTAAATGTAATGATAGGTTACTAGGATTGGAGCATTCCAGCTGAATAAAAACTGTGATTCCAACAATTGTTTCAAGTTTCTGTATGATATATGATTCAGTTTTCATTCTTCGAATCAACAATCGTTTATAGAAAATCGAAAAAATTAAAACCATGAACAGAAGTATGAATAAATGGTTCTACAGCCAAACAAATTAATACCATGAACAGAAGTATAAAAACTATTAGAGCTATTGTTGCTCGAGTAAAAGTTTACTTCAACTGCATCTTTTGTAATATTTGCAATGGATTAGATATAACAACCTTTTCTTTTGTGAAAAGAATCAATTACATGTGGGATTTGTGCATATTTTTTAATTTGATCTTCTGCCATCAAAGTTGCAAACATCATTTTCCAAAGTTGTCAATTTGCAGTTCACTAGATGATTAAATAGGGTTAAAAATAGACTGCCGCCTGATTAAAAAAGAAATTGGCTTGACAATGACAACCTATAAGATCAGGTCTTCACAACCAGAGTCGTTAGACAGGTAGGAAATTCGAATTAATTATATTTAGTTTCATCCCACACACAACGAAGGAATGGAGAAAGGAATGCCTATTGTCCCTTCCCTCCCATTTTTTTAAAATTATAGTTCCATAGATTTGCATGCATAGCTGGCAGTTGTGCGTGGTGACGGAGTCATTGAATCTCATAGAATTGCAATATTTCATGGAAAGGAAGGTATTAAAAATAGTAATTACGTCTAGAAGCGTTTGGTATCCTATTCAAATAGGGAATTCAAAAACTTTGATTTTCCTTTAAAACAAGGAGTTCTTAAATCTATTTTTAAGATTCAAAAACTTGTTTGGTATTCAACTTGAAAACTATTTTCAAATCTTAAAAATTTGAGAACTTGAGGGTTGTTAGAAAAAAAAACTGAAAAAAACAGATATGTTTTGTTTTTAATAATTGGGGTGTTTTTTAGTTGTTTTTGAGTTTGAGTTTTAAAAATAGGGCTATCAAGCAGGTTTTCTTTGTTTTGTACTCAAATTCTATTTTTGAGTTTAAAAAGTTGGATTCAAGTTGAATACCAAATGGATATAAAATATAAAAAAAAATTAGAGTTTCAATTTGCATGTTTGAAAGATTCTGCACAACAGTCCAAAAAAGGGGGGAAGGGGGAAGATTCTGCACAATTTCATTCTCATGGCAAGAAAACAGCCTTATAATCCAGATTGGCCAAACACCATCTTCAGGCCTAAAGCATTTTTCAAAAACACAACATGGAAGTTCCCAAATTTCTCATTATTTTGCTGCTTGCAGCCACAATTGCTAGCAGTGAAGCATGGTTATCAAGCTTACGGCAGGGGAGGGCTTATTCTTCTCTATCTCCCATTTTTAATATTCCAGCTTTCAAGTGTATTTAATAGATGGCTGGCAGTATGACCGAGTCATTGAATCTGATAGACTTGTATTATTGCATGGAAAGAAAAGCATTAAATAAAATAACAGTAGTTAGTTCTAGAATCAAGAAATCTAATCTAAAAAGTTGAATTTTGTGCATACTTGGAAGATTTTGCATAACAATCCAAAAAAAAGAAGAAAAAGAGATGATGATTCTGCAGAATTTCATCGCAAGAAGTTTTGCAACCTTATATAGACTAGACCAGATTGGCACACGAGCATCTCCAGGCCTAAAGCATTTTTCAAAACCTCCAATGGAAGTTCTTAAATTTCTCATTCTTTTGCTGTTTGCAGCAACAGTTATTGGAGTGAAGCAGGGTTGCCCAGCTTAAGGCAGGGGAGCTCCTTGAAAGTTGAGGAAGAGAGTGACTTCTTGGTTTCACCAAATGGAACTTTCTCCAGTGGATTTTACAAGGTTGACACCAATGCCTCTTGCTATTCAATATGGTTCACCAATTCTGTCAATAAAACAGTTGTCTGGATGGCTAACAGGGATAAGCCTGTTAGTGGAAGAGGGTCCAAGCTAACTCTCCACAGAAATGGCAACTTGGTTTTGACTGATGGGGTTGGATCAATTGTATGGTCAACCAACACTTTCTCTGATGCAGGTGTGGAAGCTCAGCTTCTTGAGACCGGAAACTTGGTGTTGATCAACCAAGCCAAGGAGGTCCTCTGGCAGAGTTTTGATTCTCCCACAGATACCCTTCTACCATCACAGAAACTTGTCAGGAACACAACCTTGGTGTCCATGAGAAGTCAAGGTACATACTTATCTGGATTCTACAACTTCAGATTCTACGACAATAATGTATTATATCTCATCTACAGTGGCCCTCTCTTTTCGAGTGTTTATTTTCCAAAGCAGGATAAAACTGTTTTCGATTTTAAAAGAACACCTTACAATAGCTCTAAAGTGGCAATTTTGGATGAGGCTGGACAATTTATATCAAGTGACGATTTCATGTTCAATGCATCGGATTATGGAATTGGCCCAAAGCGCCGGTTAACAATGGATTATGATGGTATCTTAAGATTGTACAGTCTAGATGAATCAACTGGGCTCTGGGAAATGTCATGGGTGCCTGATGGTGTGGATACTTGCCTGGTTCATGGCTTGTGTGGTGAATACGGTATTTGCACTTACAAACCACAACCTACTTGTAGTTGCCCTTATGGTTTCTCCCTAAATGATCCTTCAGACAGGTCGAAAGGCTGCTCACCTTTGTTCAATTTGAGTAATGATGCAACCAAGTCAGACTTCATGGTGCTTCCTAACACAGATTACTATGGATATGACATGGAAACCTATGCTCTTGGAATTTCTTTTAGCACATGCAGGAATGCATGCCTAACTGATTCTAGATGTAAAGGATTTGGATATGCTCTGGATGGAAAAGGGCAATGTTACCCTAAATTTTTTCTCCTTAATGGATTTCATAAGCCGAATACTCTCCAAATCATGCACATTAAAATTCCAAAAGGTTTTCTGAGCAAGGATGAAGTCATAACGAAGCTAGAAACATACGATTTGAACTGCTCAGCTGCACAAGTTTCTCTCAAAACTAGTGATCTTGAAGTGGAAAAGAGCAACAAAAATCAATATATGGTTTACCTGGTTGTATTTGTAAGTTCCTTCGCAATAATTGAAGCAATCTGCATTTGTTTGACATGGTGGTACGCCTTCCGAAAGCAAGCTCATGAGGAATTTGTGAATATGGGTTACATTGCACTAGCCATGGGATTCAAGCGTTTCACGTATGCAGAACTAAAAAGAGCCACCGATGGCTTCAAACAGGAGGTAGGAAAAGGTGGTTTTGGAACTGTGTATAAAGGTGTTCTAGATGATGAAAGAGTTGTTGCTGTGAAGAGACTAGATGGCATCTTGCAAGGAGATGCAGAGTTTTGGGCAGAGGTGAGTGTGATAGGGAATATCAATCACAGGAACTTGGTTAAACTATGGGGTTTCTGTGCGGACAATGAGCATAAGCTGCTCGTCTACGAGTACCTGGCGAATGGATCACTGGACAGACTCTTGTTCAGTTCAGATGGGGAACTAGGATTGGAGCAGAGATACAACATTGCTCTTGGCACAGCAAAGGGTTTGTCATATTTACATGAGGAATGCCTAGAATGGGTGCTCCATTGTGATGTAAAGCCTCAAAACATACTGTTAGATGATCACCTTGAACCTAAAGTGGCAGACTTTGGCATGTCAAAGCTATTCAAAGACATCCAAGGGATTGGCTTTTCAAAAGCGCGGGGCACCAGAGGTTATATGGCTCCAGAGTGGCTGATGAACTTGACAATTAATGCAAAGGCAGATGTCTACAGCTATGGGATTGTGTTGTTGGAACTACTGAGTGGAAAGAGTGCTTCTATTCTCATTCCGGCTCTTGCCAAAGAGTACAATGAATGCAACCAATTGGCACAATGTGGGACTGAAAAGATCAGAGAAGAAGGGCTTGAGAAAGTACTTGATCCTAGACTAGTTGGTGAACTCGATAAGAAGAAGCTCGAAAGATTGATGAAAGTTGCTCTACTGTGTGTTCAAGATGATCGCAGTGCAAGGCCAGCCATGAGTAAGGTTGTGGAGCTTCTACTTGAAAATGACGAGTAAGGGCCAGATGAAGAAGATCAGAGAGAGAGAGAGAGAGAGAGAGTAAATAATAGAAGCTAAATGTACAGTAAATAATATGTTATTCTTACATTTGTTTAGCTTCCCATTAAATGTAATGATAGGTTACTAGGATTGGAGCATTCCAGCTGAACAATTGTTTCAAGTTTCTGTATGATATATGATTCAGTTTTCATTCTTTGAATCAACAATCGTTTATAGAAAATCGAAAAAATTAAAACCATGAACAGAAGTATGAATAAATGGTTCTACAGCCAAACAAATTAATACCATGAACAGAAGTATAAAAACTATTAGAGCTATTGTTGCTCGAGTAAAAGTTTACTTCAGCTGCATCGTTTGTAATATTTGCAATGGACTAGATATGTAAGCCTATAACATCCTTTTCTCTTTTGTGAAAAGAATCAATTACATGTGGGATTTGTGCATGTTTTTTTAATTTGATCTTCTTCAATCAAGGTTGCAAACATCATTTTCCAAAGTTAAATAGGGGTAAAAATAAACTGCCGCCTGATTAAAAAAGAAATTGGCTTGACAATGGCAACCTATAAGATCAGGTCTTCACAACCAGAGTCGTTAGACAGGTAGGAAATTCGAATTAATTATATATGTAGTTTCATCCCACACACAACGAAGGAATGGAGAAAGGAATGCCTTTTGTCCCTTCCCGCCCATTTTTTAAATTATATTTCCATAGATTTGCATGCATAGCTCGTGGACAGACGGAAGTCATTAGAATTTCGTAGATATTGCAATATTTCATTGGAAATTAAAGTAGTAATTAAAAGTAGTAATTGCTAGACTAGAAATTATTTGATATATATAAAAAAAAAAAAAAAAAAAAAAAAAAAAAAAATTTTCAATTTGCATGTTTGAATGATTCTGCACAACAGTCCAAAAAAAAGGAGAGGGGGGGTTGGTGGGTGGTTGTTGGTTTGGGAGTGGGTGGTGTGGGGAAGATTCTACACAATTTCATTCTCATGGCAAGAAAACAACCTTCTTGTTGGGTTTTTAGAAGAACAATAGAGTGATTTTATTTATTCAACAATAGATGGGTACAAAGCTTTATAGAAGATTAGGCTTATTGGCCTTCAACAACTAGAAAATTATATATATATTAAAGCTCAATCCAACTAAACACTGTTCTTAAGCACAGTGAAATGACGAACCTGCCCTCTCTTTTTTCTGTTTTGCAAACTCATCTTTCTCATCCACACAGTGAAATCACGGTTTTGCCCTTGGTTAATTGTTTTTGTTCCCTTTTGCCCCCCCCCCCCCCCCCCCTCCCTCGATTGTAACGACTTGGAGCCTTCGTTCTATCAGATGCTGAGTTCGCTTCTAACCAGGTTGGTTGGCCTGGTTGCGGGGCAATGATGGAAGAGGTTGGTCTACTGTTGGAGATTATCTGGAGGCTTCGATTTTTATAGGAGTGGTGTGCGTTAGTCTTCTTCTTCAGATCGAACTCCAGCTTTCTCTCTGTTTCAGTCTCTTTCTCTCATTGATCTGTAAGTAAATTTTGCTTTATCTTTCCATTCGATTTTTGTTGCTCTTCTTTTTCATTTTTGTTGTTACTAATATCTGGATCTTATTTGATTAAACTATAAGACCTGTTTTAATTTGCTGCCCTAAAAGTCCAAATCCCTAATTTTTCCTCATAGTGGGTCTGCGTTATTGATTTGCAAATTTTATCCAAATACTGAAATTGATTTGATTGTGTTATTATTTTGATGAAATCAGGTTAAACAATTTAGTTATTAAAATACTATATGATTGCTTTTGATAAGGTTTTCTATTTGGTTATTAAAATTAGTTGGTAAACCCTGAAATCGGTATTTGGATATGCTGGTTCTTTTGTTACAGGGTTTAGGATAGCTCTGTTTTGGTAAGCAGGATATGCTGCTATTTGGGTAGCTCTGTTTAAAGATATGTTATTTCTTTTACTACGGGGTTTTAATTCAAATTCGTTCTTATGCTGTTTGGGCTATTTTGGTGCAATTTTCTCTGTTTTTTTGGGGCTATTTTTTATGCTGTTTTGATTCATGGGTTGGTTTTTATGTATTTTGTTTTTAGAAGTTGGGACCTTTTGGAATTTGATATTGATATGGGAATTGAAAGCTTTCAGTTCAGGATAATGCTTTTCAGTGTGTGTTTTTTTTATATGTCAGACAGAGACTCGAATCTTATCTGCATAATTTTTCCCCTCCTTTCTGTTTCTTTTGGATTAAACCTGAAAAATAAAATTAGAAAACAAGTGTCCAATGCAATGCAATTGAGACTCTACTTAATGAAATTGTTTCTCTAGCTTTTCCTTATCTGAAGAATGCTAATTTTCCATGGAAACAAAGGAAATTAGAATATTATATGGAAACAAAAGAAATTGTGTGTGTTAATTGTACAGTTAGTAGTAGTGAGTGGGGAGTTATTTTTTTTTTTTTTTTTACTATATTTTTTTTATTTTTTTTTTTATTTTTTTTTTTTTTTCAATTCATAGTGGAAATAACTTTAAGTGGAAAAAGATCATCTATTTTTAACAATGAGAGAATTTTTTTTTTTTTTTTTTTTTTTTTTTTTTTTTTAAGGTTGGCTACATATCAAAACACTGTTAAAGATGTAGCACATGTGCCACTAATTACACAAATTGTGTAATGATGAATCTAGGATCATTTAAACAGCCATTTTCCCGTGCTTTTACAGTGTTTTTCTTTGCCCAAAACACATTAATTGGGTAGTCTTGAGTGATTTCTGCCTTGCAGATTTTGCTCAGGCTAAAGTTTTGGTTTTATGAAAAGATTGTGCATGTATAAAAATACGCAAGCTAATTTCTTCTCCATTTTTTCTGTTTTTTATTCCTTTTTCTTCCCTTTTTTTTAAACCATGTTTTCTTTTGATATTTTGCAGGTGGTCTTTTGTTGATTTGGATAGAGCAGTTTGGTTGGTGTTTTCAGTTATGTCAAGCAGGAGGTGAGTTTCTAGGCTGAAATTTCCAATGAATTGTTTTTAAGTTTTGTGAATAGAGCATAGGAATTAGCTAATGGTGTCAATTGACAATTGGTTGGGATAAGTGTGTGCTTATTATTTTTTCTTCAGGTCCTAAAGAAAGATGGCAACCGTACAAAAATACACTTCTAACAATTTTCAAACGCGAAAAAAGGATTGTATGCCTTATGAGAAGAAGAAACTGAATTTTCGGTTTTTGCGTTTTTTATAGGTGTTGTATAACTGTTCTTTAGACTGTTTGGTAGCTCTTCCCATTGCTGCTAGACAACAGGTCAGTTTTCTATTCGTCTTTTGAAGAAGTCATGCATACCAACTGTGGCTAATTGGTTTTTTGGATATTGTGTCTTTTACTATCATTGTGATGTTATTGCTTATATGGTTTGCTTGATTAGGCTATAGAAATTGTAATTAATTCGTTTTCATATGTTTGTTTTGAAATTTTTTATTTCTATAGCTACAATTCTGTTGGTGTGCGTCCATTTTGCTTGATTAGGCTATGGATGTAATAAAAATATTGTAATTTAACTCATCCATTTTTTTCCTTTCTAGCTATTGGTGTGTTGGTTGGAATTTGTAATTTTTGAATATGATGCCTAAAAGAATTACAAAAACCAGAAAAAGCCTGAGTTAAATTATAATAGATCGATATTGAATGCATTAGTGCCAAGGAAAACGTTGTTGAGTTGTAAACAGTTACTCAAAATCTTCCACCAGTTTCATACTTGGTGCATCTACATTTAGCATCTGTTCTAAATTCTTCGCTAAATGGCATCAAAATATTTATTAACCAAAAATATCTAAATACAATGAATAGTGAAATTTCTACCAATGACCAAAAAGAAAACTTAAATGTTGTAAACTATGCAGTGCTCTCAAAGTGTCGGCTTATTTTACTGGTTTGGATAGAGCATTTAGGTTCCTGCTTTTGGTTCTGTTAAGCAAGGGGAATTTCTTGGTTGAAATTAATTGGCAGAAATTAATTGTTTTCCATTTTGCTTTAGCCAATGGCATCAATTTCCCATTTGTGTTGATCATTTAGGCATATGTACTGTTATTCTTAATTTTTTAATGATTAATTTTTGGTATGCAAGTTTGATATCAAAGCATCCCCTGCGAATATATACATTAACTTTTTAGTAAGAACCCGTGTAAATCAGCTACACAGTGCTTGATTATTATGCATCAAAGTTATTCAAATTAAAGAACACATTATTAAAAAGCATGACATTATAATCAGTAATCTTATACTCTTTATTTCAAATGCAGCGTCTAATAGTTTTTAAATAGACAGTGTAGCATCTACATTGCAATACGGTGGCACTAATGTTGTGGTTTGTGCAGTTTTTTGTTGTTGGCCTTAATTCTATAACAATAGCCATTGTCTTTGCTCAAATTTTTTCATTTGTCGACACTGACACCTACCGTTTACCAAGTTATACCAACAAAGTCATCACCCTTTGATTTGATTCTATTAAAATTGTCACAATTGTTTTCAGTTTATTTTCAATTGATTCAATAAATTGACCTTATACTTTTATCCATTAGATAAATAGAATGCTTGATGTATCCTAAAATTAACCGAGTACACTCTACTACCAAACTACTTATTGAATTACTAATTTACCTTAATATAAAATGACCAAAAAAGATATATTGAATTGTGAAACAAATATAAATTTAATAAGTACACCCTACTAATGACCATATTCAATCCTAATCAAGGGAACGCTCATCGCTTTAACCCAATGTATGTACCCTCACCACCCTTTTTAAAAATTGACATCCCTCTTCTTCTGGCCTTTTGGTTCGTATATGGATGGGCGTAAGATATAGGTGACCATAAGGTTCCATCTTCTGCCCCAAAAGTTTTGCAGAGAAGTAGAGAGTTATGCCTCATTGAAATGAGATTTGAGATCTAAACCCAAATGGCTCCAAGCGAGGGTTGCTACAATGATTAGTTGGATTTCTATATATATATGCCCCCACTATGGTGTCATATAAGTTGTCTGATCACCTGAGTCGCCTACACAATCTGATTTCTTAGTTGAAAACTTTGCAGCAGTTGATAACCAATTAAGAACCCTTAATAAGAAATTTAAGATTAATTGGAAAATTCTAGATTGTCATCTCAAGGCCCTAGAAAATCAGCATAGAAGAAATAGTTATCACCAGGCTTATCCTGATAGCGAAAGCCGTCAAAAAATCTTTAATGACTGGAAAGATTATATGCGGTCAGCCAAAGTTGAAATTTTCTACCTTGATTTTATTGAAAGCCGCTACATGACTAATGAGTTAAAAACCTTGACTAAAGAAAAATGGAAAATGGTAGATAAGACAAAAGTAGAAGCTAGTCATCCTCCAGTTGAAACCATAGTAATTAGCCATAAGGGTACACCTATCCCTGCTAGCCCCTTTAAAGCCTTTGAAAGCAATGATACTAATAGGAAATTAATTGAGCAAAATAATTATACTAACCAAAGTTTAATTATCATAGGAAAACAATAGATACAATTGAAACTAAGATTGACAAGATAAGTCCCCCATAACCTGACAGACTCTTTGCTTGAGGATACCACCATCAGCTATGTCAGAGGCATCAGTTTCAACTATTTTAAAATAATCAACTGAAGGAATACCAAGACAAGGAAGTGTCTTGACATGGGCTTTGATTGTTTGACAACTTCTGTATGGATGGTTGACCGTGGGGAGGATTACTCTGCAACTTATCAAACAAGGGCTTACATTGTTTTCTCAGATCTTTGTAAAAGTCAGAAACATAATTTAGAGATCCTAGAAATCTCTGGAGTTGACTCTTATCAAGAATTTGATCAGAAATTTATCAGCAAACTAGATGACTCGATCAATTGGGGAAATTTGTGATTGGTAGATATTGAAACCGAGGAATCTGACCTTGGTTCGGAATAACTTGATCTTCTTAGCAAAAACAGACCATTTTGTTTGACAATTTGAAGGAACTTATGCAAATGTTTTCCAATGTTGTTCTATCGACTCAGAAAAGATGAGAACATCATCAATATAGACTATTGAAAAGTGACTGTAAGGATTGAAAATCTCATTCATAATGTTCTGGAATTCACTGGGGGCATTTTTCAGACCAAAGGGCATTACATTCCAATCATAATGACCGAAAGGGGTGACAATGCAGTCTTATACCTATCTGACTCATCTATTTGGATTTGCCATAAACCACTCTTCATATCAAATTTGGAGAAAATAACTGCTTTTTCTAATCTATTAATCAGGTCTCTCTTATTAGGTATGGGATACCTAATCCATTCTAAGACCGAATTAAGTGGCTTGTAATTGATAACTAATCTTGGGACTCCTCTTTCTAACTCAGTGTTTTTCTGGACATAGAAAGCAGGACATGATCAAGGGGACTTGCTTTTGCGAATTATTTTCTTCTGAAGCAACTCATTAATTTCTTTTTTACAAAACTCCATTATTTATTGACTCATCTGCATTGGCATGGCTTTAGTAGGAATGTTTTTCTCACTAAAGGTTTTGATATAGGGAAAACAAACAACATGTTGTTTTCTATACCAAAAAGCATTAGGCAAGTCATAATAGATCTCATTTTTTAGCTTATTTTCAAACTGCTGAATTTGCAACTGTAAAGATTTATCGCTAAGCTGTTGTTCAACTCTTTTGAACTTAATTTCTTCTTTGAGAAAATTCAACTGGTTATTTTTTCTAATAATCTGTACTGATTTGGACACTGATTGCTTTTGCAAAGCTTTCAGGTTATGCAACTCTGGTTTAGACAGAAACTCAAATTTAACCTTTTCGCCTACATAGGTAGAAATGGCACCATCATAGTCTACCTGGAAGGGATACAATAAGGCAATAAAAGGTAAACCTAAGATGACTTCGTCAGTGATATTTTTGACCAAGACAAATGAGGTTTTAAAGCAAATTTTATTTTGGCAAACATGGGCTTTTGGTAATTCAAAGTTCAACTGAAGGGATTTTCCTGAAGCAGTGCTAAAGGATTCTCTAGACTTTTGGTAAAACTTAGTGGGGATTAGACCTTCCTGAATACAGTTAAGATAAGCTCCTGAATCAAATAAGGCAACTGTAGTAAATTCAAAAAATTTAACAAATATTGTTACTTTTGAATACCATTTTCTAAAATTGACTTGTTTGATCAAATTTACAACTTGTTGATTATCAGAAGGTTCATCATCAGAATTGTGGGGACTTTCTAATTGGCTTTTGGACTCAGAAGACTCTTTTTCCATAAGACGGACTAAATCTTGCTTGATTGCATAATTTTCATTTTGTAATTTATGACTTATTTGTTTTAATTCAACTATTTCTTTTTTACCCATTTTTACTTCTAATTGTAGATCTTGTAAGGTAATTTCTTTCTTTTTAGCAAATTTTTCTAAAGTGGTATTTAAACTAATCGGTTGGGGAACAGACTGACTTGGGCTTTCTTGGCTAATGACTTTTCTTAACTTCTTTAAATACTCAGATTTCAACTCAGGATTTTCAACTTTGCTTATTAAATCTATTAATAATTCTTCTTGTTCTTCTTGTTTAGTAAGAACATAAATGGATTTTAATCTATTACAACATTTATCTTTACAACCAATTTGGATATTAGGTGAACTGGACTGTGAATCTGAAGACTGGTCAGATTCAGACTCAGAGCTGGCCACTATGGTTTCATCATTGCTTATTTTAGAGTCTCGCAACTCTAAAACCTTTATAAGCTTTTCTTTTTCTTCATCTGTAATTTTTAACTGTTTAATAGTATCCTTTACTTTACACTCAGAGGCATAATGACCAAACTTTTGACATTTAAAACACTTGACTTTAGTTTTATCATTATTTTCTTGGAACGATTATTCTTTTGACCTTTTGGGGCTTTTAACCAATTTTTCTTAGGAGAAAATTTCTTTCTTCTATAGAACTCATGATTATCATCATTATGTTGGGAGAATTGTTTCCTACGCGAATAATGACGATTTTTCCTAATGTGACTGGGATAACTAGGCTTATTTTTCCTGGAAGGGGGGATGCTGGCAAGACCATATTGTTCACAGAAATTTCCTAACTCATACTTAGCGGATTTCCTGCGGACTGTATTTGCCTACCGATCTTAAAATCAATACACATTCTCATGCCAACTTGGTTAATTGTGCTTATTATATTTCCATATGTTAGGCTACCCCAATCTATATGGCCTCGTTCATTACTCAGGGTTGGGCGTATTTTGTGTGCAAACAAATTTGGAAGACCATTGACAAATTTTTCTTTCCAGAAGGGTTGGTTACTATCATCTCTAAGCATGACTCGAGAGATGAAAACATCTTTATACCATCTGAAATCAGACAACTTGGGGCATCTAAGATTACTAAGTTGATCATGAATCCTAGCAGTGGTGTTTACTAGGGGTTCCAATAAAATGCTCAATTATTGTGTAAAACAAAGTGTTGACTCCGTCTTCTATACCTTGACCTATTT